TATATATATATATATATATATATATATATATATTTAAATTGGAGATTATGAGTACTCATTTTTATACTTTTATATATTTATCGAATATCTGAACTTAAGAAGTGGAGAGTGCGTAGTTCAACAATATAAGTATGAGTTGGGGTGGTTTTAAAAAAGCTGTTCATAGAGCAAGTAATACAGTGATCATTAAAGATATTGATAAAATTAATGACAAAGATTTTGAATTGGAAGAAAGAAAATATGGTACATTAAAGAAAAATTGTCAACAATTGGTCACTGAATCAAAGGGTTATTTGGATTCCTTTAGAATCGTATCATCATCACAATTAAAGATTGCTGAAGTTCTTCAAAATTTAAATAATGATGTGGATTCAACAACTAAAGGCTCGTCTCATCAGAATGCTAATGAATCTTATTTACAGATTGTCCAGGATCTTGATTCTCAAGTGATGAAACGTTTAGATGAACCATATATTGAAACAGTAATGAATCCAAGTTTAAAATTTGAAAGATATTTTAAAGAAATTGATGAAGCCATTGTGAAAAGACACCATAAAAGAAACGATTATGAGGCTGCAAAGGCTAAAGTAAGAAGATTGACCGATAAACCGTCAAAGGATGTCAATAAATTACCAACATGTGAAAAAGAATTACAACTAAGCAAAGAAATTTATGAATCTCTTAATAATCAATTGAAACAAGAACTTCCACAATTGATTCAATTAAGAGTACCATATTTCGAGCCATCATTTGAAGCTCTGGTGAAGATTCAATATAGGTTTAGTACAGAATCTTATACAAAGTTATCTCAAGTTCAACAATATATCGATCCACAATTGAGGAATCATTACATTGATGGTACTTTGGATAGAAATATTGAAAATTTATTAAATCAAATGAAAAACTTGGATATTTGTACATTAGGTTTTGCAACTTAATAAATTTTAAATATTTTAAATATATTTATTTAGATGCTATATATAGCTAATTCCCTACTATTTTCTGAGTTTTTTTTTAAAAATATACTAAATCGACAAAAATATAAATAAATTCTCTCTTAAGCAAATATAATTCTTTCATAGAACCTACTAGGAGAAACTTAAAAAAAATTAATTGGACGAGTTGGGAATCGAACCCAAGACCTCTCCCATGCTAAGGGAGCGCGCTACCAACTACGCCACACGCCCAAATTATTTATGTTTTTCAAGGTATTATTTGACTACAGTAATGTCAAAATATTTTATCTTTTGGTGTGGCTTTATTAAACATATCGTGAACATCTATTAATAGTTTACAGATTTGTTATTAAATATTACTCATAGAGAAATAAATAAATAAAAAATATGCTAGCCTTAATAAAGAATCGAAAAAAGGGGAATATGATAAATACAAGATGATTCTGAAGAAGCTTCACAACGAAATGAAGTAGGAAGATTATCACAAAGATAAAGGTCAAAAAACTATGTATATTGAAAAATGATAAACAATGGACGAGAAAAAATTGATATCAAGCAAATGAGGTTTTGGAAGTGTAGGCATTGTTCAAGAATGTGTCATAGTTTAGCACATAGAAAAAGACACAACAGATGCTTACATTCTGGGAAAAGACCATACGGATGTCCTGCTTGTATTGCTAAAAGGTTCAAGAGAGATGATCGTCTTGTTAAACATCTGAAAACTGTGCATTACTTAACAGCTGAGCAAGTGGTGGCTTCATATATAAAAAAGAATGATAAAGGGAAAAAGCACAAAAAGAACAAAAAGGATAAAAAGACAGAAAAGATAAAAAGCTTTATACAAACATAAGAAGAATAACTCTAAAAGTCATCGGTCACCAAAGTAGGACCATATCACACATTTGTGTTGACGGCTTACCCAAATATACGTATCGAGTCCCTGATATCTTTTACGAAGATCTTATTGCAAGAAATAAGTCATTTAATGATAGGTTGGTACAACCATTTGGTTGAGTACTGGTTATAATTCAGCTAATGTGATCAATGTACCATATTTTTATTTTATTTTGGTTTTGGTTTATGATAGTTTACGACCAATTCAAAAATTTAACAATAAAAAGGGTGAATTATTTTTGCTAATCAAAAATAATATGTTCTTAATATAAAACCGAAACATCTTAAACCAAAAGTATAATTCCTATTGATTGGGAATGAAAAAGTAAAGAAAACTAATCGTTGTTATACTCTGGAGGCATCTATTATTTTAGTAGGTATATGAGAGATTGTAATTATACGTCGGTTCCACATATTGAGAATAACTTTTTATCGTATAGCAATATTATACCTTACTATTTATCGTCATATTTTGATAGTTTACCTTAATGATAACAAACTATATAATAACCAAATGAATAATGGGAACAACCAGATATTTTATTAATGGTATATTCATGTATATGTCTTTACCTTTATTAGCCTTTGAATGTTTTTAAAAAAAATACCTCTTCTCCTCCCTTCTTCAACCACCGAAATACGGCTAACTTACCACAACTTCTGAGGAGTTTAAAGTCTGTACACTCAGGGTAATCTAAAAACACAAGTGAAAGGTTGCACTAGCCAACGTTCATATAATATATGCTAACTGTATATATTATCATTACTTTACAGTTAATTAATTATATATAAACTCTAGCTAATTTCTTTATATTATTAGTCAAGCTTAACTTCCGCGCTGCCTGAACTTTACCTTTATACCACTCTATCTACCTATTATCACATTGTACATCCTTGTATCGATACTATGTTGGTTATCTTGAATATGCTCATGATACTATTCGTATACTTTTTACACTGTTTGTTTTCATTCATTCATCTATATATATGTATTTATTTTTTTTAAAAAAAAAGAGAACCAAAAAATCTTATCGTAACCCTTTTTTTACAAATATATATTTATAGAAAGCTCTATATGAAAGGAAACTTACTAATATAATAAGAGGAAATTAAAAAGAAAGCAAGAGAATTAATAATAGCAACAACTAACTAATAGTAAAAACATACGACATACAAATTATTTAAAGAAAATGAGTGGAAATCCAAAGAGACGAATCGAAACGGATGTAATGAAGCTTTTAATGAGTAATCATGATGTTCAATTAATTAATGATAATATGCAAGAATTTTATATTAAATTAAAAGGGCCAAAGGACACGCCATATGAAGGTGGTTTCTGGAGATTACATGTTGAATTACCTGATAATTATCCGTATAAATCTCCAAGTATTGGATTTGTTAATAAGATATTCCATCCAAATATTGATGTTGCGTCAGGATCGATATGTTTAGATGTTATTAATTCAACATGGTCACCATTATATGATTTAATTAATATTGTTGAATGGATGATACCTGGCTTATTGAAAGAACCAAATGGTAGTGATCCATTAAATAATGAAGCAGCTACTTTACAATTAAGAGATAAACAATTATATGAAGAAAAGATAAAAGAATATATTGATAAATATGCTACAGACAGTAAATATACTGCAATGTTTGGTGATTCAGATAATATGAGTTCAGATGAAGATGTTATTAGTGATAATGTACATGTTGTAGTAAATGAAGAAGATATAGAAGAAGATGACGAAGAAGAAGAAGAAAAAGAAGAGATGGATGATGCAGAATTATCTGATTTGAGTGATATTGAATTAAGTGATGAAGATGAAGAAGATGAAGAAGAAGATATGAAGACATAGTGAAAAAAAAAAGATACTACTACTATTATTATTTTAGAAACAAATATTCATAATTTCTACATTTTTATCAAATTATTACACACGCACACATATAAATAACCTCAGCATAACCAATTATTAATTTACTCTCCCATACCTCTCTTCATACATTTACAAATTCGTCATATAACCAATTTCTTTGAAATATTAATATAGAATAAATAATGACAAGATACATACATATTATAACTTGCCTGTTTATTTTCATTCATTATCCTAGCAATATATATATATATATATATATATATATGTGTGTGTGTGTGAATAAACCTTGATTTAGGTTTATATGTCAGTTAAGAACTACATGTAGTCAATCGACCATCTTACACAACGATTCAAATCTACAATTATTTAGATTTTTAGTAAATTTTTACCGCCAAACATTGCTTATCTTAATCACATATTTATTATAAGATTACAGTAGAGAAAAATGACGGAAAGTTCTGTAATGTTACGGCGGCTTTTATCATAGTTCAACCGGTAATAGTTTAATATTATAAAATATTAAACTATTGAGTAAGTGCTAGTGATAGTATTATATCTATATCTTTGAAGGCTTTATTTCAATCAAATCAAATCAAATCATATTAGTTCTGTTCCGGGTCTATTTTTCCCTATAACCATTCACTACCACCACTGAACTACCACCACCACACCCACCACGCGTTGCTTTCCGCCACTCGTCTATTATCTTTTTCTCCTTCTCGCCCGCTCTCTCGCTGTCTCTCTCTCTTTCCCGCTCTCCTCCCCCCTTAAATTTATATATCTTTACCACAGATTGGACACACATACGGAGGTTTCTTAGTTATTTATGCGTGTGTTTATAATATCTGCAAGCAATTTCCCAGCAGCAAAAAACAAAAACAAAAACAAAAACAAAAACATATAGTGGTATTTACTACCACGGGTTGCAGTACTATTTTAATATAGCATGTGTTAGCCCCCCGTCCCCGTCCCCTCCCCCACTTCACTTCACTAGCATTTTCCCTCTGGCAACTCCAGAAAAATACCCACTCCCAACCCCTTAAAAGTGCATATAGTAGTAGTAGTACTACAAGTACTACTACTATACAGATATCATTAGTTATCACTTTAAAGAAATTAAAGAAATTAAAGGTGAAGGTAGAAGGTTGAACAACAACAACAACAACATAAATTAACTTGAACCCCTCCTATATCTATCATTCTTAAACATCTTTCTACTATTCTTTTACACGCCCCACTATTTAACTTTAAATTAATCTATCTCGTTTGACATGTTTCATTAAATGTTGAATAGGGAAAGAGGTTGCGCTACTTGAAGAACTTGTAGAACTTGCAGATAAAATAACTAACTTTCTCTCTGTTTTGGTTGTTTTTTATTTTCATGTATTTATATATAATATATATTTAAATGCAACCAGCAATTTATATTAAATAAGGAAAATATATATTATTACTATTATTATTTATATAAATACTGCAAGCTTATTTTACTTTTTGTTCGTTCTTTTTTCTTTCTTATTTACTCTTTTTACAACAGAAAAAAAATTTAGTTCAATTTATCAGCCAAGGACAAATAAAGATAAACATCATTAGACGTTACGTTTTAATTATTTTATCTCCCTATTCATATTATATATATATATATATTATTCCTACTAATTATGTCTAATATTCCAGAAAATGTTAAAGGTGCAGTAGATATTGATCCATGGTTAGAACCCTATGCTCAAGTTCTTTCTGAAAGAAGATATTTAGCTGATAAATGGCAATATGATATTAAACATGCTACTAAAGATGGTTCAATTCAAAGTTTATCACAATTTGCAAGAAATTCTTATAAATCTTATGGTTTACATGTTAATCAAAATACAAAAGAAATTTTTTATAAAGAATGGGCACCAAATGCTAAAAAAGCTTTCTTAGTTGGTGAATTTAATAATTGGAATCCTGAATCTCATGAATTAAAAGATAAAGATGAATTTGGTAATTTTTCAATTATAATTCCAAAGGATTCAACTACTAATGATTTTGCAATTAAACATGATTCTAAAATTAAAGTTAGATTTGTTTTAGAAGATGGTTCTGATATTTATAGATTACCTGCATGGATTACAAGAACAACTCAACCAGATAAAGATACTCAAAAACAATTCGGTCCAACTTATGAAGGTAGATTTTGGAATCCATCAAATCAATATAAATTTAAAAATAATAGACCAAAATTTAATTTATCAAAAGATTCTTTAAGAATTTATGAGGCTCATGTTGGTATTTCTTCACCAGAACCAAAAGTAGCTACTTATAAAGAATTTACTAAAAATGTTTTACCAAGAATTAAATATTTAGGTTATGACGCTATTCAATTAATGGCAATTATGGAACATGCTTATTATGCTTCATTTGGTTATCAAGTAACAAATTTTTTTGCAATTAGTTCTCGTTATGGTACACCAGAAGATTTAAAAGAATTAATTGATACTGCTCATGGTATGGGTATCTTAGTCTTATTAGATGTCGTTCACAGTCATGCTTCCAAAAATGTAGAAGATGGTTTAAATAGATTCGATGGTTCTGATCATCAATATTTTCATTCTATTTCAAGTGGTAGAGGTGAACATCCTTTATGGGATTCAAGATTATTTAATTATGGTAATTTTGAAGTTCAGAGATTCCTTTTAGCTAATTTAGCTTTTTATATTGATATTTATCAATTCGATGGTTTTAGATTCGATGGTGTTACTTCAATGTTATATTTACATCATGGTGTTGGTGCAGGTGGTGCATTTAGTGGTGATTATAATGAATATTTATCAAAGGAAAGATCTGGTGTAGATCATGAAGCTTTAGCTTATTTAATGTTAGCTAACGATTTAGTTCATGAATTACTACCTGATCAAGCTGTTACTATTGCAGAAGATGTCTCAGGTTATCCAACTCTTTGTCTACCACGTAATATTGGTGGGGCTGGGTTTGATTATAGATTAGCAATGGCTTTACCTGATATGTGGATTAAATTATTAAAAGAGAAAAAAGATGAAGATTGGGATATGGGTTTCATTGTTCATACTCTAATTAATAGAAGATACGCTGAAAAAGTGGTCGCTTATGCTGAATCTCATGATCAAGCTCTTGTTGGTGATAAAACTTTAGCATTTTGGTTAATGGATGCTGCAATGTATACAGATATGACAGTTCTTAAGGAATCAATTCCTGTAATTGATCGTGGTATTGCTCTTCATAAAATGATTAGATTACTAACTCATTCTCTTGGTGGGGAAGCTTATTTGAATTTCGAAGGTAATGAATTTGGTCATCCAGAATGGTTAGATTTCCCAAATATTAATAATAATGATTCTTATCATTACGCTCGTAGACAATTCAATTTGATCGACGATAATCTATTACGTTACAAATTTCTAAATGATTTTGACAGTGCTATGCAACATTGTGAAATGAAACATCAATGGCTAAACACTCCACAAGCTTATGTCTCTTTAAAACATGAAGTCGATAAAGTTATTGCATTTGAACGTAATGGACTATTGTTTATCTTTAACTTCCATCCAACTAATAGTTTCTCAGATTATAGAATTGGGGTCGATCAAGCTGGTTCTTATAAGATTGTCTTAAATACTGATCGTATTGAGTTTGGTGGTCAAGATAGAATTGATGAAAATTCAAAGTTTTTCACTACTGATTTGGAATGGAATAACAGAAGAAACTTTATTCAAGTTTATATTCCAAGTAGAGTTGCTTTGATTTTAGCCTTGGATAAATAAGAAATTTGTTATGTTCCTTTTTCAAAACATACTATCCCTTGAAACTAAATCAAATTGGTATTAGTCTTAGTCGCTGTTTGTCTGGAATAATAATTAATGTATGCAGGCATTTTATTTTATTTATTATTATCTCTACCTCACACTTTTAAATTATATAAAACACTTATAAATATTTTTTGCTTAAAAAAGAATTAAAAAACTAGAAATAACAACTTCACGAAAACATGCTGTTTCCAAAAATGACTTAAAATCATTTCTCTTAAATAAGTTACAAGTGGTATATGTATAGGCATATATATATATATATACAGAATAAATAAATAGCTCCAGGCCTGATAGTGAACATTTGGTAGTACCCAAAATTATTATCAATCGAAATCCACTACATCTTCATCAAGATCTGGTAATGGATACTTTAAAATACATGCGATACCTGTCAACTTTTCCAATTCTTCCCCAGAATCATGTAATGTACTGAATGTGTATACTGTACCACCATTACGTTCGACTGAATCCATCATATCAAGATACTTTTTCCTACCCTTCACATTCCCAGAATGCAATTTGGTATCAGTGATCAGCAATGAGGAAATGGCACCTAACTCGGCTGCTTTGAAAATCTCTTCTTCACCGTACCAAGATTTATAATCATCATCATCCAAGTGTTTTAGGAAATCATCCATTACGACTGCCTCCTTAGAGTACTTGGTATCACTTAAGTTTGAAGTGTATGCTGGATCCTTCAATACTTCGTTAATACCTTGCATGTAACCAGTAGAACAATGAGCAACCAGAAATCTTGAACTGTTATTCAAAATTGCACCATTACGTTCTTCCTTTGCATATTCTAAAACTTTACCCATTAAAGTCTTTGCATAAAACCCAGGAGAGCACAGAATTACCATTTTCAACTTCTCAAAATCAAAGTACTTATTCATAGCCGCATATATACCTTTGTAGAACTTTTCAGTCTTTTCATCATATTTCATAATATCAGTACCACGTTTTTTCTTAGGTAGACTATATTCTATTTTCTGCTTTAGGATGGTAGATGACGGTGTTAAAATACAAACATGGGCAATCCCTTCTTGTAACACCACTGCTGCTGTATCCGACTTACCTTCTGGATTGCAAGCTTCATTCAATAACTGACGTGTGTGCTTATCAAAGGATTCTTTAATAAGTGTAAATGGATAAGAGTAATTCACTGTAAAACTTATAAATTTCCCAACAGGAACTTCGGCGTTGGCCCTTCCAGTATCGTCTGTAACAGTCTTACCTTTATATCTCAGAAATTCATCATTAATATCAAATTCACTTGATACTACTTGGATCTTAAGCAAAACTAAGTCTGTATTTGTCTTCTTCGAATCCTCATCTTTCCTGGATGAAAATTTCTTCTTAAAAATCAATTCATCTTCTTCGTCGATAATTTGATACAAGGTAAATAAATCTTCTTTATCTTCTGGGAGAAGGGATATCACAGCACTTTCCTTATTAATTGACCCCTCTTCTAACTTTAATATCTTCATTGATGTCTTAGTTCTTTGATGTTGATGATAATATCTATAAATTAACTTGTAAATTACTAACTTTCAAGTTAATACAAGGACAGGTGTTGCTTTGGTTTTTCGTGTAATGAAGTTTTTCATTATTTTATATTTAGTTAGGTTCTTATTTTTCTATTTTATTTTTTCTCATTTTCAATATTTTTCAGTGTTTAAAAATATGGGTAATTTGGAGCAGAATGCCTACAGTAGTTGTTGTGTGAGACCAGCAAATCAATCAATAAATAAGAAATTTGAACATCTCAGGGTTACTAACCGATATATATATTTGTCAGAAATTCATCTATTATGAAGGTCTACTGAGTCTTTTCTGATTCGTTTTCGAAATATTATTTTTATCTGGCGGCTAAGAGACGATAATGTTCTTTTCGTGAAGTATATATATATCCATTTATTCAAAGAATGGTTGTAGTGTAACGACTCTCAATTCACTTGGTAGGTCCAATGGTGCATGTGGGTTTTTCTTTAAGTATAAGTATAAGTTTTTTGAAATATAACTTTCTCCTTATTTTTAACCATTTTGAAGGCTCGTACTACTCTATCTCTTGAACAAGGAGATTAACCACTTCAAGATTTTCATATTAGTTAGCTTCGCTCTTGATTGTATTACTTAAGTATTAGGAGAAGTCTCGAAAATTTTGTATTAACGATGTTTATGTGAAACTAAAAAAAAGATTTATAAAAAGTTTGATGGAGTACTTAGTACGTAATTTTACACAATTATAAATTGTTATAAGTTATTGTTAAATTGCCGAATATCTTTGTCACACTCAATAGTATATCAGTTCATTATTTTTGGGAGTTATATTTCTTTTTACCAATATCAAGTGGGATATATTTGTATTCAACCATGTGTTGGATTTGTCTTTTCATAGTTAACAAGAATAACAGGATGAAATACATCAAAAGAATTGGCCAATACACAGGAATATCAAAAATGGAGAATAAAGTAGCCAATAGAGATGCTGCTGTTGCTCTGAAGGCGTTGTGCCAAAATTTAAATTCTGGTAATCTTCTAATAAATGGACGGAATTCATCTGCTCTCTCTCCTGCCTCTAACTCTTGATTTGCCTCGTCTTGTTGGATGGTCATATCAAATTTTGGCGTTAAAAATGCCAGAAACTGACTCAATAGATAGATACCCAAAGCATAACAAACAACATACCATCCTTGAGATATAATAATACGCAAAACGAAAAGAGCAACCATTACTGTCAAACCGATCCATCTTTCTTTTGTATGAGGTGTGACTTTATCCATATAAAATTGGTAGTGAGCTTTAGCCTTTAGGTAGTAGTTCATTACAGGGTTAGAGCTCGAGCCTGAGCCTAATCCATCATCATCCGTAAAATCCATTTCGGTTCTCTTGTATCGATATCTTAGATAGTAATTGAGATAATTAAAACTGTTTTATCAATTGGTTTAAAGAACTTTTAGTAAGACTAACCTTTTGTATTACTTTATATGTATTGCTGTCTTCGATCAAAATAACAATTTGTTTATTTTCGGGATTTTTTCTTTCGAGCGTTGCAGTTTTAGATAATAAAGGCGAGACAAAATCACTACGCCTCTCTTTGATTTAATAGAACAGATCAAAATTTTCGAATTCTATGGAAAAACGCAATATAATAGCAATCGCAAACCATAACATGTGTAAAATAGAGGTAAAGGAAGACAATATACTTAATATAAAGTAAAACTTTGAGAGACTCATGAAATCTCTTTAGAAATGTAACTCATGAGTCATTAATTTCTCAAACCTTTGATGAAGATACTGATCATAACTTGTTCAAAGCAGTTGGTAGTAGTTCCGTACCTTGTGAGAAATGAATAATAATAAAGACCTCTTTTTGGCAGACTCTCCTTCCATGGAAGGTATGTGCAATTAGCACCCAATATCTTACCATGATACATTCTTTTCGTGGCACAAAAGAATAATTTTAATTAATAGATCTGCGTAACATTTTCTTGGGATATATAGTTCTTTTTTACCAATAAACGGCGCCTTCCAATAAATAATGCTATACATAACGAATATCAAGTTGAATTTCCCTTTAGGCTGCTATTGGTACTGCATATATCCAGATATCTTCTATTAATGTTAAATAATTATCAAAATATAGCATTGTATCATGACTATAAGCGAGATGTAATACCTTTATTTTTAATTATCTTTCATTATGGATGATCTTGAAAGTCATCTTATGATATTAGCTAAAATATTAGGGTTTCTACCAATATATTGATCAATTCAAAGAAATGTGTCAACTAAGAAGTATTGGGCTAGTTATAAATATATATTTAAACACAAGAGAATCCTTTCAGAAATAATTTGTTAATGTTATTATCACGTGATATAAAGAAAAATAATAGTAAAATTTAATAAAACTTTATTATTTTTATTGTATACGCTATCCGAAAAAGTAAAATAAATATTATAATGAATTCAGAATTTCGGATCAGCAATATTTTTTTTAAGAATGGCGTCTTTTGAATAGTAAAGGGATCTAATAGAGCTTTGGTGGTTTAATAATTGAATGATTTAATTATTAGTAAAAGATAGGAAAGACAATTTTACATGAATTAAGTGCATTAAACTACAACTCATTATTAAGTAAATATGGTAGTTTGTCCCAACTATTTATGAAGTTTGTAGTTTTGTATATAGTAACTAAGATTAGTAGTCTACAAATTAAAGCAACTGAAATTCTTAACACTTGGATGTTTTTAAGAAGAATTAAAAAAGGCATATCTTGTATATTTATAAAATCTAGACCGATTCTTTCATTTTTGAGTTATTGAATAACCTCAATTTTTCAATTGGCACCACATATTCTGTTTTATGAAAGGAAATACTGTATCACCTTATATTAAATTCCTTATCCGAAAACAGCACAAACACTAGTGAGAGCACATTTAGGAGTTTAATTAATTGAATTTATCAGAGTTTAATAGATATTTCCAGTTGGGTGGACGTCAATTCTTCTACAGAGTGCAAAAATGATAACAGTCGTTTCGTATTTATTATAAAGGCAGATTAACTTGACACTAGAATAAAATATATTTTCTCTTTAAAGTTTTTAAGAAATCAAGTCATACATACGAATACTGTTTCATAGTGTATGATATAAATATATCTTTTATATCATACACTATCTACTTACTTTAATTTAAATGACAGACATGCTGTTAATAAAAAATATTTGTTTCCAATTTTCACATCTCCCTCTCTAATTTTTACTTAGTTTTCCAAAACAATTACCATTAACGTCAAATAAATAGATGAAGGTGTATCCCATTCAGTTGTGATATTATGCTGTTAAAACAAAGATATTCTTTTCACTTAGAAGTTGTTCAACAGGTTTACTTAAGTCACAAACTTTCTGCGTTCTGGAATAAAATCATGTTGTACGAACTTCATTCTGGTTTTCATTCGGGAGAAGCCGATTTGCGTAAAATATATGTGAAAGTTTAAGCTAAACCACGGTAAGAGAATGTTTAGTTTATAAGGATAAATATAACCTTGTTAGAGGTTAAGACATACTATTTAAAACCAATAGCTATATTTAAAAGAAAATTAAGTTAAACGTTTTAAAACCATATCTGTATAATATATAATACTAGAACTATGTTAAATGGAATTATCCCATTCCAGCTGAACAAGACTGGGTTTCTATTTACCCAAATTCGTACAGCAACTAAGAAAGCTGCAGGTTCTCGTACCTCGATGAAGGATTCTGCAGGTCGTCGACTGGGTCCAAAGAAATATAATGGGCAAGAAGTAAAGACTGGTCAAATTATCATGCGTCAGCGTGGGACTAAATTCTTCCCTGGTGAATACGTTGGTGTTGGGAAGGACCATACCTTGTTTGCACTGGAACCTGGTTTTGTTAGATACTATTTAGATCCATTCCATCCAAAGAGAAAGTTTATAGGTATTGCATTGAATAAGGATGCAACCCTACCGACGAATCATTTTGATCCTACTCAAAGGAGATTTGGCCATACGCTACTTGACAATGCAAAAGCTGCCCAAAAAGAAGAGGGCGCATTACCTAGAAAGGAGTTTCTAGCTTCTGACAGTATAAAAGCTGAAATAGAGAGTCGTAGTGAAAAGAGAGCTGCCTTAAAAAAGAGTTATGAAAAATTGCTAAAAAAATTGAAAATAAAGGTGGAGGATACAAACTTAGCTACTGACTACCTCGTTCGTTTGAGAAGTAGTTTAAGAAATGGGTTCTTATTAGGAGATGCGCAGTTCTATTCCAAAAGATATATCGAAATGGAATACCAGTTGAAGGCTGAGAAAGAGGGTGTGAATAAGGATTCCAGAGTTGCCAAATTAGAAGAGATTTGTTCCACCACAGCATTGCTAAATTCATCTATTTCATTTAGTAACAAGTTTGAATTAGGGTCATTTATGACGGAAAACGATAAAATAGATGCCAGAGAGAACTTAATTAAATCACTAGATGAAGTTCACAACAATTTATCTACAAAGAAGGATGTTAAAAAGTTAAAAGATCTATTCAAGGATGCCAGTACATTTTTGACATTATCAGATGAGGTACATTTACGTAGAGTGTATCTGAAACCAGTTCTTTCAGAAGTAGTAAGTAAAGTTGAGCAGGTACAAGCTGGAGAAAAGGCTGGTGCTAAGGGTAAGAGTGTGGTTATCAAGAGGTTTAATTATGAGACAAGCAAGATTGATGTCATCAAAAGGGATAAAAAGGCTTTCTTAAGCAAATTGTGATTACACCCAATGTATATATATTAGAAGCTATTATCTATTTCGAATTCATGTATATAAGATAGATTGGTATTTAGAGGCGTATACCATATAATTGAGTTTATTTAAAATATTCCAACATTTGAAAAATAAAAAGGAGTCTAACCTTAACAACATATTATACAATTTAATTACCGAAATGGTAAGTCTCATGTGTATATTTAAGTAGTATGTGTATGTATGTATGTATGTATGTATGTATGTATGTATGTGTGCGTGTGTGCGTGTGTGTGTGAAGTGCCTCTATAGGTGTATATGAGTATTAATTGTAGAAAAAATAGTTTCAATAAACTAAATATGTGACAGGAGGAAATATTTATGAGGCATATTGATTGATGGATATGAATTAGTTAAATCTATGCATATATTAGTTTTGTTGTTTTAAATCCGTAACGGAATTTTGATTAGTCTTTCAAGTGTAAGAAGAGTTAAAAACCCAATGAATCAACAGCTAATCCATTTAACAGAGTTTAAAAGTTTTTAATGGCACTTCACTTTTACTGTTGCTGAATTATTCCTTCAAACAGATTGTAATGTCTCCATTTCTTGTGCTATCATGTTTTTGTTATTATTATTATCATCAATGTCATTAAAAGTGGTAGTATTCGTAATGGTACTAATGGTAGTATAGAATCAGGGATTATTATGCTTGCCATTTTTTATAAACCGTTTTTTTTTTGGTATGATATTTAATATGATGAACAATGTAATTAATAGTAAAATCAATTGTCATTCATTACTAACATTTTGATAGTTTAAAAAAAAAATTGTACTTTATCATTAATAAAAGTTTTAGTAATTTCAGAATGTATGACGTGAACATTAATTCATTATATTGTAATCGTAAATTTCAAGAGTTAACTTGAAAATGTAACAGCTTTGGGATCTAAAGGTGTACCATCAGATGCAATGTCATTATCACCGAACTTCCTTTCAGTGAAAATCAATCTAGCTTTATCAAAGCTGACATTTTCCGAAACCATTATATCTCTTATCAATTTCTTTGATTCATCATCCAAACCAGCTCTAGAATCATCTCCATTGTGACTTATTATATCAAAATTCGATGAGTGTAATCCGCTCTCTAAGTCATCTCTAAAGGAACTATTTAGATCAGTAGATCCACCCAGACTCCTTACTCTTGTGTTAATCTCTTGGAATTTATATGATAACCCATCTCTCCTACTCACTACTAAGTATACTACTACCACGGCAAGTAAGCCCCAAAATATAAGTTTTAAATGCAAAATTTCTATAGCCATTGTTATTATGATTTGCAGTTGTGTAATTATTGTTTGGTCCTTTGTTTGTATTTGTTAACCCAATTTATCAATAAAAGATTATTATATATAAAAATACTTAAAAAGAATTGAATAAAATTTCTGACAAAGAATACTAAACGAATTGGATTGAGGGAAGAGAGGAAATGTGATAGTTTTCTGCTTAGATGACAAATGACTTATATAACAAAATTAAATAAAAAATAGTCAGCACTGGCCCTTGAGGACTTTTTTTTCCAATAATTTCATTTTTTTGATTTCTTGTTGGCTTGAAATAGCGACCATTTAAATTATTTGTTTCTCATTAAGTCATCACCTTCCACAGAATGTTTCGTACAAACAACAGAATTTTAAATAAATTTCCTCTTTTTTCAAATATTTCCCGCTCCTTCCGTCTCGTTTGAGTCCACAATGGAACAGAGAAGTCGATGAAGCTGATGACGATTATTATTGATATACGGAGAGACAACGTATAGGTCGATATAGACACACCTAATCAAGCAAACAGTCAAGTAAATGTGGTAATATTTCTATATTAGTCTTAACCACTTAAATATTCCTACTGCCATACTTTTTGAGTTTGGTTTTATATCACAACAGTACAGGTATTTCTTTGTAACGGGTGCTCCTCTCGTACGTAATGCAAAAATGTTCGATTACATAATGATATAGTAATAAAAGGCCGGATAATATATAATTAACTATGTTAAACTTGTGTCTGAGGGGTACATCAATATTTTATGAGTATAAGAATTCAACTCAAAAAATAATTATTATAATAAAAAGAGAATATATAGGGTTTATAGTATGGATTCCTAAGTGTTATTATCACATATTTAGGAAAAGATAAAGAATTTTGTGTTCTCGTCTTGATCTTTCAGCATAAGGCTTCGTCTTCAAGTCCGTCAACTTGGGGGTGATAGGACAATAGACGTAAAGTTTACTGAGTTTATTAGAGTAGTATATGATGTTTTTGTCGTGATGTTTCTATTGTTGATATTGCACATTTGAATTACTAGTAGATGAAATATATGTGAATATTGAGGCTAAGCCATATTCCAAGGGTCAGAACAAAAATAAGAAAAAATATACTTAAAATGCGAGAAAACAGTTCGATTAACTGGGGTAATGTGTGGCTATAGTGCCGTATACATCGCTATATCATAGTTACTATCTGCACATATTTTTATTTAAGTTTCGTCAATACGAGATATGCATTGCATACTGGTAAGAATATTACACAAAAAAATATATATATATGTGGCTATAAGGATCGTAACATTCGTATATTTGTAAACTTGGTTTCGTATGGCTCAACTTCATGATATTTCTATCGTTATTTATCTTGCCTTGCTTTTTGACATAGGTTCTTGAATCTGTTTTTTTTTTCTTTGGCGTTCGTATGCCATTCATAATATACGACAGAAAATGAACCGTTGTTCATCGTATAGCGCAAATGAAATAACTAATGCAGAAATAGTCATGAAGAACAGTTCTGTTATTGCACACCTATTGAATTTACCACATATGAAACTGTTTGTTTAGTCACATTTATATTTAAAGTAAGATATATTGATTATTAACTATCCTCGTATTTATTATTTCTAGAGAAATGAAAGTTAATTCCCAAATTACAAGTTTGAAGTTACCATTCAAAAGGCTTAAACTAAATAGATCAAAGGATTTCTTATAAACGTAATAAATGACACAAAATCATTGAACACATTTTTATCTTTTTGATTAAATACCCTTCTTTCACTTTGGATTTGCTTCTTTAAATCTAACAATAATTTTTCTTCTTATCATTTATATAATACACACGATATTAGATCTTGAAATGACAGCCAGTAAAAATAAAGAAAATCATATGAATTATCATCATCTTCAATTTAGTATATGTAAATGATTATAATGGTGGTCATCTATTATTATTTTTTCCTATTATCTTTTAACAGCATAAGAAATACCCAAGTCACAGCCACCATAATTGTATTTATCTAATCTTTCTACGCAAACATCTGCATCATCGATGTTTTCATATTCCACAACAGCAATCCCTGTAGGTTCATTATTAGCACCTCTCTTCAACTCGGCGTTAGTCAACTTACCCATAGTTTCAAATAAATCATATAAATCCTTTCTGTCTGTAGATTCCGGTAAGTTGCTACAGAAGATAAAGTTACTACGTGGACCGTTTGCTTCGTATCCATCAGCGCTAAATGATGACGCTGATGTATGATTGTTACTATTACCATTGGTAGTGGCGGTGGTAGTAGTAGTATTATCATATCTGTTGTGAATTTCAGATACAGGACCAGATGCTCTACCTGGCACAACACTTAGAACACTACCTTCAATTTGGTAACCATTATAACGTTTAATTGCATCGTCTAAATCTGCTTGTTTCGTTAGAATAACTTTACCTACACCAGTAGAATAACCGTTACTATCCAACTCTACATCAGCTCTTGTGACATTACCACATTCTTTAAACATATCCTTTAGGGCTTGCCAGTTTATTGAACGAGGTAAATTATTAATGATGACTTCAAATGATGGTAATCTTTGCCTTTGTCTTGGATTTTGTTGTTGTTGTTGTTGGTATTGAGATCTTTCTTCTGGTTGTCTTCTTTGTTGATTATTTCTTCCACCGTTACGATCACGATTACTTTCTGGTGGTGGATTATCTTGTCTTACAAAGATTGGACGATTCATAAATTCCGAGCTATCGAACTTCCGAATTGCTTCATCGACATCCTGTGGATTAGTATATTCCACAGTACCCATTCCTCTATGATGACCTCTTGAAGTAATGATATCAGCACGAACAACTTCCCCCACAGAAGAGAAAAAATCTCTCAAGTCGTCAGGGGTACAATCATAAGTTAGATTCCCAACAAAGATACTATTAGCATAGTTTCTGTTCACTTTTTCGTCGTACGTACTATCTAATTCTCTAGCTAGTACTGGGCCATAGTCACCTTTCTGTGTGAATCTACTATTTCTTCTATCGTTTTCATAACCTGAATTGGAACGGCCTCTACCATAATCATCACGGCCTCCATATCTACTATTACTGTTATTATTTCTGTTTTCGTTATCATTAAATCTTCCACGACTTTCGTTTCCATTATTATATCTCGAACCACGATATGAGTCGTTATTATCTTGTCTTCTTCTTCTACCACCGCCATTATTATTATTGTTATTCCTTCTATCACCACCATATGAGTTTCTGTTGTCGTTATTGTTGGAATCATTGTTATCGTAGTTGTCATTGTGATTATGACGACGTACAGGTGATCTTGATCTACCTCTGTTATTCTAAATTGAAAATAGTAAAATAAAAAATGAGATGAAAAAATTGTTTGTTATCTTTGTATCTTACTTTTTGTATTATAATACAAAGAAAATAAAAGGTTAACGAATATAATTTCAAATCAGAAAAAAAGCAGTATTAGTATAAACAAATTCATTCAAAAAAGAAATAAAAGATATCCATGTCAATTACCAAATTTATTATAGGGATTTATGTAGTAAGTGTAATTAATCTTACTCCATCAAATGTAAAAAAAAAGATTTGATTACCTTTACAAGCCTATTGAAGACAAAGTAAAGGTCATCAAACAGTTAATACATTAGCAGAGCCCTCGTATTTTGGAAAAAAGAAAAATGACTTGAACAACATTGCAATAGAATGCATTTTAAACCAATATGGTCTCCCAAAAAAAAATGCAAAAAAAGCAGCCTCTTTGGGTTTCATACCAGAATTACCATGCAAACATTATCTATATGGTACTTACGTATTCGGAATCTCTCTCTGTACCTGACATATTTGAGGGTATAATTTTGTAATTACGTTAATCTAGCAAAAATTCAAAGTAAGTGTCTCTGATCAGAAAAGAAAGATGCAAAAAAAAGCTTCGAGAAAGATTAATGCAAATATATCGGATAATATTGATCTAGCTTAATATCCTGTATAAAATGATCCTCTTCTAAAAGTTTGGGTTCATGTATAAATGTTCAATTAAGTTAAGTTTTTCACTTTCCTTGTGTTGTTGGCCTTCTTACTTCTGCCTAACCCGAAACCAAATTATTAATTTTTCTCTTTCCATTTGCTTTGCTTTGCTTTGTTTTGTTTGCCCGTTAAAAAAATTTACATATATTTTCATACTGGTGCGCCTTTACTTACTTATTCACGCATTAAAAGAGTTTCAGCTGTCAAATTAGATGAAAGTTAAAATAAGGGACGGTCAAAATCATGTTGCACGACACTGTAGATAGCCTTCCAACGGGGATATACTTCACTAAATACTAAAGGAAATCCATGACACACTCATTTACTTTGAGTAATATCATGATGATGCTTACCATTGTTAACAAGACTAAAATAACTAAATAATTCTAAAAAGTTTCTTCGTTTTGTTAGATAATCGAAAAAACGTAACGTTAGTTTACCGAATTTCATCCGATTAGAACAAAATATATAATTATTCATAATAAAAAAAAACATGCGATATTTCATTTACAAAAAGGAGACTGAATACACTTCTTATTTACTGTAATTTCATATTACCCTCTTCTTTTGAGGACAACATATAATGTACTGACTCATAAACTCCAAGGAAGATTGCTCCTCCTGCACTAATCCACATAGTTCTTGGACCAATACCACTAAAAAATACTAATGGACCTTCTTCTTTTAATATTGTACGTACCATGGCTCCGGTACGTTCGGACGTTGTGTGCAACATTATTCTTGTCTTAAGAAAATCTAAAGGTGTCGTAACTGCTGCTGCAATACCACCGGCAATTGAACCACAAATGGCACCTTTCCATGGTAACAAAATTTCAGAACCTTCCGCAGTTTTCCATCTTTTCTTCATATATTCATATAATGGAAATTGTATACAAGTGAATGGTATCTCACGCATAATAGTAGTTGACCATCCCCTATATAGATTTTTTCGAATTCCTTCTCCATTAGAGTTTTGTAAGATAATCTTTAATGTTTGGTATGATGAATGAGAGGTACTTGTTTGAGTACGTTGTTTAATGACTTCAGCTGGTACCCTTACAAGACATGCAGAAATCTCACCCAAAGTCGACGCAAACATATGTGTCAATGTATCCACGAGTTGTTCTGAACTATTTTTACCAACTATTCTATTAATATATGGCTTCGAATGAATCTTCATTGTATCATATGTAACAAAAAATAAAGATGCACCAGGTGCTGATGCCACTATGGCACTTCCAACACCTCTATAGATATTGTGATATCCACCATTCTTAAAAAACCCACCTTTGGCTTGCAATCTGGTCTTTATAGTATCAATTGGGAAAAATACTAAATCAGTAGATGTACCTGCAGCAGCACCGCTAAGTAATGATATAACAAAAGAACCACCTATCATATTTTTAGGGAACTAAATATTTACAAATGGAATTGAAGAAAGACGTTTGTCCCAATGGTATATGAAGTAATATGTGTAAAGCAAAAAAAAAAGAAGGAATATGAATCTGTTGCAAAAGAGTACTGTACCGTTTGAGTTTGTCGCCTTTCTAGCTGCTGATAATTGTATGATAAATGTGAAGTGACTGATTGTATACTGAAGAGTTACGACCAGATAGTTATTAAGAATAACTTTCTTCAATTGAATCCTTTTAATAGAACTTCCTTGTGTCCCTTCATTGGAAGATCCCAGTATACCTTATCTCACCTCGAAAATGATCGGGTGCAGTGTTCAAGCGTGGAAAAAACGAAAAAAAGGAAGAAAGGACTAAGTGCGACCTTTCTCGAGTCATTATCTCATTATGAAAAAAAAGTGTCACACATTTTAAGATTGATAATACCAATTGCTAAACATAGCATGGGTCTAATTAGCTGCATAATATAAAGAGGTTATCATTAACTGTAAAATATGAAAAAAATATTTAGTAATATATTTAGTAAGTCGTAGATGAAACCTGAGACAAATAACTTGTGGTAGTAACATATGGAAGTTCAATTGTTTTATGGCGGATGGGTACACAGTAACGTAACACAACCACTCTTGGAGGTATCGAAACAATACAAAGAAACGGATAAATAGTAAAATGACACACCAATAGATTTCCAAAAATGAAATAATCACAGAGGTCATTTGGATGGTCTTCTAAAAAAGTTCAGCTCAAATGAACAGGTATACTATACAAGAAAATGACATCAAACACGTTTGTTTTGATCATTACCAATCAACACTTTAATATTTATTTCGCTCCTAGCTAATATCTGATCTTAATGAAACAATAATATTTCTTTTTATGAAAATGTATAAATAGAATAGAATAAAACAAAACTTTTGGAGATATGACAATAAAATTATTCGTAGGTGGCATATATTTTCTTTAGAAACTATTGTTTTAGAAATAGATAAATTAGATATGAAAATAATGCAAATGGAGCATTATTTGTTTATTTGTTTATATATTCATATTGGTATGGGATTATAGTATGGATCATCTTTCTCTCGGAATAACAAACCGAATATCTTTTTGTTTATATCTCAATATTCTAAATTTATTACTACACGAGATTGTTCAACAAACCAATGAAATTGAAAATAATTATACATCAACAGTCCATTCTATTACAATAGTTATTCTGTAATTTAAAAAAATCGATGGTAGAAACCATAGGTATGTATGTACATTCATACACCTCACATTTGAATTTATTTTAATTTATAATTATATGAAATTGTTTTTTTTCATATAGAAAAAAAGTCAAAAACTAACTGATCAGTCAACCAAATGGTAAGAGCGACTCTTTTCTCAAGTGATGTTGAAGAGAAAAGTGAGGTACAAAGATAGAAATTATATACGTTACCAATAGTTTGATTATGTTATAAAACATTTATATGCCCAAAAGTAGGAAATTGAAAAATTAAAAATAGAAGAGAGAGAATGATAAGGTGACGAATGAGATTAGATCACGATAATGACGATAATAGATATAATCAAAAAAAAAATATATATCTACAATAGAAAGCTGGAAGACCAAAATATATTAGGTCCAACAAAAAAATTTCTGAACAATAGAAATCCGTCAAAATGACTTTAGTAACCATCTATATTTCTATTCTTCCACTATTGTATTATTTCAGGTTGAAAAAATTAGATAAGGAACAAACAATAGCTAGCCACTTTGATATTTTTAACAAATGAAACTTCTTTAATTTTTTTGTTTTTTTCCAAAAAGAAGAATTAAAAAAAATATAGGAGAATGAGGTCATCTTGACAATTATAATAGGATGCCTTTTTAGAAAAACCTTACTTCAACAACCTATTATATAAAACTTTAAACGATAAGCTATTTCTCTATAAGGACGCCTTGAAGTTGAGGTTAACAATACAATACCACGAGGAAAATTTAAGACCAGTAAAACCTTCTTTCTTCCAACATCAATAATTATTATTATTATTACTATTAACAATAACTTTTTAAGTTATTTTCTTAAAAAAATATCGAGTTGGTGTGGTAATAATCGATTTATGTCTTATTTCATGTAACCTTTTTTTTTTTTGACCTTGATATAACAAAAAAAACTGATTCTAAATTAATAAGCATATTTTAATTGGACTAAATAATTAATTAGAAACAACTCATAATAGTGGTGACATCAATGTATGCTATTAAATGAAAGGCGATAAACGTCATAATACATCGATATATTCGTTAAGAAATCAAATAGGAATGATAATACTAATATATAACCTTAATTATCTAGAAAATAGAAGTTTTAGGAAAAAACTACATCAAAACTATTAAATATCAATCAAAGAATCAACGGTATTATTACCTTGTTATTATTATTACTAATATTAAGATGTTTTATTAATATTTTGGGGTCTATCGATTGATACTACATCAGCAGAATAATGAACAAAAACAAAAAAATATCACTGTCCCATGTTCAAAGAGAACCCGTAAATCACGTATGTAGTGTATATCATTTATATACAAAATACTCTCAATTTTATTAAGAATATTTAAGTAACCGTTTCTTCAAAATCGTTTAAAAGTGTGACACCACGTGTCTTAAAATAAAGAAAATAAGGGAAAATATGAAGCTAAAAAAATATAGTGACATCTATGATATTTCGTTGAGTATATATATTTTATCACCAAAAATTATTTCCTAATAAATTTTCCTTTAATAAAAGACATATACCTAAACACAGTAATATTTGTTTATCGGTGGGCCCAAGAAACAAGAAGAATGAAGATTAAGAAGAATTCCCCTCCCCTTCCCATTTTTATTCTTTCTTCGAATTACAAATAATAAAAACATCAACCTAAGATGCAGTTAATTAAAATTAACATTTTTTTAAGAATATACTAAAAAAGAATAATGTAGTCCAAATATGGAAAGAGGGGAAGTTTTTTGTAGCAATTAATATAATCAAAGGATAAATTCGAGGAATTTCATGTAAATATTCTAAAACAGATCTATAAAATCTCTCTACTCTTATGGTCCGTGGAATTTTAATTAAAAAAAGAAAAAAAGGGTGTGAATACTACTCATATAAAGTTTGAGCTGCATTAACGTAGTAAAAAATTCTCCTCTTATCTCAATTTCTTGTAGTAATATTCTACCAAGCATCATTTATTACACGATCTTTTAAAATCATTCAACGATAACAAGATACATATTATAAAACTCCGTATATTCATCTACAAAGAAATCAAAGAAAAGAGTGAAAATTAGATAACAGGAGAATGTTTCAATAAAAACAATGACAACAAAAGATAACAACAGCTCTCAAAATGGTATCAATCTGACTAAATGTGGAAAGTGTCTTAAACTTTTACTTTCCAATAGGTTTATTGCTTATTGTATATTGTTTATTTTATTTGTATTTGTATTTTGTAGTGAGCATAAATTGATCTGCTTGAGATGCCTACATCTAGAGGCCTTTCCCTTCTGTTTTCTTATGTCACCAGCATTGAATCATATACAAAACAATGCGGTACTTTTCACACAAAAAAACACATACTCTACAGAGTTGTTGTGAACGGAATAACCTAATACCTCACATAATATTTACTATTATTCTTTCCCTTCAGGGGTCTCTATCAATTTAGTAATATTTCTCTCCAAAAATAACGAAGAAGATCAACGTACGGAGAAATTACCAAAAATGTTTTTAAGACCATATTGTACTAACATCTTAGTTCTGGAGAGTCAAATTGAAACTGTAATAATAAGCATAACAATAGCAAATGTATAAATTGATATTCTCATGAGAAAGAAAAGCAAGGTATTTACAGATGAAGCTGTATGAGCTTTTCATTTAACTCCAATAGCAATAGAATGCCTATATTATCATTCCCATACAGATTCAGTAATCTGGAAAAGAATTGAAACTTTGTACTCAAAAAACTTTACAGAAACTTAATGAGTTCGTTTCTTCTTTGCCCTCCTTTTCTTTCTTGTCGTGTAATGATTTACTCCCTGTATATCTCCTTCTTGTCTTGGTCTTACCTAGATTTATTATGAGTTACTTTTGGTTTTAGTTTTGACTTCTCTAGATTTTCCCTTAATACTATTTTCAAAGAAAGCCGTGGACAAAGAAGCGGGCGTTGCCACATCAAATGATTTAAGTGTAGATGCGGGAAAAAGAAAAAGAAAATGAAGAAGAAGGAGATTCGGCATAATTTTTGTAAATACCGAAACATCACCATCATCAACCTTATCGACATCATCGGTTGAATCATCTGATTGAAAAATAACTCTCCTGAAATTTTTTATTATTGAAGATTGAGCAGCCGACAAATGCAGCTTCTTTCCCCACACTTGTACATATTATACTCAGAAATTGAACGAAATGGCCATAGAAACTGTAATTGAGAATTGTACCCATTATTACTGCTAGTAGAGTACATCAATACGGAGAATAGAGAGATAAGGATGAAATGTGAAAAGTGGCTTAATATTTCAGCGAGAGAAATAATATTTTCTATTTTTTATTATAGATTCTCCTGTTTTCAATATTTGCTCTTCTTGTTGGTAAGAAAAACAAACAAAATATGATAATAGTAACAATAAAAATGACAAGAGTCGGTATTTACTGCTATTGTTGTTCTTTATAATTCACATAACCACGAACTGTTCATAATACAAAACTAAACGGAACTTTCGCTTGAAAGAAATAATAAAAATAAACATTTTCTTTGTATTATCTGCAGATATTCGTTATTTTCACTCTTGAATACAATAGCAAGAAAGAGAGGAGGCCCTTAACGATATTCATCATGATGTTACGTAACCAACTTCTCAACAAACTAGACTAGGCACATATTTATGCCTTAACAATCAAACTTTTTATTTCTTTCTTTTTAATATTATTATTGCTATGAAGTTCCCTACGATTCTCACGATAAACAATATTATCTAAAGAGAAAACTTGATTGTTCTTCAGTGTTTTTTCCAGGACATCTCAATGCTTTTTCACCACAGGTAAAAATCGCTCCTGTTTCCATAGTTCACATCTTGTCATGGTGCCCACTATTAAAATAGACAGAACCAAAAAAAGAATACGCGGAAGAATTGAAGAATATACATAAATATCTTAAACCATCTGCTATTTCACTTATTTCTTGTCCTTTTTGGTGTAAGATACAATACTTACAAGGGGAAAGAATCACATGTACAAAATAACAACTAACAACGTCTAGCTCTTAATTGCTTCGGGCTTTCTTTTTTTATTTTTTATTTTTGCCTCGACCTGGTGATATATTCTGTCTAGTTTTCTTTTGTTTTAAGTTATCTCTATTTTTTTAGGATCACCTTTTCGAGTCTTCAAGTCGATGTTGATGGAGGTATAATGATCATGATGTGCCATTAAGACTCCTTACTTTTTTTTTAATATAAATACAAAGAAAGTTCTTCGAAAACTTCAAAAGATGATTATTGATGTGTATCCATTACCCAATTACGATTAGGTATATGTGTATTACTTTCTTATAATATTTTCCTTGGTTTTATATATATATATTTTTAAAATAAATATTAATATTATTATTTTCCTAATCTATAGAACTAATTACCAAAAAATATTTTATTTGCACAACATACGAATCCTGTTTTGATCTTTTCCTCCTCTATCAATTAATATCTCAGATATATATATTTTTAAAATTATAATAGAACTCACCAACTGAATTGACTGTTACTTAAAGAGGCATTTTTAAAACAGAAAAATAACACACTAGATTAAAGAATAAATATAATAATCTAATGATAAGTCCCTTACATCCACAAACTTTTATTAAAATGGAACCTACCCCGACTACAGTGAAGGGTTTAGGTTTGTCCAATAACAAAGGTCCCTCGCCAATTTTTCAATATGGTAGCCAGAGAACACTATCCAATGGTCCATTATTTAATAATAATAACAACAACAATAATAATAATAATAACGTTAATAACAACGATTTTCAGTCCAATTTCTCAACGTCATCATCTTTAGTGACAAATACTGGTAGCCAATTCGGTTCTCCGCAATTTAACTCCTCAAGAAAAACAAGTAATAATATTCAAAATAATTTATTATCAACTAGTACAACTAGTAATAGTACTATAACGTATAATAATATTTCAAGACCAAATGTCACAAATTATATTTCACAACCAAAGATCACAGATCAATCATTCTCTGTATTGTCATTACCACAACCATACAGACTACCGGCACATGTAGAAGACAACAATAATAATATTGCTATTGCTGGTTCCAACAACTACTATCACTATTCTTCTAGTCCAACTTCAACTACACAAAACAATAATAAGCACAATGATATAAATATTTATCCTGTGGGGACTAAATTTCATGATTCAAATGGTAATATTCAAGATGGACAATATTCTAATGGATACTTGCCAACACAACAACAAGGTGTTCCTCAGGAAAATAAGCCAGCCTTTATAGCACAATACGGTGCAAGTCAACCATTCATTACTAGAAGTGCATATCCACCCTTATGGATGAGGACCCAAACTAATGACGTACTTTCAGGACCTACATATAATACCTTTAGAAAAAGCGACATCAATGATATAAATATAAAACCTAAGTCACCCTCCATTTCAAGTCCACCAGGTTATAATGGTAATGGTACCCAATCGCAGGCTCAATATGGAATTGACCATAACAATGGTATATTTATGAGAAGGAACACTCAGGAACAAATTGCTAAATCAATTGCAGAAAAAAATATTCAAGTACCAATTGATGAATATGCTAATAATGTAAGAAAAGCCGAATTAGCTGTTCTCGAGATGAATGATCATACTCATAGTAAATCTGCTATTCAAAGAGCTGAACAAAATAGAGAAAGAGAAAAACATGTCTATGCATTATTATGGTTAATGAAAAATTGTAAAGCTGAAACAAACTCCTATGTTCCTCGTAGTAGAATATTTTCACAATATGCAGCCTCCTGTGCTAAATCAACATTGAAACCATTATCACAGGCTACATTAGGTAAATTGATAAGAACCATTTTACCAGATATCACTACAAGAAGGTTAGGTATGCGAGGTCAGTCCAAGTATCATTATTGTAATTTAGCATTACTATCTGAAAGTGAAGTTTCATCTCGTTCAAGTTCAAACGTCGAAGGTATTATGAGTGACAACTCTAGTACACATACTAATATTTCTACTATTGCTCCAGATTCTAAAAATAATAACAATAAAGATAGATCTTGCCATGATTCTAATGATTCAAAGACTAATCCTAGCGTAGCTGCATTATTTAATGAAATCTTCAAATGTAATGAGTTACCCTTTAATAGTTCTTTACAATTACCACCAATCCCACTAGACGAAATTTCTTCAAAGATTGATTCTGATATTGCATCGTCATTGGAATCACTTTATCATGTCCATTGCTTGTCCATTTATGAAAATATTCTTTTCATGAAATTCGATGAATTACCAAATTGTTTAAACTTATCCAGTAATGGGTCTTTATCACCTCAAATGTTTAATCTATTGATCTCATCTGAATTATACAATTGGGTTTATGAATGTGACTTAAAGACTCATGCTGTTATCATCCAAGAACTTGCCAAGAAATTAATCAATGAGGATACAATTATAGAGACTACAGTAGAACAATTAAAAGTTTTCAATCAATCATATAAGGATGTTGTTGCTAGAGCCTCCTTAGATTTACCAATTCCAATGGTTGAGAATAAAGTGTCAGTGGCTAATAAATTTTCTTTAATAGTAAAAGAACTTGTCAAGTTATTAAATTATTCTAATGCCTTCATGGAAAATTTCCCAAGTTATAAGAATGGTATGGTTAACGACTGGCAAAAGTTAGTGACTCGAGAAAATTTTACTGATTTGCCATTAAATGACAAAGGTGTAAAAAATGAGGAAGATCCCAAACCTTTGAGCTCTTCTGTCAAGACAAGAATATGTGAAGACATTTCTATATTTTTAGAGTCTACAGAGACTAAAGAATTACAATTGAAGAATTTAATTGAAAAATTTTGTAAGTTTATTACTTATAAAGGAAGCTCAACAGCACATAGTATTGCGAACTATTATTTACAATTTTTTGGTGGATTGGTTGGTGAATTAAGTCTAAAAGCATCTGACAACTTACGTTGTTGGTTGTATTTCAATAATATCATATACCAATTGATCGCATATAGTGAAGATTTCAGAAACTTAATTAATATGGTCAAATAAAATTGATAGAAATATACATATATACACAAACATTAATAATTTATATAATTTTATAAAACAAAAAGTGCTTTTTTAGCTTGAGAATGTTATGTTTTACATTCTATAATACTTTTCGAACAAAACAGATATGATAAGGTAAAAAAAAGAAATTTGGAATATTTGAGTCTGTGTTTGTCTATATATATGTATATAAATATATAAAATTAAAAATGCATGCATATAAATAATATAGGGGGGGTAGGAAGTGGAATGAGATATTAAACATCATTTAATGCTACACATACGGTACCTTTATGATGCCCGCCATATTGTCTTACGATTTCTCTTGTTGAAAGATCCCATAACCTAACATAATGATCTGATGAAGCAGTCACCAAGTATGCACTATCTGCACTGAATGCACAATCCCAAACCCATCGTTGATGCTCATCCAAAGTAGATTCCAATTTATAATTATCTTCCACAGACCATACTCTAGCAGTCTTATCAGCAGAACAGGTTGCCAAATGTTTCACATCTGAAGATAATAGTATTCTAGTGATATAATTTGAATGAGCTTTAAATTTAGTGACGGGTTTTAAATTTGAAGCATCTGTATGATTTGGCATATTCCAAACAAAACAATTCCCTTTACTATTGGCGGCTACCAAAGTTGAACCATCACTTGCAATCGATAATGATTGTAATGGAGTATTATCTTCCGGAGTTAATTGGTGAGTACATTGATTTTCACCGAGATCCCATATTCTAATATTTCCATCTCTATCACAAGATATCAATTCTCCTTGATTAGGATGTATTACAACTTCATTAACTGGTGCGTTATGTTTATAGTTTCTTGGTACTGATGGCGATCTGACATCCCATACTTTTATTGTACCGTCTTCACTAGATGATACCATCCATTTATTATCTTGTTGAAATGCGACAGAAGTGACATTACCTTTATGACCTTCAAATGATGCTACAGGGTTTGGATTAGTAGTCTTAATATCATAAAGTCTAATATTCTGATGACCTGCAGCGGCCAAAAGTTTCTTATCGTTTGTAATTTGTAATCTATTCACTTGAGAATCTGAATGTTGAATTGTACGTGAACAGACTCCCGTAAGAGCTTCCCAAAATCTAATGGTATGATCGTAACCTGCCGACACCAATATAACTGACATGTCGTCTATATATATATACACAGAGAGAGAGGGAGAAAGGCTGGACGAAATACACCTATTTGCAATGAGCTGATATATATATATCTAAATGTTCGTTATTGTTATTGAAATAGTCAACCAAAATATTACCAAACTATGTACGTAGGAGGTACTGCTTCTACTTATTGAAATAGGCATACAAATAGCAAAAAAATCGGGAAGACCGTTACCCGGGCTGCACGTGACCACCGGGCAACCCATCAATCACACCCATTTAACTTATAATAACAGAATCGGTGAAGTGAAGTGAAGTGAAGACCCAAGACGCTTCCCCCCTGTACTTGAAGTGATTAAGAAGTTACAGCTACTACCACCTCCACCTCCACCGTCCATAACTCTCAGACGCTCTCCCTACAATCACAGTTATATATATACAGTTACATGCAGTTGTCTGTCTATCCATATGAGAACGGTGCTGGCGACAGTAATTGCAACGATATCAACCAATAGGAAACGGGAACAATCGAATAGTCGAATGAATTAATAAATTCCTATTAGAGACACTTTCTCCCATTAGCCGCGCATGTTCCCACCTCATGCAATTTTTATTCTCAGAAACAGCCGCACAAAAATACACCTCTGGTCACATGACGAGCTTATTCTAGAAAATTCTAGAAAGAAAACGAAGCGAAGCGGAATGTCTCAATTTTCAATTAATTAGAGGAAAGATGCCATGACAGGGGTGAAGCGAAGCAATATAATTCATATATATATAAGGGAACACAGGGAGAAGAAGAAGAAGAAGAGGAAGTAGAAGAAGAAGAAAGTATTTTAGCATCAATTTCAATTCTCGATTACCAAATCATTTCTATTTATTTACAATTATATCCATAGGATACTGAAAAATAAAAAAACAACAGAAACCCTGTTAGAATTATTCCAAAGACAATGGTTAAAGAGACTAAATTATACGATTTATTAGGTGTTGCACCTTCAGCTAATGATTCAGAAATTAAAAAGGGTTACAGAAAAGCTGCTTTAAAATACCATCCAGATAAACCTACTGGTGACACTGAAAAATTTAAAGAAATCTCAGAAGCATTTGAGATTTTAAGTGATAAGGATAAAAGAGAAGTTTATGATCAATATGGTTTAGAGGCCGCAAGATCTGGTGGTCCTCAATTCGGCGGTGCTGGCGGTGCCGGTGGTTTCCCAGGTGGTGCCGGTGGATTCTCAAGTGGTGGATTCCCAGGTGCCGGTGGTGCTCACTCATTCTCTAACGAGGATGCATTCAATATATTTTCACAATTCTTTGGCGGTAGTGCCGGTGGTGATGATGCTGGATTTTCTTTCTCTTCTGGTGGTATGCCAGGAGGAGGAGGTCATCGTTCTCAATTCGGCGGTATGCCAAGCGGTATGGGTGGTATGCCAGGTGGTATGGGAGGAATGCCAGGTGGTATGGGCGGTATGCCAGGTGGTATGGGCGGTATGCCAGGTGGATTCAGATCAGGATCGGGTTCTCCTCCAGCAGGTCCCGAAGAAACCGTCCAAGTCAATTTACCTGTATCGTTAGAAGATTTGTTTGAAGGTAAGAAAAAATCCTTTAAGATTGGTAGAAAGGGTCCAAATGGTACTGCTGAAAAGACACAGATTGATATTCAATTAAAACCGGGTTGGAAAGCTGGTACTAAAATTACATACAAGGGTCAAGGTGATTATAACCCACAGACTCATGGCAGAAAGACTTTACAATTTGTCTTACAAGAAAAAGATAATGCAATCTTTAAACGTGATGGAGATAATTTGGTTTATACTGTGCCGTTAACCTTTAAAGAATCTTTATTAGGTTTTCAAAAGACCGCTCAAACTATTGATGGAAGAACATTACCATTAAATAGATCACAACCAATTCAACCAACAGAAAACTCCGTATATCCAGGACAAGGTATGCCAATTGCAAAACAACCTGGACAAAGAGGTGATTTGATCGTTAAATATAAAATCGATTATCCAATCTCATTGAATGATGCACAAAGAAACGCAATTGCACAAAACTTTTAGTGCACATATAATAAAATAATACTTTTAATATTACATACTTCCATAGATATAAACTCCATAAATACACAGGCCCCATAAATATACAGACTCCACATATAAATAAATAATAATAATAATAATAATAATAATAATAATTGAAAAGAAATGTTTTTTTATTTATTTTTCATCATCTATAAAAAATATATATGTATATGTATGTATATACTTTATCTATTTAATTATTTAATTTTCCATTAATTCAGTAACAGTCTTAGTACCAGCTAGTACTTCTTGCATGTTAGCCAAGATATCCTTGAAGGAATCGAATTCATGGAATGGAACATTTTGTCTCTTACAGAAAGTGACTAAATCTTTACCACGTTTAGCAAATAATAGATCACATTCTTTAGCGGCACTTAAATCAGAGATACCATCACCACAATAGAAATAAGTAGGTCTAGATTCACCGGCAGGTTGTTTAGCTTCAAATTCTTTCTTATAGATATCAATGGTTCTGGATTTATCATGACCGTGGCCACTTTCATCTCTGTAAACAACAGTCATCTTTTCATTGGAATCTAAATCAACTGCATTGGCCACAATGTCAATCTTCTCCACAGCATCAGCACCTAACAATTTGGTCAATAGAGCCTTAATGATTGGTGCCATACCACTAGAAACAACAACAATTGGAACATTATTAGCTTGAGCCCATTCAAAAGTTTCTTTGAAACCAGGATCCAATTCAATATTCTTCTTTAGAATATCTAAAGATTCTGGCATTGGAGTCTTAACAGAATCGATCATACGAGTGAAACCATCTCTGAAAGTAGTGGTACCATCAAGGACACCTTCGAAGATTTTACCTCTAGCTTCTTTACCAAAACCATAGTTATCGGTTAGATAATCATTAGAATCTTGTAATGTGACAGTACCGTCGAAATCAGTGAAAATAACAGCTTTAACCATGATGTATATCTATATAGATGAGATTGATGGGGACTTATGGGGGTTTTATAGAGTGTCAACAATATACTACTTATACCTTTCTAATGGTAAGTAAAGTATATTTAAAGAGTTCCCTCCTGTCCCAGATTTTACAAAATTTCCAGTTTTGTTCTATATTTTCGGTTCTTGCCTACAACGTAGAGAGAGTTATTCAGTTGCAATCAGGGCTTGCCGTTACAAGTGACAGAAAACCAAAGGTTTGGAAAGTAGGGCTTTATTTTCTAGAACATATTCCTCTCTCTTCATCAATTCACATAGCAACAACCCCCGTAATTTTAAACACCAATTCCACTATCAACAACGACCTTAATGAAGATGAATATGCAAAAAGGGCTTACTAAACTGGAGGTATACCGTGGACATCTGACCAAGCATCAACATCAACATTTCTTCTTTATACCATCTTCGTTAATGGAGAACACTACTCCGCCAATTCAAATCATAAGTGGCTTATTTTTGTTTGTTTTGTTTGCTTCTCCGCAGAATTCTGTTCTATTAATAATCACAAGTTATCTAATGCAACTACCATATACATGTATACGCACATAAAATAAGTGATACGTAGCCTCTTCATCACTATCACCACTTTGCTCTAACTTAGTAGCCCTTGAACTTGCTGTTCTCAAGACTTATTAAGGACACATATTCCATATCCTGTCTTCTGGGTTAGCCGCTCTCTTAACAGATTTGGGGGCTGCTATGACCCTCGACATCCCCCGCCGCTCCTTCCCTTCAATACACAAATTTGTAGATATAAATAAATATTGTGAATAACGAGAGTTTTTATGGTTGCTATATAAAGAGAGGAAATAGCCGCTATGCAACAAGACATAACTATCCCTTAAACGTTCACAATTACAAAATAACAAGTAAACACACACAAACACACACACACATATATATATTTATAAATAGTCATGACTGGTCAGAATTTTAAAGTTGTTGTATTTTCAGGTGGTACCGCTACAAACTCTCTAACTCCGTGCTTCACTAATATTGCAAATATTCCAGGTTCAGAAGTCACTTATGTCTTACCAATTTCCGATAATGGTGGGTCTACCAGTGAGATCCTACGGATTCTCGGAGGTCCTGCCATTGGTGATATCAGATCAAGAATCATAAGAATAATGGAAGATGAACCGTTAAGTAAATTGTTTGGACATAGACTAGCCGATGATTCTTTGTTAGCAAAACAAGAATGGAATGACATTGTAGAGGGATCTCACTTCATTTGGAAAGAAGTCCCTGTTGAAGTGAAAGAAATGTGTAGAGCGTTTATTATTCATATACAAGCTGAATTGTTAAAGAAATCAAAAAATTCTTATAGTTTCCAATTTGAAAAGGCTTCTGTTGGGAATATGTTTATGACAGGTGCTCGTCTATTTTTAGGTTCGTTGGATGCGTCAATTGAATTGTTAATGAGGATTGGAAGATGTAACCCAAATACTTACGTTATTCCATGTATTAATTCCAATCATACACATCATATTTCGGCATTATTAACAAATGGAGATGTTATCACTGGTCAATCTCAAATTTCACATCCTTCTCCACTTCAAAACTTAAATAATACAAAGAATAGAGCTACAAAACAAGCCAAAAAGAATGATTTCTTACATATTATGAAAGAATCACAAACTGCGGTAGAGTTATTAAGAATGATGCCTTCTTCCTCATCTTCGTCTTCAAACGGAATAGTTGATAACTCAACAACCACTATCGGAACTCCTACTTCAATAAAACAGGAAGGGGAATTAGATTCAATGGTGGAGGCAGAAGAAGCAGAAGAACAAGAATTTGCTAATCCAGTTTATATTTTACCTGAATTGAAAAACTCACAATTACATTTTAATAAAGTTGACGATAATAATCATTTACCTGCACCAATTAAACGTATTCTCTATATTAATCCATATGGAGAGGAAATTAAACCAATGGGTAACTCTAGAGCCATTTCAAAATTGAAAAATGCTAATATGATTATCTATTCTATAGGATCCTTAATGACAAGTTTAATGCCAATTATAATCTTAGGAAATTTTGCAGATACTATTGCTATGACTAAGAATACTCATAAAATTCTTATCGTCAATAATGAATACGATAGAGAAACTTCTGGGATTATTGGTGAAGATTATATCAGAATAGTTATCGAGTCTATGGCTAATGCAATGGCAGATTACAGAGAGGCAAAAGGGTTATCAATCGACCCAACTACTATCAAATGGAATTCATTTATTACAGATATTATATATTTGAAGAGAGGTCAAATTCAAATGGATTGGGATTCTATTTCTGAAGTGCACAATATCAAATGTCATAAAATTGAAGCCGACCTTCTAGAGAACGAAACATTGCAACAAGTGCTAGAGACAATAAGTCAAACAAGTTTATAAGAAAATAACAACAACAACTACATACAGATATTATTAAATAAATTAATGTTTAAGTGATGCGAAATATATAGCTGAATTAATGTGGGAATTACCAAATTGGTATATCGCTGTGACATTCCGTGAGTAGTGACACGTCGGGTAACATCCAATCTTTAATTTTATCGAAAAAAGAGCAGATCATCACACATCTCTTAATCATAATACTTAGATAGGCTAAAGAAGGATGCATTTTCATAATACTTTCAACCAAAGGAGATTGAGTTTTGCTTTCAAGATACAGTCATAACGATATAGAAGAGTCGGAAGATTACTCTTTTGGTTTTTTTTTTGAATATTGGTCAAGTGGAAAAGTACACATGTTTGATTTTAAAATAGTGATATAATAAATATCTCAAAGACAAAGTTAGTCATCGTTGTTGTCATTTATTAATTTCAAATGCAAACACATAACAACCCAGAATTGATACCGTCAGAATTGATTGGACAAAGTGAAAGGACCCCTGCAACTAATAGTATTCACAATTTGGATAATGACACTCGACAGAGTAGTAATGCAAACAACAATAATAATAATGGAAGTAGAATAGATGAGATCATAAGGCGAGAAAGTGATATAATACAATTGATTCGACAAGGTGACGATTTATTGACGCTCACTGAAGGAGAAGGTGGTGATGGTGCTGATACAGATGTGGATGCAAAATACTTATCACATATAAGTCCTATTGGTTCACCGGTACACCGAGAACGAGTCGGTGATATGGATTTATTAAGGGATAAATTTGATGACGTTATAAAACTATTCCATAATGAGGAAGCTTCTAAAAATGAAAATAACGATAATACTACTACTACTAATAATAATAATGGGAGAGGAGATGGAAACACTACAATGAAGGACGATGACGAAGATATTGATGATAAATTTATATTAGAGGACCATCAAGGGAAAAGTAAGGAATTTTATGAAGAGAATGATAGTAAAAATGGAACTGCAGGCGTTAAAGAGATGATCCCACCAGAGAATTTTAGTCATGTTGTAGGGGAAATATATAGAAGTAGTTTCCCAAGAGTGGAAAATTTTGATTTCCTATTGAAAAGATTGAAATTAAAATCTATATTGGTATTAATTCCAGAAGAATACCCGACTGAAAATTTGGAGTTTATGAATCAATCTGGAATTAAGTTGTTCCAAGTGGGTATGAGTGGTAATAAAGAACCGTTTGTCAATATACCGTCTAATTTATTAACTAATGCGTTAGAGATTGTATTAAACCCCGAGAATCAACCCATTTTAATACATTGTAATAGAGGGAAACATCGGACTGGATGTCTAATTGGGTGTATTAGAAAATTACAAAATTGGTCCTTAACTATGATATTTGATGAATATCGTCGTTTTGCATTTCCAAAGGCTCGTGCATTGGATCAACAGTTTATAGAAATGTATGATGATCGTGTGATTACAAAGGTTGCCAGACAAAACAAATGGTTACCATTACAATGGTAATAAAACTATTAAATAGAAATAAAAGCATAAAATATTTTTAGAAAAAAAAATGAAATCATTATAATTATTATTGTTTATATATTTCTATTATACAACTGGGTTATCTATTAAGAATAAAAGATAAACACCATAATTTTTTAACAATAAAACGTGCATCTTAAAAGGTATGTTACTTTGCACATATCAATATTATTTGCGATGAATATATATGAATAGAATGCCAGAGATAACTTAAATATAAATATTATATTTAAGATCTTTCACCTCTTAGTCTTCTAGCTAGTTTAATATCCTTCTTTTGAATAGTGACTCTCTTGGCATGAATAGCAGCCAAGTTAGTGTCTTCAAATAGAGAAACTAGGTAAGCTTCGACGGATTCTTGTAGGGCACCGATAGCAGAAGATTGGAATCTTAGATCAGTCTTGAAATCTTGAGCGATTTCTCTAACTAATCTTTGGAAAGGTAGCTTTCTAATCAAAAGTTCAGTAGATTTTTGGAATCTTCTGATTTCTCTTAGAGCGACGGTACCTGGCTTATATCTGTGAGGCTTCTTGACACCACCGGTAGATGGAGCAGACTTTCTAGCAGCCTTGGAAGCTAATTGTTTTCTTGGTGCTTTACCACCAGTGGATTTTCTTGCTGTTTGTTTGGTTCTAGCCATTTTAGTTGGTTATTCTGAATAACTGAGTGAAGAAAGAAGTAAGAAACTAAAATATAAATAAGAAAGAGATGTAATATAAACTTAACTTTAACCTTCAGATCAGAGCGTCTTTATATACTTTTTTTTATCAAATGGATGTTCTTAGCATTTCTCTAATATCCAAATCTCAGCTCCTATTTGTTTATTTCGTTTGTTTACTGACTGTTCCAGAAGTTACGCGCGTGTTTTATTATATCAATACTATGTAAACGCGCGTAATTCTCAGCACACAACGACTCATCTGACCACACAAACTCGTGATAAAATGTATATCGATCGGAAAATTTGATTGTTATGCCGTTCTCATTTATTCGGGGTAGATAGAGGATTTGTATGACACGACGTTCTCATATCTACACTTTGGCCCCCTACCACCAATATTTATTTCCATTTTGGGAGGAAAAGAGAGGCAGTTTGTTTACTTATGACCACCACCACCACCACCACCACAGACAGACAGACTAATACTGCTGCTGGAACAACTACTTCTATAGATATTTTTGTATATAAATAAGGAAGATATATTCTGGATTTGAAGTAGTTGGTAATATTATACTCTTTCTCGTTTGGCTATTTTTCTATTATCTATTATCCACTATTAATAGTAATATCAACAACAAACAATATATATAAATAATTTAAACAATGTCCGGTAGAGGTAAAGGTGGTAAAGGTCTAGGTAAAGGTGGTGCTAAGCGTCACAGAAAGATCCTTAGAGATAACATTCAAGGTATTACAAAGCCAGCTATTAGAAGATTAGCAAGAAGAGGTGGTGTTAAGCGTATCTCTGGTTTAATCTACGAAGAAGTCAGAGCTGTTCTAAAACAATTCTTAGAATCTGTCATCAGAGATGCTGTTACTTACACTGAACACGCTAAGAGAAAGACTGTTACTTCTCTAGATGTCGTCTACGCTCTAAAGAGACAAGGTAGAACTTTGTACGGTTTCGGTGGTTAATCTGTCTTTTGATATCCCCTCTGATAAACCTTATATAATGATAATATTAAAAAAAATAATAATACAAATCCCATTCAAACATATACGTATGTACATATACTCTATTTAATAACGAATAAATAAAAAAAATTGAAAACGAAAGAAAAAAAATGCATTAGTTTCATTAAGAAGTTTTCAAATTACTTAGAAAATCTTTCTTTAATACTGACTTAAGCTCATTATATTCAAATATCGGCTTTCTTGGTTTATTTGGATGAGGATCCTTTATCAGGTTCAGCCATATTTCCTGACAATATGATTGGTTATCTTCTAATTCAGCACTATTAGGACATTTACATCTACAACCACTACCTGTTTTAATCCCTTTATCATATTGATTCTGTTCATTTTTTCGTTCCCAACGATTGCTTGTAGTTATATAGGTTAATTCACCACCTTGAGCATTTTTGGGACAATGTTGTAAAGTAGAATGTTTATAACCGATATCTCTAAAATAATGTATATCACTCACATTCAAAGTTAGAGATAAACCAAGGGAATGTACAGGTGCATCACCCCAACGTTCTTTCCAAAATCCACCAGATTGATCCAAGTGGTTAAAATAACCGCGGTATATTTCATTATCAAAAATATCTACCCTTGCAATCTCGAAATTAGACCAGAAATGACAAAGATTATATTGTAAATCTGAATATTTCCGGGTCATCATCGGTGCTGGAGTAGTTGACCGACTTAGCAACTTTTTAAAACTAGAAATCGTGGTATCCTTGTGATCTAATCCATGATCTAAGAGATGTTCAATGGCAATTTCATCTGATATTTTATCCATAATATCATCGGGATAATTGATTAATTTATCTAATATTGACGTAAGATTACTAACCAAATGATGATCCATTGAAAATAATTTCCAAAGTGATCCAACTTTTATTTGATTTTCCCTTATGTATGCCAATGTTGAACGAAATAAACTAGGTATCGTCTCTTGTAATTCGGGTATAATTACAGTGAACCCATATTTCTTGCCTGCTTTAGACATTTCAAAGAAGGGATCATAAGTTAAATCGCAATAGAATTCCACCGCAGGTTCAAGACGCCAATACCATTCATATTGTTGAACCAATTCATGTCTATAGAACCAACCGGAATAAAAACGACACATCTTATGATATGATGGATTATCACCATACAGTATATCCCTATCTCCTTGTACTTGAATGTTTTCATCCAAGTCCGACGAATCAGTCAAGGTCCATTGTTCTTCATTCAATATTCCAAAGGATGCCTCCGATGATATCAATTGTTGAACTTTATGTTGAAACTCTTCAGTAAAAGGTTCATCGTTAAGAAAAACGTAAGGATAATGGAACCATTGATTAAAATGGGATTCTATATTTTCTAAAGTTGATAATACTTCAGTAAGTTCTGAATTCCTTGCCAACATCAAGAAAGTGGCGTTTTGTCCCATATAATTAGCGTCTCCCAAATATTGTTGAGTATCTATACATCCAGGGTAGAAAATAGAATCGGTGGCAGTGTTCCAATCTTGTCTAGAGTTCAATTTACTAGTTTCTTCCTCAATCGAACTCTTTAAGAACAATATTGTGATTAAACATGCTAACAAAAGCATCGGGTAAACTGGATTCACATCTTCCAACAATAACGACAATCCACGAAATAACGTACCTAGTCTCAACTTCCTCAATATCCTCATCAAATTGAACCTTCACGCATACTTCTCTTTTAATAACATCACATATGATTGTTTCATAATCAATATTCCAGCCAATTTGACTTAAAATACTAAACGACCGATGGATTACTTCATCGAAATGAATCTGTCTGTCTCTGTCCCTATAATAATAACTGAGAAAACACTGCAGAATACACGCATTTTTTATTTTGATCTTGGCATAAAACCAAGAAAAAGAAAAATATTTCAAAAGTGACAAATTTTTCATCAATTTGTGGATATTTTTGACAGTTTGTGATGAGATATATAAGCACTACATACAGAAGCAGGATTATATCTCCAGATAAATTTCAATTATGCCTTTGGAAATAGTGGCTAAGGACTCTGTGACAATCAAAGCTATCAAGACTGCGTTGGAGGCGGAATCACTGTTTGTGAAGCCTATAATCAAAGAAGATTCATATCGGATCATCCGTACTTCCATCGATGAACCAAAGGAACTTATTTCTATGTTCCCAGGTGTAGAGTTTAGAGAATATCAACTTGCCCCCAGTAGAAATGGTTTACCAGTGAATGGGAGAGATATATTGAGTTTCCATCGTGAATATTTTTCCCAATACGTTAAAGATTCACAAATTGTTGAAGAAGAACTGTTAAACTATCTTCCTACAAAATATAGTATCTATCCACCAATGTTATTATTTAACAATTCCGAAAAGAAATCGTTATTGCATGAGAAAGTACACAAATTTTTCTCAAATTATAATATTGATCGTACTCAATATTACAGTCATTTATTAAACGATTTTGCACCTTTCAAAGAATTAACAATAATTGCCATCAATAAACCGATCTTAGTGGAAGACACATTGAGACAACCGCACAATCTAAAATTGTTATATCGTGATGATGGCCAACCGTTGGATGAATTCGATGACATATGGTGTCAAGTGGCCCAGAATGAGATTATACAAGTATGGAACCCGATGTATACAATGTTCTCCCGAGGAAACATCAAGGAAAAGAAGCGTGTCCTTGATACCTTTCAAGACGTGGAAGCTAACGATGTCGTTGATCTATACTGTGGTATTGGTTATTTTACATTCAGTTATTTAAAACTTGGATGTCGTAATTTATTTGGATTCGAATTGAATCCATGGAGTGTGAAGGGTCTTTGGAAAGGATTTGATGCTAATGATGGATTTATACCCAAAACAGACAATAAAGGGTCTGTTTCAAGGTATCGTGGTGACAAAGAACAATATTGTCATATATACAATGAAAATAATGAAATGAGTGACCAAAGACTTCAAGAATTCCGCAACCAATCAACATCCGGAGAGTTACTTAAGATAAGACATATTAATCTAGGTTTACTTCCTTCCAGTCAGCAAGGGTGGCCCGTAGCATTACGCCTTTTAGGCAGCCATAACAATTGGGACGTATGTTCTTTATCAACATTACATATCCACGAAAATGTCTCTATAGAAGAAATTAATGATGGCAGTTTCGTTAAACAGACAATAACAAAGTTAGAAATATTGGGAGCAACTCGCTATCAATTCAATAGCACACATTTGGAAAAGATCAAGACGTTTGCGCCCGATGTTTGGCATATCTGCTTGGATGTCGATGTTACTTTGGCAGCGACCGACTGACCGACCCCATTAAATTAAGCAAAAAACCTAACCCTATATAGAAGTTACATAATACATGTACCAAAGCAGAACAAAAGACTAGCAATTCCATGATACCCTGCAGAAGTAAATGAGGATTTCCAGCTAATCTGTCTACGTTACAGGGAAAAGGGACATAACGTAGAGACGTTCATCTAAAAATAAGAAGAATTCGAAGCTGTGCCTCCTAATTGCGCAGCAAACAAAAGTAAGCAAACAACTACCAGGGTTGCACTTCACTTCGCCTCGCTTGGTACCACCAGACAGCAGCAAACCGCCTTTCAGCACCAACGAGACAGCCAGTGAAAGTAACTCAAGATATCCCTCTCTCTCTGCTCCCCAGGTACAGCAACTTAAAGTTAGTCACCTAAACTTCTATTGCCCTTCCTATCTTGGTAGTTGGGACTAACCTTCTCTTGTTAATAGTAGTAATTGTGACTTATTTAGTTCTTTTAGTTTGCTAATCTCCAAAATTATCAATCACTACGGGATAATCTGTGCAAAAACACGATTCAAATTTTGGAAGATTGAAAATTTTCAGCCAAAAAAATTAAAAATTGAAAATCGAAACGCAGCGGAAATTTGCGTGAAGCTTTGCCATTCCACCTGCAAACAGACAAGAAGAATAAGAGGAACAGCAAAATGAGGACAACTGCGATAGAGTTATTGAGGTAAAGAGAGTACTGCAGTTTTCAGTTATCCCACGGAATCGATTTGCTATATTAAATACGGTTTTGATTACCATATCTAGGCATATACTAGCTCTGACTACCAGCTATTTTTAGGGAAGACAGCTCCAAGACGTGCACATTTATACTCAATATTCATTTAGGAAGTTGTTATCAGAAAAAGAAAGAGAGGTAAACACAGACATAGACAGACACATATATATATAATCCCTGTGTGCTATAATTATAATTATATCATACATTTTTTATTACTGCTATTTTATCTCTATTAGCCACCAAAAGAACAAGTTCAGAAAAAAAAAACACAATGGAATATTATAACGAATCTCCAACAACTCACAATAGTAGTAGGAGGAATAACAGTGAACAACTGAGGCAGGACGCAGTGCAGGATATAAATCTTATGATCGAACAAATGACAAATAGATCTAAACAGAAAAATAGTAATGCTAATGGTAGTATTGCTCAGCCCCCAACACATATTCAAACACAACTCTTTGGAGACGCCACTGCACATAATCCCCATCATGGTCTTACTGATGAGATGGAAGAATCGATCTTGAACCGGTTCTTAAACTCGGTGGATCGCTCAGCAGAGATTAGAAGTCCCATAATAAACAGCAGTACTACACCTGGCTCTGGCTCTGGCTCTGCACCTGGATCGGCTTCTGGTCTTGGTATACAAAACTACCTTCCGACGGATCCAAATATGACCTCAGATGCATCGCCGCAATTGGTACAGACGCCCACTTTGCTTATCAATGATATAGAAGATCTTTTAAACCAAGACAGTACTGCGCTAAGTGGCACTGCTATTTCCAATATGACCCAATCACCAGGATACACTAATAATAATACTACTAATAATAATAACTATGATATAAATATGAGGAAGAATAGTAGTAGTAGTAATACTCAACAACAGTTCTTGTCACCGAATCCAGGGAAAAGAACGTTTTTGGGTTCTGCTACAAATAACGATAGTGATTTCAACGATACAAGTTCTGCAATCTCATCTCAAAATTCACCTTATTTAGCACCTCAGGATACTTATTTGAACGCAAACAATTTAATGCCTGTATCTCCTGGTCCAATATCGTCACCTTCCTTTGGTAGTGATTCTGGGCAATTAGGGAGCAACAACAATAGCAACAATGACGATATGTTAAGTGTCTATTCTAATAATAGTGCTTATTCAAACAGCAGTTTCAACTCTAATATTTTGTTGCCTGTCAATTCCCACGGTTATAAACATATTTCTAATGTTAACGATATAGATATCTTATTAACGGATTTGAAACAAGATGAAATACCGTTTGATAATACAAACGATCAAGGAATCCTAAACTCAAATCTAAATGATGTTAATATGAGTAACATTAATAACAATTTGTTAAGTACTTCGGTAGCACCAATAATATCCGTTAGCGAATTTGAACAATCATTAGATGCCGATGTTAATACCATGTCCTCGCAGATTAAAATAGAGTTAGATAATAATAATAATTTTAATTTCAATGATCAATTCAGTAATAGTAATATAAATGCGAAGGCTGAAGAATTCCAATTTGGAATGAAGTCATCTCCATCATCAACAGATCCAGATAACGGTACTCCAAATTCAAATTTCTTGTTACATCCATCTAATGGTAATTCAAACGCAAACATCGATACCAATATGGAAAGACACAACGAAATGGTTCAAGGTCGTAAAGAGAGACGTAAGAGTCGTGGTAGAAGAAGTAGTACAACGATCCCTCTCAAGAATCGGGATACGGCAAGTAGAAGTCAAAGTAGGAGTAGGAGTACGAGCAAACAGAGAGGCCGTAGTAGTCCCGATGAGAGCTCGATCTATAGATCCTCATCCATTACTTCAAGAAGTACGAAACCTATAAATTTTGATGAAAAGGCTAGATCTATTAGTCAAAATCGAGACAAATTGTTAGAAATGGCAGATTTGAAAATCGAGGGTGATGAATCCTTACCACAAGGACATCACGATGGAACAGATAATAGTTTAGATTTTGAGACAATGTTCCCATCCGATATGAATCCTACAACCACAGACATTGGCTCTGAAACCGGACTATCGGACAAATTATCAAGATCAGGTTCTCAAAAGAATGCTGCAACTTATGCATGTGAACTCTGTGAAAAGAAGTTTACAAGACCTTATAATTTAAAATCTCATTTACGTACACATACTAATGAAAGACCATTCATTTGTACCGTTTGTGGTAAAGCATTTGCAAGACAACATGATAGAAAGAGACATGAAGATTTACATTCAGGTAAGAAACGATATGTATGCGGTGGTAAGTTGAAGGATGGTGCAACTTGGGGTTGTGGTAAGAAGTTTGCTAGAAGTGATGCTCTGGGGAGACATTTCAAAACAGACTGTGGTAAAAGATGCATAGCGCCGTTATACGAAGAGGCTGCTAATGAAAAGATGCTGGAATAGTTTATTTTATAGATGCACATATATCTTTCTATATATCAACTGGTCTTAATAAGACAAATTGTAATCATTTTTCGACAAAAGATTCAACATTAAATAAGTTTGATTTTCTTGTGGTGTCCATTTTCTTGAAATTTTTTGGGTTCTTCATTGAGATTCTAAAATTGTTATTTTTATTTTTTTTATGATTATTTAGTTTTTGACCAACTTCAGTTTAAAAAAGTGAACTATTAATATATTAAATGAAAGATGAACGCAACAAAATAAACCTCAATTAGATATATATGTTGCTGCTAAGAAGATAAGAGGAACCGCTTTATTCACATACATAAGCAATGAGTAACAGTAGCGATGACATGTCTACTAATGAAACCGGAGGTAAAGTTGAATTATCTCAACAATATATAACACAATTGCTCTTAGAAGACCAAGACATTCCTATCAAAATAGTTAATGTTGATACGGTTCCAACTACGACCAAGAATTGTATCAATGATAAGACCTTCGAAACCTTTTGCAATGGTACCTTATATAAATGTGAGAAATTATCTGATTTACAAGAACAAAGTAATAATTTGATTACACGCCTACATCAATCTAACTTAATAAGTGCAATAATACCGATTTTTGAAACTGAAAAATCCACGGTACATCCTCACGAATTAACAATCCCATTACCCATTACCATAACCTTAAGATACCAACCTAAGTCTCATTTTACTGCTAAGACAGGTACAAACATTACAAACTCTGGTCAAGGTGATGCATACTTGACATTCCAAAAACGTAATCTATTAGGTTTAGATGAAACGGTGACATTAGACCATAGAAGAGATACAGGTACTAATGCTGGTACTAATGTCTCAATGTTGTTTCCTTACATAATACGTGACAATGCATTTTTGACCGGTAAAATTGATGTATTTGATATGAAAAAATTCTTAGGAGTTAAAGATCAAGGTATTTCATTTACTGCGAACACATGTTACACCAGAGGCTGGAATCATAGTTTAACTTTCGAATCTTTAAAGAGACAGTTTCATTATCCAGATTACATTGAATCCACTAAGAATAAAAATAAATGGGTGTCTGAACAATTGCTGATCCAAGAAGGTGAATTCTTTAAGAATAATTTAAAATTAACTTCCGTATTGGATGAAAGAAACAGTACCATTGCACCAAGTTCAGGTTATCTCTTAAAATTTACCAATGAGTTGTCATCGAAATTTCAAAATCTTCAATTTTGGAAAACAGCTATGGAATTTAATTGGGTCAAGAGTTGGTTTAAGAATGATTTCGTCACTGTAAGTAATACTATAAAATGCGGTTTTATCAAGAATTTAAATCAGAATGAATCGTACATTCATTTTATTGATAAGTTTCAAAATGGTGGACCCAATGATGTAAGAAGTTTTTCACCCATGGGATTAGGTCCAAGGGAATTAGGCCACTCATTAGGTGGTGATGCATTTATAGCCTATGGTACCAGTGTATTTTCACGTATACCAATAAATGCAGTGGCTAATTCAGGGTTTAGATTACATGGATTTATAAATGGTGGGAAATTAATGAATCATAACAATCTTCCATTTCAAGATACATTAAGACAACTTGGTCAAGAACATTCCAGTTCTATCGGTATTGGTCTAGTATTGAGACATCCAATGGCAAGGTTTGAATTGAGTTTCGCTGTACCATTAACTACACATGAGGATGATTTAACTAGAAAAGGTTTCCAATTTGGCCTTGGTTTTGAATTTTTATAAGAAAACAGTGAGGAAAGAGATATGAAAAATGAAAAATCAAATTAAATAGAATATATCTGTATACCTGTATAAATATAAAAAAGATACGGCAAACAAAATATGATAAAGTTCCTTATTAATACTAATGCTGTATCCATGAGTCATGGATCTTTGTGACCTCTGGAATGATCAATTCCTCAATGGTAGTCACTTCTGGATGATCATCTATATTTATCATATAGCCATCTTTGCGATCTGGTGTAACAAAGACAACTTCTTTGCTTCTTGTTTGTAATAAGTTACCAATGACCAATTGATGATTATAACGTTCCAAAGCATATTGAGCTTTATGGATCAATATAGATTTATCTGTCTCCAATTTAAAAGAAACAATCATGGATCTACTTGCCCAAGAGCTCACCAAACGACTTAAGAATTTTGGTACGGGATCCAAATTGACTATTAATTTACCGTCTGCTGTAGTGGTAGCATTAGTTTCAGCATCCTTAGGGCTTTCACTAGAGTTATTTCCATAATCTCTACTTTGAATCTTATGTTTTGGTAATTTTGAATGAGGGACAAAAAAATCACTTACTGCTGCAGCTAAATAGAAAAGACAACCTTTGAAATTCATTAACTTACCGATAGCTTTTAGAGACCACAAATATTGATTAACGGTAGTAAATGGTAACATTATTAAACGTTTCTCCTTTTCAAAATATTTTTCGTAAAGATCTTTATTTTGCTTAAATTCAGCCATGTACTGTGATTTTAAAGTACCATCATCTTCAAAATAATCAAGAAACGAATGACTACTATTGTTAGTGAATTTTCTATTGAATGGAGTCAGTGAAAATTCCCTATGAAGGAAGATTACGCTATAGCCCTGAGCTAAGAATTGTTCAGCTGAAGCTGCACCTCTAGTACCTGCTGAAAAATTATCGATGAACCTAACGGTATTATTCTCTAAGGGAACGGTAGTACCACCAGAGGTGACCAGGACTATTTTGTCTCTACCTTGTGAATGCTGATATTTAATGAATTCCTGAGCTTCATTAATCAATTCATCCAAGTAAGGTGGTCTTGGATTAGTTATAAAGTAATTTTCTTCTTCTGAAGGGGTTTTAGCAACGGGAAAGAATTCATCCTTTAAAGAACGATCAATGGCATGAGATATGTCAGTGATAGAGGTATGAATGTGAGCTGGAGGTATCATCTATTATGAGGAGTCGGGAAGAATGCTTTTGCTTAGTTGTAGTGCTTAGCGTAGAGGAGGGAGAGTTGGTACTTAACTTAATTGGCTGAACAACTCGTTTATATGTGGGAAGATCGTCAAGATTGAAAAATTCCTGAAATCAAAAAAAAAAAAATTATAGAGGGATTAGTCATTAAAGAACATTTATATACGTATTTATCATTAGAAGTATATAAACATCTGCAAAAAGGGTATAGTTGTTCATGAGGATGCTTGTTGCTGTTGCAGTTGTTGCAGTTGTTGCTGCTGCTGTTGCAGTTGTTGTTGCGACGGTGATGATTGGGGCGATTGTTGATTATTCCTTAAATACAAAGTATGCAATAGAAATTTAATCCAAGGTTCGTGATATTTATCCCAATGATCATACAGAGTGATCTGATCCTGCACAGCGCCCATGACTTCTTGTAAATCCACTTGCGATCTAGCCATAAAATCATTGAAAGTAGTCATTGTATTTGTATTCTCTTGCATCGATATTGTGATAAACATACAAGCCATCGCCGTGATATGTGGTGGATACACTAGATGTACATCATTAATATAACTATCGTTGATAAGAGACCAACAATTCTGGATCTCTTCAGGGGAAAGTTCCAATGTATAAGGTTGTTGTTTCAATACAGTGACCATTTGATCCATTGATCTATATGGATGATGTACGACTAGATAACTTTCCAATTCTTCGATCAGATAGAATTCAAATTCTGTGACTTTTGTTGGATCAGGAGGTATAAATTCTGGCCATAACGATCTAGCTTCAGAGACTAATGATCGAATATACTGCGGACATTCTTCAACTTTACAGGCCAAATAAACAGACGTTGTCACCAACAAATACAAATTGACTTCTCTGATAGATGCTCTCAATAGAAACCGAGCTAAATATACATGCGCAGTCGCCAATGCAACTTGTCGTATATTGAGTCTTCTACCTAGTTTCATTATAAGGAAATAGCAATATATGCGTAGATTGTAGTCCTTGTCGTAATGTAAATCTCGATGCAAGATTGGAATATTCTTCACTGACGAATGGTTGTTGCCGTTACTACCACTGCCACTTGACACACTATTGCTGCCATTCGATGAATCCATCACGATGTTCAAACCATCAGGGTACAACTGACATTCCAGTACCCATAGTTTCTGTTTCTCTTTAGCCAGCGCAGCCTTCGAAAACTGCCACTGCTGCCGCTGTGTCGACGTCCAGTAACTCCCACTCATTCTCTATATTCACTGCACTTTCCACTTCACTCTGTCAACCCAATACTAGAGCTAACTACCCGTCTACCCCCACCAATCTATCATCAGATTCTTATAAGTTGTTCTCCTTTTAGTGCCCCATTCAAGCCCTAATTGAATTAAATTTCGATTTTTTTTGTTTTCAAATCGGAATTTTTTCAAAAAATTTTTTCAGTTTGAAATTCGAAGCACTTCGAAAGAGTGAAATATATAAAACAACGAGTTCTTTCATTCTGGACAGTCTCTCTTCCAGTTCATGTTTTTTGTAGTTCCGTTTTGTTTGTTCTTTCCTATATCCCCAGTCCATGGCTGAAGAATCGTCAATAGTCGGAGCTTGCATCAAGGAAAGAACTTTCTGTTCTTTCAAAGTATGCTCTGGGCATGAAAGTCTCCCACCTGACCGTATGCGGAAAACGCAGTGAGATTTAAAAATTTTTACAATGTTTAAATCAACTCACTTGGACGTATCTGTTTTGCATATTCTCTCTCTCTCTGCACCCTTTGGGTACCTAGAGTGGGAGGATTGTTGAATTGTACGTCTAGTATTGTCCTGGCAAGTTTAATACTTGACAGTGTATATTTCGGTATTGGGACCTTGTTAGGTCCTAAACGATAGTTATGACGATTGCCTAATATTTTTCTTATTAGGTAACCCAATGGAGCTTACTCTTAGCTCATGGACTCACCCATTTTTTTATTTTTTAATTTTTATTAATTAAAAGAATGACCACCTTCTTTAGTTTTCAATTTGAAAATGAGTACTGCTGTTGCCATTTAGCTCGTTTTGCAAAATGGTTTTGGCATGTCTTTAGTGCAGTCAAATGCACAGAAGGTCCACCCCTACAGTATTATATATAGATCCTTTCTTTCTATAGGTTGTGGAAAGATGGGTGTCAATGGTTGATAGTGTGGTCACTGTCCTCATATTGACACACATTCATTTCCAGACTTCTAGAGGGATATTCTTCTGTTCACAACAAACTTTTAATCTAATTCGGTATGATGAAATACACATGCAACATAGAGTCAAGCTCTGAGCTGGCTATCTCCATCTTCAAATTTTTACGGGGATAGCTGCATGGGAAGAGAATTGCTATCATATTCTGACCTTTTATTTTAAAAAAAACTAATTGTGAAATCTTGTTCTTATGATTATATTATATTCTTATATATTCTTATTATTTATGTATAGAAAGTGAGTGAGTAAGTTTGGTTCTTGTTTGTGCAATTTAGGTTGTCGTCTTTGTCTTTTTTTAATGCAGTGCATGATGAACTAGCCTTGGAATTGGTTGAATGCTACTAGAATGCATGCTAATGACACGTACGGAGAGGCACGTTCACCAATACGTGCCATCTTCCAGAATGCACCTAATGCTTCATGATCCTTATAACGATCCAATATCGATGGCCATTGGGAATGTATATATGTACTAGAACATATCAATAGTAGTATCACTTGGATTAAAGATGAAAAGTTGAATAATGCAGACATCCTTGCAGCTCTTTCTTTGTATCTCCACTGTTATTCGAATGCACGTAATCTGATTACCGACAAGTCAGAAGTTCCTATCCTGCTATTCTTGCGTTTCATCAACTTCTGTTTTGTTCTGTTCTCTTTTAAATACAAAATTCGTTGTTGGAAATTTTTCGTTTCGCTACACCAAAAACTTGGACGAGGCAAATGTCCCCTCATCTGCTAATAAGTGATGAGAATAGATAAAGTCAAAGTTTTACAATTCATTAAAGACTCTACTTACATACATATATATATACATACAATGTTGCCGCTATACATCACTGTTTATGAACATGTGTTCGTACTAACTGGAAAAGGTGTGTACGGAGTTTCAAGTACTGGGAATGTCTTGAGAAATCACTTACTTCAATCACATCGAAATTATGTTTGATCCGTTGGAAAAACTTCCTATCTGCTTTACGTCGACGACGATAAGCCATCAGAACGATTGGCTGACTATCCTCTTGATCTGTCAAATCTAACAGAGTCCGTTCCAATAAAGGAAATGCTTCTTCTAAGTACACACAATCTGCTGCAAGAACAAGATCTATATCCCGATATTCTTTGAAGAGTGGTTCCCCCCATAATAACTCTGTCGCATTGGTGTTACCATTGACATCATTGACATCAATGTTACTTTGCATCAATGGCACCAGTCCACCGATATCAGTGATGCTGATATGAGTATCTGTTGATAGATGATGTTGCTGAGCTAATAATGATACACAAAGCCCGACTACCCCAGTACCACTACCTAATTCCAATACTTTTGAGATGTGACCACCTTTCGGTAGACTCGCTCCTAATAACTCATTACCAGGACTTTTCTCCAAGATATATTCACAGAGTAATTCACCTGCAGTCCAAATTTTACCACCACAACCTGAAGCACCACCATCCTCTACAACTTTTAATGGTGGTTGTAGCTGTCCTCCAAATGAAAGGTCCTGACAACCCAAATGTTCAATGGGACGAGTAGCAACAAGATCACCAAATGATCCAAATATACTATCCATAATTATCAAATTTTGCTCTAATAAAACACCACAATTGTTTTTTTTTTGATTAGGTTACGACAAGATAGACACCATGGTATTTTTATTTTTATACATCATGGTACTCACTTTCAAACTTCTGCTCGTGTAGGAGTATATTTATATATAAACTTACAAGTGCCTCGAGTACCACTTCGATCTATCATGAGAATTATAAATCAAATATAAACTGAGTGACTTAAACGAGGCTCTTTTAGGCATCTTTCAGTTACTAGTGCGTCCCAATATAGTAATTAAATGTACTGATTATGAAATTATTTAAAAAAAACAAAATTGAATTTTATACAAAAAAAATTTTCAATGAAAAATGGCTCAATTTAAAGGGTATCTAGGATTTTATAAATATATTTCTTCATTTCTCCTTTTCTCTTTCCCTTTTGATATGGTGCTAAATAATATCTGGAGACAAAGATTCTTCCTTAGAGCTATTGTCAGTTTCTTCTGTTGCCTGAGAGGCAGTGACAGTAGTCGCAATATCAGGAACGTCAGAATGATAAATTTGGGAAATATTACATAATGCCACAGACCCGGCTACTAAATTGTCACGACATAAATACTCGACGTGGGGTAACAGTTGTTGGATATCTCCAGCACAGTTTTCAGAAACACTAGCATAAGCAGCTGGGTATAGAAGTGCGTATCTTGTGTGAGCTTCATCGTTATCCTCATAAATACGGAATTGCGGGTCGTTAATCAATGTGCCTTCAAAATATGGTCCTATCATTGCAGATAGTTCTTCTTCCGTCACACCATCTGCGACATCTTGGAGCTTAAACCCAGTATATTCCGCCTCAAATGATGATGATGATGAATTTAAAGACGCAGGATCCGCAATGACATTTAGCAATGTAGTCGTGCTTCGAGACTCGTATTCTTTAGCCTTACGTTCTTTATCAGCTTGCTTGAAAGATTGATATAACGGCACAATCTCAGCCAACGATAGTGTTGGCTTAACAGACCCCAGTTCTTTCTTAACAAACACTGACCTTTTAGGTTCAGGATCCTGAGATTCAGCATATAGGCCATATGATTTGGCTAACTCAACAACAAAATGTCTTGCTGAAGCACGCATAGGTTTAAAATGTAGACTTCCACGAGTTTTATCATCTAACAATTTATTCAATACAATGACAATTTGTTCACACCATTCTGGTTGACGTGCATATGTAGATACTGTGCTCTCTCCATACGGTAATTGCAATTCTTCAAAACTTTGTGCTACATTGGCCAAAGAATGTAACTTATCCAATTCAATACCATTAACACTTGTTGACTTGTCGGAGATTCCGAATGCCAGCTTTAATTGTTCATGTCTCTTAACAAGTTCACATTCTTGATCACAAGGTAATTGTGAGTCTCCCTTTTCCAGCGCTTTACTTGGCTCTGTAGCTGTTGCACCACATACAACTTCTTGAGCACGTCTACCACAGGCACAATGAATTTTGATCAATGCAGTACATGGCGTATCGGGACATTCAGTGAAACTATGACATGGTCTGACACAAAAATGATCACATCCGACACGCTTACGATGGCATACTTGTTTACATTTAGTTTGACATTCTCCTGGCAAATGACATTTCTTTTGACACAGATGTTCACAAGTAGTTAATGGTTTATTACATATTTTACCACATGAAACATCTTTTTGGAAACAAACAGTTCTAACTTTCTCAACTTTACCACACTTGCACGGCTTAAACACACTTGCAGTACAAGGAGGACATGGTGTATCCAATGAATGACACGGATGTTCAATTGGCACATGTCCACATACTGATTCACCACGAACTACTTTAATACACGGATAAGGACATGGTGGCAATTTAGTACCACAACGTACTGGTGCCTCAACAATGGTTTTACCACACGGACATACCAAATCATTAGAATCACTCTCTAGACATGGCGGACATTTACCTGGGTGACATTTACGTTGACATATATGCTTACCACACGATAATAAAAGATTACAATCCTGTAAACACACATGTTCTGGTTCTACCAACGTTTCATCAGCAAGATCTGCTGTCCTGAAATGAGTCTTTTTCCTCACTTCTGCTGCAGGTCTACCCGAACAACATCTGTCTAAACACCTATGACGACGACATGACATAAGGGATTCACATTTTAAGTTACAATGTGGTTTCTCATGTAGACCACATGGAACCAAAAATGTACTCTGTTCACAACAACATTTCACTTTTTCGATTTGAGTACATGGATCCATACACGGACCATCGTGACAAGTAAATGGACATCTATGTTTACCGCATTTTAATGATTTATCACATTGAGAGTCACAATGTGGGATAGGATCTGTACACTTAGTTCTAGGCTTAGCCAGGCTAACCAAAGGAGTTTTACCACATGGACAGGTCTTTAATAATTTTGGTGAGAATGGACATGGCTTAGTACCCGACTTCGTTAGAAGTACAATACATTTTTCAACAAATGAATGTTGATGACATGAATACTCCACCGTTCTAATCTCATCACACGCATACACACCGAATGGTGAAGGATCAACCGCGTCTTCAGAGTCCTTCACTTTAGTTGATTTACATTGATTAACAATCTTAACATCTTTACAATATATTTTATCTAATTGGTTTGTACCACAGTAACACTTGATAGCCACGTCTTGAGACTCATCAGCTAATAGTATCTCTGGACATGCTCCACATATCCCTGTATGACAAACTTTCTTACATCTATGAATACCACACGCTAATAACAACCCACATTCCTCCTCACATTGATACTTACGCTTCCCCTTGAACTGTTTTGCTTGAGAACAAGTGATCTCCCTAGTATGCCTACCACATCTACAACGGATATGCACGGACCTAATACATTCAGGATGAGGTCCCAAATGACACATCTTGGAACAACCATGGACACAAATGTTTGCATCACAAGTTTGTCCACATGAATTTGGATTTAATTCATTAGGATCAGGGTTAATCACTTTACCACACCAACACGTAGCCCTGTTGGCCGCAGGCACTTTCTTGTTAACATGAGAACAATTTGGACACTTCCACGTCTTATCCACAGTCCTCTCAGTAGACTTCAAAGCCCACTCTCTTATACAATCATAATCGAATACTCTATAACAATGATTACAGGCGTACATCTGACACCTATAATCCATTTCAACGGTACAAATCATACATGTGTAGATATCACCTTGACGGATCTCTTCTACAGCTCTATCATAATAAGCCATGTTATCAGTAACGTTCGAGTTGTACTCAGTATCATCATCATCGTCATCAGAATCCGATCTGTTCAAGTCAGAGCTCGAGACATCTTGTGTTGAAACCGCAGGAGTGTTGCTTAGTTCTTGGTCTTCTTCTACTTCTCTGGGTTCTCCTACACTCATAAGTTCGACTCTCACTATTTCGTTTACGGTATCTACTAAATGGAAAACGACAAATATACTTGCTTATATATGTATCAGTCCTATAAATGTAGCTTCCCTATCCAAATATTTCAGTTATGACTTTCTCTTTAAAAATTTTGCCATATCGAATCTCTCTTCAGTGTCAAAATAACAGTTTATTTTTTTCAGTTCTTTTGCCATACAAAAATAGTAAAACTCGAGAAATAACAAAGTAAATATCTTTCAAAACGGTAATAAACCTACAAAAGTGCTTGATATTCAATGCTTTTTAATTAAATATATGCTAAAATATGTATTATACAATGTAAATAGAATTGGGTCATCTATAAAGTTCTCTCGAAACTCACAGCAAAGAAACCAATACCACCATCTTCTCTTGGTAAAGCCCTAATACAACCACCTGCCATCTGTTCACATTTCTCTTGATCATCCGTAAATACTTCTTGAAATTCAGAAACAAGACCTCTACGAGGCCATGCCGGTATAACAGAGTCTCTTTTACTAACAGTCCAGCCTTGTTCTTGAACTTTCTTATCCATCAACAAATCAATCACCACACGTTCATTTTCTTCAGCATGAATAGAACATGTACTATAAACGATCTTAGTAGCATGTGGAAAACTCATTGCGTGCTTGACGACTTGGAATTGAAATGATGATAATTTAGAAAGTCTTCTCTCCAAAGCATCCTTCTTGGAAACGTGTTTTGGCATACCATTTTCACCAACTTCTTCATCATCATCTCCTTCTTCATCTTCTTGTTCTTTGGGGATAGCATCGTCATCAAGGTCATTACTGGATTTATTGTTCTGTTCTGATTGAGCTTTTTTACGATTCAAGGAATCGACATATTTTCTACCAAAGATACCACTTCCGGAACAACTTGGATCTACAATCAACCCTGTAACACCCTTGAACGCAGTTGGAGTTGCCAATTTCGTGAAATCTCCGACATTGACTTGTATGTTCTGAGAACATCCAGCTACTTTGATCATTGTCTGCAAGATCTTGGCTCTATCTGGATCCTTTTCAAATGCAAAAATTTGAGGTTTAACATCATGCGGCATAGACTTGATATCTTCTCCGCCAAACATATATGATGCTACATGAGTAGTCTTGTTACCGGGAGCAGCACATGCATCAATTATGACATCCTTGGCTGTTGCGTTTAAAATTGTAGCAGGGAAACATGAGGCACGGTCCTGAATGATGACCTTCCCACGTTTATACAGTTCATGAGATGTAATCTTATCGTGTGGATGGATACCGAACAAATGAGGAACATATTCATCATAGTATATTGTCCCAGCTTTAATATCTTGCCAGCGATCTACTCTATTTGGGAATTTTCTATTCAATTCAGAAAGTACAGATTCAACATTGTGTTCAGGACATCTCAATGGATTGATTCTAATCCATCTTACAGGTGTGACATCATTTTCCAAGTCATCTTTCTCGAATAACTCCGACAAATTACGAACTTTTAGCTTCAACTTCAACTTCACCATCTCAGCCTTTAACCTTGTCTTAAATTGTAAGACGTACGATTTAATGGGATGTTTCCCCATCTGTATTCTCATGGATTTGGATAGTAATAAATCATGACATAACAATAACAACGTCAGTCTTGTATACATTGGTTTTCCCTTCCGCTTTGGGATCTCATCTAGGATCCCACTCTTCTTCATAACTTTCTCCAGATACGGTTTGTACTTCCAACATGAATCCAAAACAGCATAAATATGCCTGGGATTGCTCTTGATCTTGTATACTTTGCACGATTTCAATACGAGCGTCTGGAGGGACCCCGAGATCCTACCCTTGGCATCCTGCTGCTCCATATACTCCAAAACCCATGTGGCATCTCTGTAGAAGTCCATAACTCACTGTCAAAATGTCTGCACTTCAATCCCCTGTATCCACTCCCCAATAACAACAACAGGAACTTCCATCTCATCTCATCTCATCTCTATTCTGCTTCTTATATAATCCAAATTGCTAATGAAAAAGTGAAAAATTTTCCAAATGAATTTCGGCCGAAAAATTAAAACAAAAAGTCAACCAACTTAGACTAATTGGACTTAATGGATTAATTAACTCTGTCACTGTTTACATCTTTACACAAGTGGCAGGAAAAAGGTGAAGGAGGCAAACCATTAGACTATTTTAGAGTGCAATTTGAATCAATTTTTTATCAGAGATAGATATTGAGTACTCTGCAATACATCTGGATAGACATTACATACTTTCATTCTACGTGTTTTTCCTATTTTATCCATTCTGAACATACACACGAACGTTGTTTTACATTTGAATATGAGCACTGTCGAGAATACAGCTGTCAAACGGGAGTTTGAAGAAACTTCTGATGAAAGTGTAGCTATTAATAACAACAATGGTAACTTAATGAAGAGACAAGTTATTGTCCCCGTTACAAAACCCCGCATCCATTATACACCTCTTAAAACTGGTCTTTGTTATGACGTTAAAATGAGATACCATGCAAAGATATTCACCTCGTACTTTGAGTATATTGACCCACATCCAGAGGATCCTCGTCGTATCTATCGTATCTATAAGATCCTAGCTGAAAATGGGCTGATTAATGACCCTATGTTAAGTGGTGTAGACGAGATTGGGGACCTTATGTTGAAGATCCCAGTGAGAGAGGCTACAAGATCTGAGATTCTGGAGGTGCACTCCAAAGAACATTTAGATTTTCTTGAAAAGACTGAACAAATGTCTCGGGAAGAACTTTTAAAAGAAACGGAAAAGGGAGATTCTGTTTATTATAACAATGATTCTCTGTCAAGTGCTAAATCATCATGTGGTGGTGCGATTGAAGCATGTAAATCTGTCGTAGAGGGGAGAGTAAAGAATGCCCTGGCAGTAGTGAGACCCCCAGGTCATCATTCAGAACCTGAGTCATCAGGTGGATTCTGTTTATTCAGTAATGTTGCAGTGGCAGCTAAAAACATCCTTAAGAGTTACCCCGAGAGTGTTCGTAGAATTATGATTCTCGATTGGGATATTCATCATGGTAATGGTACTCAAAAGGCGTTTTATAATGATGACCGTGTTCTATATGTCTCCTTACATAGATTTGAACTTGGGAAATATTATCCTGGTACCGTCCATGGTCAATATGATCAAACTGGTGAAGGTAAAGGTGAAGGTTTTAATTGTAATATCACATGGCCTATTGGGAACGTCGGGGACGCTGAATATATGTGGGCTTTTGAACAGATTGTAATGCCTATGGGTCGTGAGTTCCAACCTGATTTAGTAATAATTTCTTCCGGGTTCGACGCTGCTGATGGTGACACAATTGGTCAATGTCATGTTACTCCAAGCTGTTACGGACATATGACCCACATGTTGAAATCTTTGGCAAGAGGTAATCTGGCTGTCATTCTAGAAGGTGGTTACAACTTGGATTCCATTGCTAAGAGTGCTCTTGCTGTGGCAAAAGTATTAGTCGGTGAACCACCAGATGAATTACCCGAACCATCCAAGGATACTAAACCAGAAGCATTAGAAATGGTAGATAAGATTATCAGATTACAATCCAAATACTGGAAATGTTTCAAAAGGAATTGTGGGAACGCAGGTTGCGAGTTTAAGGAACCAGTAACCGAAAATATAATATCCAAGAATTTCCCCTTACAGACTGCTATTCGTCAGCAACAATTACAAAATTTATTATTAGATAATTATAAATTTGTCACCTTGCCCCTAGTAAATCAAAAATTATCAGAGGACACAGTCTTTTGTTCTCAAAATGTCTACGATGCCTCTACTTTACTGATAGTGGTTCATGATACACCAGATATATGGGCTGCTAGAAATGTCATAACGGGAACCATTGAACCTTCATCCTCGATCATTGTTGATAGTGGATTACAATTTATTAAATGGGCTGTCAAAAGAAACTATGGAGTTATGGATATCAACATCCCACAATCGCTCTTTGAACAAGACAATTATTCTGCAATGATTACAGCTCAAGAAGTGTTATTATACCTGTGGGATAATTACATCAAATTTTCAACAGATGTTCAAAAAATTGCATTCGTTGGTATCGGTGATGCAAGTTCGGGGATTATACACTTAATGGGTCACAGAGACACTAGAAATAATGTTAAAGCGATTATATCGTTTATAGGTAGTAAACAATTGAAACCATTGGTTCCATTAGTTGATGAATCCTTAACTGATTGGTACTTTAAAAATTCACTAGTATTTTCTGATAAAAATCATTCATGTTGGGGTGATAACGAAAATAAGAAACCCCGTAAGAAATATGGTAGAGTATTGAGATGCGAGACAGACGGGATTAATAATATAGTTGAAGAAAGATTTGAAGAGGCAACTGATTTCATCCTTGATTCTTTTGAAGAATGGAGTGATAGTGAGTGAAACTAATTTTAATTATTCTATCAATTCTTCTTTCAACACACGATCTCTAACTATAACTGCATTTTGTTATCACGACCTAACAATCAGAATGAACAATGAACTTTTTGCATACCTAATAAGCATAAATACCTCTCAATTCTTACAAGAAAATAGATACATACGTATATGTAAATAGTATCTTCTATAGATATTTGTATTAAAAACATAATATTTTATACAATATGAATATAAATCGTCACATGAGCCAGCATTATTTTGAACGAATAATTATACAAACACAAAAATGAAAGAAAGAAAGAAAAAATACAATTATAGCATATATTTTTAAACTTTATTCACAATGGCATTAGCTGATAAAAACTTTGGTTTTGTTGGTTTCTTTGGTTTTAACCTTTCTGGTTTAGGTGGAACAATCGGCTTCGACTTGACTTTTGGTGTCTGTTCGATCACTACAGGTTCTTCCTTTTTTGCCGACGATTTATCCTTCGAAGTTAATTTGTTACCAGATTGATTCAATTTATCTCTCATTTTTTGTCTTAACATTTCTTTTGTCTTTTTGTTTTCTAATCTCTGAGCATCACTGATTTTATCTACTTTCTCTTCAGTCTCTAATTGAATATTTTGATCTATCATTGGTTCATTTAATTCCTTAGAGGTTTTATCTTTGGATGGGATTTGATTTTCCATTGTTGGGATTTTATCAAAGTTTTTAATACTCTTGGCAATAGATGGACTATTATTAGTATCGATTTGATGAATTTTTTTATTTTTTGGAACTTCAGTGATTTCATTTTCATCACCAAATAGCGAGTTGTTCTCTTCAATTCTTGAAGTTTCTACCAATTCCTTATTTTGTTCATATTCTCTTCGAGAAGATTCAATGGCTGCTTTAATCCTTTTCTCTAAATCAATTTCATTTTGATGTTTTTCAGATGTAGATTGGGGTACTTCCATTTTATTGTATATTGCTACATTATTTTTTCTTCTTGGAGGTAGATTTATTGTTTCTAATATCTTATCTTCGTCAGTACTATCTTTATCACTTGAGGATGTAGAGACAGGTGATAATACAATAGGAGCATGTGTATTTGAAACTGATTTTGAAAGATGTAATTTGTTAGACTTATCAGAAGTTTGAACACTTTCATTAATATAACCAGATGTAGCCTTGGTATCATGAGTCACTACAGAAGGTAAAACATCGATTGTTCTTACTTGAGTCAACCTATTATGAAGTTCACCAGATGAAGGGGCATAAGTCTGAGGAATTTGTGATACTTGCATTGGAATTTGCTGCGGTTGCTGTTGTTGTACCATTTGGACTGCCATCTGTTGAGCTTGCATCAGATTCTGTGTACTTACATTTTGTCCCATCATATTCAACTGTGGCATACTTGCAACATGAGGTAATTGGTTTCTAACGGAATAGAAATCTCTAATAGGACACGGTATCCCTAACAATTGAGATGCACGTTCTGCTACTTGACATATATTTGGTCTTTCATTTGGATTCACTAATAACATCCATCTAATAAAATTCTTCAAGTTTTCACTATATTGTGGGAATGATGGGAAATCATATCTAGAGTAAAGAATAGCAGTTTCACCTCCCTTTTCAAATGGTGTGGTATAGTAACACAATTTGTATAAGAGGACACCCAGAGCCCAAATATCCGATTTCTCATCAACTGGTAAATTACGATAAAGATCGATCATCTCTGGAGATCTATATTGTGCTGTTGTATTCTTAAGTATATCATGTTGTACATATGCCATTTCCTGTTGTGTAGAAGGCGGCCTAATTACACCTGAAACAGAACCAAAATCACATACTTTATATTCCTTTTGACTGGAGATCAGAACATTTTCGATCTTCAGATCACGATGTATCAAAGGTGGATTCAAAGCATGCATTGCTGCAACACCTTGAGTAATTTGCAATATGATATTGAGTACTTCAAATTCTTGTAATCTATTTTGTAATCTTGTATTCATAAAATCAATTAAACCTCCCTTTTCACAGTATTCCATCAGTAAGAAAACTTCATATGAACCATTATGCAAATTAGATTTAGCTGCATGAGAATCAATGTATGACACCACATGTGAATTATTGCGCAATAACTTCATGGCTTCTACTTCTGCTCTAAGGACATTCAGACTCCCTTTATCCGGGACAACTACTCTCTTAACACATGCAAAACTGGAATGAATATATTCATCAGGTCGAGACAATTCACAACTGTATATCTGTGCAAACCCACCACTTGTTAGGTACTTGATTATACGTATACTATGTGATCCTACTGTTAAACTAGTGCCTGGTTGGTATTTGTCCAATTGAGGCTGGTTCATCTCACTGCCGATATATGATTATAGTATCGAGAAATTAACAATAGTGACTAAGTGTTGTCAAACTATCGTTCAAAAATTATTATACGTAAGCGTCTCAAAAAAAGGTTCCAATCCTTAGCTAACAATGTAATCACCTAGTGCAGTGACATCCCTTTAACTGTCAAAACCTTCTCTTATATGTGGTATCCTGTTATTAACCTTTATACATTCTATAAAATTGTGACTTCAGGTATTCGTCTCTTTAGATTATTTTCTATGCGGGGCAACACAGAAACTGCCGTACGAGTCAATCTCCTGAGCCACCTAATCAACAACAAAATCAGGTCACGATGCACGAAACAAGGCATATAAAAGGAACAATATTTGGGTCTTTCCACCTGATAAACCGCAACTATAACTAGACCAATAAGGATAATTGACGGACTCTTTTATACAAGGCAGCCCTGTACTATTTGGGTACCACTCCATTATAGCCCCAAATTTTTATCGAACATGTATAAACCTGAAAACATTGAAATAATGTAATAATACGGACTGTAAATTCGAAATTATTAACATTCACTTATACGTCGTGAAATATTACGAAAATAAACCACATATGACATTTTGCAGATGTTTAAACCCATTTTATCAACAATACAATTGAAATATGGTATTTCAAAGTAGTATCTACGGCACTACATTTCACACAAAATAATCCAAAGCACGCCAATATATTAAATGCAGTTACTTCCGGAAACCTAAAGTACAGAGATCGTTACGTGATGGTAATAAACTTAAATATACAAATATTCGACTTTTCATGTAAAACGCATCCCCGCCTTGATGTCTAACATTTGGTTGGAAACATGGAGTAATGTGTATTGTGATGATATCTAGTGATGACACATAGGAGTAAATGCGCATAAAATTATTTCTTTACTGAACTGAATCAGATATAGTAGAGTTAGATTTGGTTTAGTTCATTGTTCATTGTTTAGAAATATGCTAAGCAGTTGCTTAAGTATAAATGGTTAAAGTAAAGCAAATGTTTTTACCTAAACAATTAACAATGAACGAATCAAGATCTAACTCCACTATATCTGCTTCAGTTCATGGTAGAGTTGCAAAAAATGCGTCTAACTCAAACGAGTCGAACAGTTCTCCAAGAACTCCGGTCCCAGGTGGTGAGGAACCGGTTAATAATCAAGCTGAAAATGTTAATAAACCGAACGTTATTCCTTTCTACGATGGAGACCCAATAAATTATTATTATAATAAATTTAACTCTCCTTTGTATGTCAACCGAGATATCTTCGCTAACCCTCTCTAACAGTCGGAATTTTATGTATCCATAATATCCAAATCGGGTTTTGCCAAATATGCTAGGAAACTCACCATTCCCACCAAATTTGCCTCATACGCATATTCCTTCTCAATCTTCTGCTACTATCAATGAGAATTTAGCCACTGGATATGGTTTGTAAAAACCACCATTCGCACCAACTACAATGCTGAACAAAATCACTCATTCTGCTGAGTTCAGTTGTTGGACCAAAACGTTTTTGTCTCTTTTAGGTGAACACCAATTATACCATAACATTCTAGATGAAAATGGAAAGCCAACATATCCTGCAAATTACGATAAAAAGAAATTTATCTTTAATATTTTCAAATATTTCGTCTCACCAAAGGTTTATCCTGTTTAGTTCTCCAGAAAATTACAAGAAAGATTCATTGAACTTTTTGATGTCATCGAACATGCTCTATACAAAGAAAACGAATATAACAACGAAAGAACAATTGTTACTGAATTATTCTGAATTTACTATGATTCTAAGTCGGGTCCCTTCTTCTTTCAAAAGAAATTAGAAAACTTGCGTACAAAAGGTGTGGAAGTTAGAGTTACTATTACCGACAATGTTCTATGTGCTAGAATTGTCGGACATTTGACAGGGCAATTCAAACCAATCGGTGATAATTATGACCGTAATTATCCATCCATTACATTAACTGACCTGTTAAAAGAAATCACCCTTGTCTATACCAGACATGTCAAAAACGGTAAAAAATTATTCGCCAACGAAAACCCAGCTCCTAAGGAAACTGGAATAAAGATCAAATCCTATGAAAAACCTGCTACTCCCAAATCCAATCATAAGTATAAGACTAAGGGTAAAGGGAAGAGATTATTCCATATCCAACAATTTGATCCCTCATATAATGATCTTAGGCAACTACAGTTATAACCTCAACGACTTATTAATCGTGGATTCAGGTACTGAAATATCTGTTGTGCGTGTCACTTCACTTCTAACAAACCTGAGCTTCAATCCCTCAGACCAACTTCTTGGTGCAGAGGATGATGTACTCAACGTAGACGCTGCTGGTACTTTATGTTTAAAATTTGGAAAAACGACTATCCGTGTTAAGACATTGACCTTCCCAGATACATCCTGCAATTTAATCTCTCTACACGATCCGGAAAGAACTGGTTTAATTATAGACATCCAACATCGTGCAATTTTAAATAAAAATGAAGAAAAAATTGAGGACATCATCAACTGTGGACGTTATATCTATCTCCCACTTAGCCTGATCTAAAACACAACGAAGAAACATAAAGTCCACCATGTCTCATATAAACTTTCTATTGCTTTTCTACACCGACTCTTTGGCCATATCAATATAAAAACAATTAAAAATACAATGAAAAACAAACTTATTAGAAACATTCAGTTATCTGATGTCGAATGGTCTAACATTGACAAGTTTCAGTGCACCGATTGCATAAAAGGTAAGGCAACCAAACACAAACATATTGTTGGTTCTCGTTTAAAATACAAAATAGCTACGGTCCATTTGAATATATTCACTCTGATCTGTTCGGCCCAGCTACTGGTGTTTTTGCTGTTTCTCCCAATTATTTCATTTCTTTTCCAGATGAAGCTACTCGCTTTCAATGGGTATATCCCTTAAAAACTAAGTCCGCTGATTCAATATACAATGTCTTCGACCACTTAGTAAGACAAATTCACACCCAATTCCAAACAAAAGTTTTATGTTTTCATATGGATCGTGGGTCTGAATACACTAACTCGGATATGATAGAATTCTTCCACATAATTTCTGTCAATATCTGGGTATCTATCTAAATATTTATAGGATCAGCTTGTATAGTACTTTATGTAATAGATCAACGAATAGAAATTATACAAGTAATCTTTATAGAAATGACAACCGTTCCCAATTCTAATTCTATTAGGATCTACTCTGTTGCCAATCTATTGTAAACGTAAGTTTGAAATCGAGAATATACGATTAGTATTCGAGTTGAAATTATCGGACATAGTTATAGATATTCAAATGTATAATCTTGTAATTTATTTTATGTTATATAAAGTAAGTCTATATAAGGAAGATTGTATATATATAAAGTTAGAATATGTGGTCCTTTTATACTTTTGGAAAAGGAAAACAGTCTACCAAATATTGATAGTATTCTTACTAAACATTCTAGAAACATGTTCTAGACACTTATGAAACAATTAGTAATACTTGCTTACTAATCATTCTTAAAGAATGTTCTAGAATCATATTGAACAGTTAGTAATAATTTCTTACTAAACATAAAATTGTAATAACCAAGTATTGCTACTTTCTATATTATAACATCTATGTCAACACTCGATTTCAAACTTACGTTTACAATAAATATTATACTAATTCGAAATCATGATATATACAAATACATAACTTCACATCCACAATTTCAAGAAATAAACGATCCCTTGGCCCAGTTGGTTAAGGCGTGGTGCTAATAACGCCAAGATCAGCGGTTCGATCCCGCTAGGGATCATTTTATTTTTCGAAATTATTTTTTCTTTTCTATCGATTGAAACTCTTTAATTTTTTATAAACATAAAAAAAATCCCCGTAATACTAGGGTATCCGACAGATAAATAAATTATGCGAAACGAGTTTCTAAGGGTGTGTTTCTCTCAATGTTTCTTTTATGCACGATGACATCACCGCTATGCGTCACCAACCAAAATTATTAAGAAGTGTCCAAGGAGTAACATTGCGTACGACAGTGCGAGGCGCTAACTTAAGAATTTAACTACTTCGCTCAAACTCCGGTTTCTTGACCACAAATAAAGGGGGAACTTCGAAGCGAAGTCGAGACTTCAAAGAAAGACATAGACATAGACACGGCTTTGTGACTCGGTGCGGCTATTCACTGTTGGAGCGTGACGTAATACTTTCACATATTTGTATCTGTGTGACACGGCTGCGCAGAATACACCCAGCAGAGGACGAAAGGTATAACCTCCATTCGAAGAATTTATTAAAAATTGCTATATTATTATGATGAATGATAAGCACCTCTTTTTTGCTTGCGCATGGGCTGGGCTATTTGCCCAAAGAATGTGTGACGTTCGAGGAATACAGTATCTCTCTGTGAAAGGAATAACGTTACAGAATGTCTCATTTTGTTACATTCGTAGAATAACGTAATCGGAGATTATCTGCAAAACGACCAATTATTGAGGGTTAGTTTGGCCATGTTATATACATTTTAACTCTGGTCCTAATCCATTCCCACATAAATATATACACTGAACACAAAAAAATTTAGGGGTAAACCAAAGTCCGGATTTATATCTCCATTGTTAAACAAAACAGATAAATTGGAGAGAATACGATAAGGGGAATATTCCATAGTGTCTCCAATTTGTCTGTTTTGTTTGTTCTCCTTTGTCTTTCACTCTCTGTCTGTCTGTCTCTGTATACGTATGGCTGAACGCACTAATTAGGAAATAAAGTTATACTGCAACATGCATCTGTAAGGAGCATTCATATCCCAAATAGGCTATAATAGACTCCCCCTTTAATTAATAATCGGTACAATACAAATATTGCCACATGAAGATCTTCCCCATTCTTCACCGCTAAAACAACTGATGTTGTAAAACGAGAACTTTCGCTCTCGCCCTCTCACTCCGATTATTATATGATTGACAGTTACCCCTCACAACGAATAACAACAACATGACGACGTCTAAGTAACAACCACAGAAATACTAAACCAAAACACACACAAAAATATTTAAATACAAATATACAAATATTTGTATTTAAAGGGTTAACTCTATATATTTGCATTATGTAATGGTAATAACCTTCCCCTTCACTCACGCTTCACTGCATAGATATCTGTGCCAAAACCTATAATAATAAATACAAATTTTAACACGTTTTTTCTTTCCTATCTATTTCAGTCGATTAATCTGATATACTAACAAGATATCGATTTTTTGTTTTAGTTAATGTAATTAATTTAAAAAGGTAAAAGGAAGGTAATAAAGGTATAAATATATTTTCTCTCTCTCCTTTCTTCTTCTTCAGTGTTTTTGGAGATATCAGTATTTTAAAAAAAAATATATATATATATAAAAGACAGACCCTTTAATTTAATTTAAGTTTTTTTTATTCATTGTTGAATATTAAGATCTACCCTGTTAAGAATCTCATTTTATCTCGATTTGACAATAATAACTTTTAATTAGCTATCAACTACTATTTCACACATAGATTAATCGTTTATGAATTATCATGGATTTACAACCTCCACCACCGAAATATTCTACTTTTGATTTCGATATAGAAAATGTGAAATTATCAAATAGTCCACAAGATGACTATCAAAGAATTTTTTTCACTACTCTATTTGAAAAATTTTATTCTCAAGATATCGATGCAAAAGTTAAGAATAAATTATCAATTAATGAACTATTTATTCAACAATTAAAAATAAATTCAACTACTTATAGATCTTCAATTGCAAAAGATTTGGAAAACCCAAATTATTTAACCGATGAAACTAATATGGAAAACGCTAGAAAGAAAAGAGAAGTTGAAAAGAATTTTTCTGCTGCTAATATTGCCACTACCAGTACTAGTAATTCGACTGGTAAACAAACTAGAAGAAGATCTTCTACTAGAAAGGAGAAAGGAAATGAAACTTTAAAATGTTTCGAATATAAATTTCCAGATTTAAAAATTTATTTGGATGATAACAATAACATTAATAAAAAATTTACTATTAACGAACAATCTTTAAAAAAAATTCCAATTCATATTAGATCAAATTTAGGAATCGATAAAGAATTTTGTATGAGACAGATGTTGGATGCTAATGTTGTCTTTAAAGATACTAATACCTTAAACAATAATAACAGTACTTCTTTACCTTCTTCAGTTTCTTCTTCAGTTTCATTATCTGAGATGGAAGATAAGAAAACGATTATTCCAAAAGATAATGTTTCTGCTGCTATGAATACTTTGACTAAGAATCAACAATTTAAAGTCACTAAATTAGATCATAATGACGCTTCAAATAATAAACTTATTAGTAAAAATAATACAGTCCTATGGGAATATGATACAGGTTATGTATTTTTAACAGGTATCTGGAGACTTTATCAAGATATTATTAGGGGTTTAATTCTTTGCGATAGAAGAGATACTACTAAAGAACAAAATAAATTAATTAGAGATAAATGTATTCGTGAATATGAATATATTTCATCTTATGCGTTTTATGAATCAATTAATTTGGATATTGATGAAAACCCATCAATTGATCAAGATATTTCTCAATATCAGGATTCTAGCGGAAGACAAAGAAAGAGACGTTCAATTACTAATCCAAGTAATGCAAATTTAGCAAATATTGGTATTCAAGTCGATGGGAAAAAAAAAAGTTCTACTGATGGAACTAATAAGATTAATTACTCAGATTTACATTGGAATGAAATCTCGGACATTTTATGTGATATTGTTCGTGATGATTTTAAAAATCATTTAATTCAAGATCAAAAGATTCCTTTGGAAAATATCGATGTCGATGGGAAAAACATTAATGATTTGGGGAAAAGAATTCGTGGAGGATTCATTAAGATTCAAGGCACTTGGCAACCAATGAGGATTGCTAAAAGAATGTGTTACAGATTCTGTTACCCAATTAGATATCTATTGACTCCATTATTTGGACCAGATTTCGTTCCCGAATGTGAAAAATGGTATAAAGCTATTGAACATCATGCTGAAAAGATGGCTGAAGAAAGAAAAAGAACTGGATTCGTGGGTCCAATGCGTTCCAAGAAAACTGTCAGAAAGATTACTCCAAAGAATTCAAATACTTCTTCTCCAAGAGGTAAAAGAAAAGCTTCATTTTCTTCTTCGACTTCTTCTTCTGCTATTCATGTCGGGCCAGATTCTAAGAGACCGACTCTAAGAGACCCATTTTCAGGCAATGATGCAATCTTGACTCCAACTAGAGACATGATTACGATCGCACCAATCCAAACAGCAACACCGGAATCAAGTGTCAATAGTAATAGCATTCCAAGAGTCTATGTAGCAAATACTAGACATAGATGTACTCAATCATTACCTTCGATTCAAGGAATCATAAGTAGTGTTCAACATATACCACCACCACCACCTTCAAATCAACAACATTTGATTCGTGGTGGATTTCCTCATCATGGAAGAAATTCTGTTCCAAATGTTCATTTTGCACCTTTTGTTCAACAAATAGGTTATTATCCACCTCAACCTTTGATCCCTCAGGTAATTAATCAACATACTCAAAGACAGCAGGCATACTTACCTCCACCACATCAGACAACAACAGTGATGGATCCAGCTTTCAACAGAACTTCCACGATGAATAATTTTAGAACACCAACAACTACTGACAGGTACAATTTAACTTACAATGGGAATATGGTTCAAAGCCGTAATTCGATTAGTAATCAAAGTAGTAATCAAAACAGCAATTTAACTACACCTCAAACTCCTGATGTTAACATTTTATCTGCTGCAACGAATCTTTATAATACAGGTGGGCATAGATATTCTTATCCTCCAAAGGTTAAAGTGTCTCAAATTGAACCCAGTAGCAAATTTGATTTTGCTCCACATACTCATTTGACATATATTGGCACTCCTAAACTAAGTGATGTTCCTCGTTCATCGGGTGGCACTGTTACGGGATCGACCAATCAAGTTCCTCGTATTTATAATAGAGAATTACCTAGAATCATTCCCCAAGCATATATATCTGCAGCTCAGTACCAAGTGCCATTACAATCACAATTGCAACAACGCACTCAATATCAAACATTTCCACAGTCTCAACAGCCACATCAGCAACTACCACATCAGCAACAGCAACAGCAACAACAGCAATATTATCATTATCAATTTCAACAACCTCATTGATTTTCTTTCGTTTTTGTTATTTTTTTAGGATTATATTTTTTTCCTTCTTTAATTCGCCAGTGACTTTTGTTAACTTAATTTTGTACACTACCCATCTTATTTGTTAATATTCTTCCTTTCGAGTACTATTATTCTTAATTTTGTATCACCATTTACATATAAACTTTCTAATTACATTAATATAACAATACATCAACATTTTTTTAATTCATATTACAATAATATTGCTTTTAAACATATCTAGAGGAAGTTAATCTATTTGAAGCTATTTGGAATGTGATCTTTCTCTTAAAAGAGAGATGGCCCTTTAGTTTCAGTCATTTTTAATTTCAACCGTTCTTGTCACATATAATTTCTTATTACTTCCAGAGACAGAAAAGGTGAAAAATATATATAGAAAGAAAGAAAAATTTTAATTTCATACATTATAAAGAAGCTCATCTCGATATACAATTTCCTTTTATATTACACACTATACAGGAAGACAACAATAATCTAACTTCTAATAATTAGATACAATGCCTGGCTATCAATTGATTGAAAATGCTAATTTTGGAAGAAACAACTGGTGCATGGGCCTACAACCGCTATATCAACATGGTCTACTAACAAGTTTGAGTAACGGTGAAGTTCATCTGTTGGATTGGAAGACACACACGACTATGACAAAGATAAAAGTTGGAGATGTCCCAATTAACAAACTGATAGTCATAAATAGTAATTATCATAGTGAATCATTGTTTGCTACTGCATCATTAGATAGCGTGAAAATTTTCGATATTAGAGATAAGAGTTGTATAGCGACAATACATAACGATAAAAATTCACCATTCTTATCGTTAGACTCCAGAGAAGGAAGATTGGCATGCGGTACAGAATTAAGTGGTGTTGATGCAGAATTATTTATATATGATATCCGGGATTTCAGTACTCCGACAAGAGGTCTGGTTGACTCCCATCATGACGATATTACTGACATTAAATTTCATCCATCTGATAATAATATACTTCTAAGTGGGTCTACAGATGGGTATACTAACATATATGATTTAACTGAAGAGGATGAAGACGATGCTTTGCATCAAGTTATCAACTATGCATCAATTCACTCTTGTGGTTGGATTTCGCCTCGCAGAATATACACTTTATCACATATGGAGACATTTGCTATTAGTGAACTTAATGACAAATCAGAAGAATTGAAAGAACCTCAACCATTAGATTTTGGAGATATCAGAGATAGTTGGGGATGTAATTACGTGGTGGATATATATCCGGGTTATATTGCTACAGGTAAATCACAAGAAGGCAAAGGAAGTTTGAATATTATGCCATTAGTGGACGAAACCCCGCAGATAGGGTCATCAATAACCATAAATGACGCTCATGGGGATGATGTGATTAGAGATGTGTTTATTCCACCTCAGGATTCACAAATAATGTATTCATGTGGTGAAGATGGTAACGTAAAATGTTGGAAGAATACGACTGGATCATTGACAATTCCAGAGGGGTTCTGGGATTATTCGAATAAGTTCGATGTATTTGATACTGAAAATGATTTATCGATGGATGTAAACGGTTCAGTTGTAGCTATCGAAGAAGAAACTCCCGAAAGACACAAGAAAAAATCAAAGAAATCAAAGAGTAAGAAATCAAAGCATGTACCACGTTACACCCCATACTGATAACATATAATCTAGAAACATTTGAGTTAATCTCAATTCACTAAATATATATTTCTTACCTAATTTATCAGTATATATCTGAAAATTCACGTGACCTGAATTTTTAAAAAATCCGCGTAAAACATTTCGGACATACAAATTAATATAAGAGAGTTTCACGTTTGTTTATCCTCTATACTCTCTTTAACCATCGCTAATATTCGACACTATTTCTAGGTACATACTCAACAGATTACCATACACATTTGTATTAAAGGATATAAATACATAAGTAGAAATTCGTTACGTGCACAGGATCAACCCCAAAAAGATTATTTGAATTATTTTAAACTATGAGTAGTGTTGTTAATAAAGGTGGGACTCGTTTTGCTCCCAAAATGAGACAACGGAGAACTGCAGCCTCAGGCTCACCTGCTGTAGGTAGTATTGCAACCCCTGTGATTTCAATACAACCTACGAAGGAAGTTGATGATATTGGAAACGGTGAGGTAAATGATAGTGCAACTTTAGTTGCTACTCAAGTAACAACTCAAGATTTAGATGGTGATGAGGGTCCATTAGCAAAAGGAACTCAAGAGGAAGATGTAGATCCTAAACAAGTTATAAATACTGAAGAAAAACGATTATCCATTTCTGGCCCAACAGACAGACACCAAAGGCGGTTTAGTAGGTTACCATCGTTAAGTGGTACTCTGGGGAGTCCCTTACTAAAACCTTCCCTAGCTGGTTCAAATAATACCAATAGAAGGTTATCTACGATATCCAAAAATCCTAAAAAAAAGAAAATTTTGAGTATGAATAAATTATTATCTGAGAATGAGGATGATGCTACATTAAACGCAATCAAAAAACGTAGGTTATCCAGAACTGTTCCGCCAGCAACAAGAAGATCAAAATCCAGTCGTAAAAGTAGTGTAATCTCTAAAATTTTTGTTCCGCAGGAGGCTCATTCAGAAGAAGATGAAGAAGGTGATAATTTAAAAGATAGAAGAGATTCTATGACTGATACAGTGCCTAATGATGGGGAATATTTTGAAACATATATCGTTAGAAATATAGATGAAGTTCCTGCTGATGTGACAATCACCGATTCTGCTCGTTATTTGGTTGATGATGAGCATTTCACAATGGATCAACTTTGTAAGAGAACTTTACCAATAGGTCAGATTTCCGAAAATTTTGATAAAGCTAGGAATGCAGAGAAACAAAAAATTTTAAAGAGGAAAGAACGTCATAATTTAAGAAAAAGAGCAAGAGAAGAGTTTAAATCTTTACAATCCCTGAATAAAGAAGAAGAAGACCTTGAAAAGGAAGAATGGAAGAAGAATAGAGAAAAATTATTAAATGCCGAAATACCAGAATTTGGAGCTCCTAAAGGCCAGCAAATGCAATTAAAGATTGGTGCAGATGGCAAAATGATATTGGATGAAGAATCTACTGTTGTTGATAGACACAGAAATGCAAATCTGGAGAATGCTCAAAAGGAGAAACTGGACGAAAATCCATTTGAAAATCTATACAACAATGCTTCCTACGGTAAGAGTACATACACAGATCCTTGGACTTTAGATGAAATCATTAAACTTTATAAAGCGCTAGCGATGTGGGGAACAGATTTCAACTTAATTTCTCAAATGTTCCCATATAGAACAAGAAAACAAGTGAAAGCCAAATTTGTCAATGAAGAAAGAAAACATCCAATAATAATCGAACTTGCTCTGCGAGCTAAATTGCCAGCAAATTTTGACGTGTATTGTACAGATATACGTAAAGAACTTGGAACTGTGGATGATTTTAATGAAAAGATGGCACAAATACAGAGTGATCATGAAAAGAATATCCAAGAAATTGAAAAGGCAAAAGAAAGTGCAAAGATAGAAGATATGAATATCCAAAAAGATGGCGATTTGGATAAGAAATCCTCCGGTGGTTTCAGAAAGAAGTATTTAAATACTTACAGAAAATCGGAAGTTGTCTTGGGTACTATTGATGACGTTAAGAAGTTAAGAAAGATTAAGGATGATGCAGTCAAGGAAGAAGGAGAAGAAGATAAGAGTGATAATGACGAGGAAGAGAAAGAAGATGGAGAGGAAGATAGAGAGGAAGAAGAAGAAAAAGAAGGAGATCTAAGTAAAGAGAGCATCGATGAAAAGAAGTAGAAGTAGCTTCGGAAAGTAAAATACAAACAAATATCACTATTTGAGGTAGTAAAGCGAGCCTGCGTTCCTCTTCTAAATGTTTCGATCGATCCGCAGTCCAACTTGGTGTTTGATGGGAAACCCATTTAAAAAACCGTTAGGTATCTGGTCAAAACAAGTATGTAACATTACAATGACATCATAACTATATAATTATTTTTAATAGTAAGATAATATGATACAAGAATTGTTCAAGGATAAAAGAACTACCATCTAACGTAAATATCAATTGTTTAATAGTATTATAAAACTATTTTGCGTTACGTTCCTGATAAAAGAAAATGAAGCTAACACTCTCGATCGCCCGACTGGAAAATAATAATATAAATTTCAGAACCGATCATTATCGTCGTCTTACATTTCGCTGATCTGACATGCATAAAAGTTGAGAAAGCAGTAGAATAAAAGACTAAATTATAAGAACATTCCAGTTGATAAACGTAGTTTACATCCAACACACGTATTCAAGATCAATATCACCATACATTGTTAAAACAACGATGCCAAAAAGTTTTAAGAATAATATCTCTGTAAGGCGAAAGCGATACACGATTAATATTGAACGTGAAATAGATGACAATTATGTGAGTGTTCAAATTATACCAAATGGGCTCCGAAAGAAACAGCTCATCAATTGCATAATAGTGGTGATATTTAATGCATGGATCATACTTCCCGAGCATACATTTTTTGAAAGTTTTACAACTTACATTGTATTGATCAAATCATTGATATTCCTATTCAGTTGTATGATTTTGAAGAACCCTACGATTGAAAGATTGACTATATTTAAAAACTGTGGTATTCAAACTTCAGAAATAAGTGGATTGAGCGTCCTTCCAGATACGCTCAATAATATAATTTGTTCCCCACGGGCAACATTTATTCCAAAAGATAGAATAGTAGATGTTATCATCAATGAGGGATTTGTAAAGGAATGTCAAGTCATATTTTATTTAGCTGCTATTTTGAGAGGTCAGAATAAACTAAAATTACTGTTTTCCAACAATAGACCCAGATTAGTTGACCAAAAGACTGTATATAACCTAGTTAGAAAATGTCTCTATTTGAAACATGAACCATTGCTAGTAGAGTAGGAATTATCAGGAAAGTATACACGAATGGTGAAACGAGAACAGATTCTTAGCCCACGATGCAATGTTATTCAAATTTGGCATTTATTAATTTTATTTTATTATATAAATGATTGTAATGATGTTATGATAAAAAATTAATAATATAAACCCTTACGCGTCTTTAAGGCAACTTTTTCAATGGGGAACTATAATCTATGCAGTGAGTCCTTGAACTTTGTTTCTTGCTCTTATTGCATCTAGAAAAGTCGAATAAGACCAACTTAAATCACTAGCTCCTTGGAGGAATCCGCTATATTTGTTAAATTGTTCACTCATTTCACCTTCATGACTCATATGTTTTCTGACTACTTCAAAGAAAGAATCCCCATATTTGAATAAATTATCTAGGGTCATATTAAATGCTATTGAATTATATGGGATAGTGACAATTAAATCTTTTTGCCAAGGAAATTTATTACTCTCATGGAAAAACAAACTCCAAAATTTTGTCTTCCAAATATCAATTACAATAGGCTTTTCTTCTACACGATATGACTCGATTAATTTAAATATTAATTCAGCAGCAGATGTCGTTGCAATGAACCATGGGTTCCCCTCACTAGTATGAACTCCATCATATATATCTTCAGGGTATCTACCCAAAGCAACCCCAATATTGAGATTACTAATAGGATGATTTATTGGATATATGATGGACATACTTTGCACTAAAGAATACAAAGTATTTAATATTCCAGAATCATAAACATCAAATGGAACTAAATGGTCACTATTGATTATACTCTTTGAAGGATGACAGACGATTGATGCCAATATAACGGCAATATCTAATCCAGATCGTATATTCAACAGATTAGGTGATTCAACCACATAACCTTTATATGGGTTAATAAAATTGTCCTTAGATAACAAATACTCGAGAAGGACTTTATGTGTAGTTTTAAGTTGATTCAATAAATTATTGTCATTATTGGGGAAAATTCCATACATAAGTTTAAAGTTTTCCCATTTTTTAATTGCTTTCTCTAATGCATAAAATTGAACTAATGTAGTAAAAAAATGACGATCCACAATTTCTTCCCAAAGATCGAAACTACTTTCTTCATAATTTAAAACAATAAATTGTAAATCATAATATATTAAGTTTGATAATATATCCAATTCATTATTAAATGTATAATGATAATTAGGATTTGTAAAATTTTCAACGGATAAACTATTTGTTTCTAATAATTTTAAATAATTTAATACTGTAATAATTCTTAAAGCAGGTCCATCATTTTGTGGTCTCCCCCAATTCTCATTAAATGGTGTACTGTCAATATTAAATTTAGGTTCTGCTAAACCTTTATATTTATCTTTCAATGAAAATTTACCTGATAAATTATCCAATCTTTGTAAAACTATTGAGTTATTAATGTATTGCAACAAAATATCATGAATTTGAATTTTTTGTCCAGTTTCAACATTATCAAAATAATCCGAGACTAATGCATTCAGAGTCATGGCACTATCTCTAGTCCATTGATAAAAATAATTAGGAGATTGTCTCGAGGGAGAAGCCGTAAGAACACCCAAAGGAATATTATTATCCCATTCATTTTCATTACCACTAAATTTTATATTTTTTAATATTTTATTTCTAGCAATTACTACTTCTTGGGTTAACCAGGTCTCAAATTGTGATGGATTAATAGTAGAGGGTTGGAGTGGTTTTAGTGTTAATAGATCCTGTTGATTAAAATCGGTTATAATGTAACCATTTTCAAGTTTAATATTTGAATTTATATTTAAAATTCCAGTATCATAACTGGTGAACTGTTTTAAATTAATAAATTGTTGTTTTATAAATAATATAATTAATAAAACAAATGTCAATGATAAAGTTAGATAATATCTTAAACGAGTATTATAAATATAGCTAGAAATGAGGCCTCTTTCCTTGTTATAGTTTATATCGTTACTCTTTCTCAACTTTATTAAACTCATGTCCTTTTTTATAATTTGTTTAGTAAATTACTTCCGTAATTTATGTTTTGTTATATTATATTTGTTTGTGACTAGTTAATGTATACTTCTAGAACTTTGAATTCACTAATTAGTGCTGATCAGTATTTATTCTTTAAATGAAATAATATTATACCACTATAACGTTAATAAATAAGTAAAAAAAAACAGATAAAATTTGAGATATATTTGTGACACTTTTCAATGTTAACTAATTCATACTTAATGTAATTAATCTATCTCCTCTCACCATAATTGTAAATAGTGTCACTGCAACAAACTAAATAATTTCGAATAGTACAATCATACCATAATTTAAGAAATTTAATAGCGACATTGACCAAATTATAAAAAGGTAAAGGGAATAACAAAATATGCGATGCTCAATAAAAGCATTACAATAATAAAATTACAAAAGAAAGAAATAAGGGGAGAGGAGAAGAATTAGGGTTTCTATAATTTCTCCATTTCTGTACCCTACAACAAACCTTCACCTTTTTTTATTTTTTTTTATTTATTTAGAGGGAAAGAGAAAGCGAGAGAACTGAGAGATCAGTACTGCTGCAATTTGAAGAAATATAAGGGTTCTGACAAAATGAGTGGAGATTTAAATATATTTGAAAGAGACATTAATTCGTGAACTATTCATAATTAAAGTTTTCTCCAATATTTTCTTCTTCTTTATTTATTAACGTATAATAAACCGTAAGGAGACTTTTCATTTCTACAAACAATTAATTAGTCAAATCCGGTCTTATTGGATAATAAAAAACTGTAATTAACTTCAACCAAATATGAGAAAGAAGTATAAACGTTAAAAAAAAATTAAGTTTTAAAATATTTAAAAAGTTTAATTCGTGTAAAAAATTCTAGAAATTCCGGTAACTTTCAATAATAACATTTTTCTAAACGTAGTTTATTACAGATATCACAAAGAAATTAAACTTTATTTTTATTAGTTTAAATAATTTGAGATTGAAAATTTTGGAAGCCCTTATTTAGTTGTTTATTGATTTTACTTAAAATGAATTGAAAATAAATTATTAAGAAAATCCTAGTAGACACCTGACCTATCAATTTTCTACTGTAATTTAAATATATTAATGAGTTTTAACATTATATTTTGGGAATGGGATGCGTCACAATATTCTTTTTTTTGACACCTTAATAAAAATGGGGTTTCTTCCCCAACCCCAAAGAATTTGTAACAAGTAATCGTATGTAATCTGTATCATTTTAATACTTATTCCCTTAGTATGATTATAGCTACCGTAAAATAATTTAGATTAAATAAAGATATATATATTATAGTAAAAATTAATTATAAAAAAACAGAGAGTATAAATAACTTCCCCCAAAAAAAATATAAAAAATATGAAAGTAAAGGACTCTAGAAGTCCTGCATATGCATTAAAATTTGAAAATATTAGATTAACTGATAGTCCTTTAGATGATTATCAAAGAACTTTTTTCATTACTTTATATCAAAAATTCTTCTATTCACAAAATTCAATTAAAACACCAAAACTCTCAATCGAAGAATTAAACCTTAAACAATTAAATATTTCAACTAATCAATATACTGTTAATCCTGTGATTACTTCAGAAAATTTTACAATTTCAAATTTAAATGAACAAATAAATTCTATAAATAATAATAATAATAATAATAATAATAATAATAATAAAGACATCGCGATGGCCAAAAATAATGTTACAAGTTCTTCAATTAAGAAAATTATAAATGATGAAAAAGTAAGTTCTACAATAAACAAAAATACAAAAGAAGTAACATTAAACTGTTGTGAATATAATTTACCAAATTTAAAGATAAATCCTCAACTTTCGAATAATATTAATAATATAAATTTAAGAAGTGAACAGGAACAATATCGTCCTTTAGAAAATTCTCTCGATATCTCTAAGACCCCATTAAAGAAAATTCCTATATCGATTAAAAATAAATTAAGATTGAACAAAGATGCTTTAAAGAGACAAATATTGGATTGTATTCTTCCTTTCAATAAATTAGATGAACAACAAAATAACAATGATGGTTCACTAGTTACACCAAATAATTGCATCATATGGGACTACAATACTGGTTAAGTAAATATGACTGGCATTTTAAGGTTATACAAAGAAGTCATGAAAGGGTTGATTACTTGCAAAAGAATACAGGCTAACAAGGAACAGAATCTGAAATTACAGAAATATTGCCGCCAAATGTACCATGTTATTATGCCCAGTTACGCAAGCAACATTTCTGATCCAGCAGTAAAATGTACTCCAGGAAAAGATAATAATGAGCCACTTCAACAATCACCTAATTCATTAAAAAAGGAGAAATATAATAGCGTAAATACTACTAGTACTACTATTAATAATAGTTCATCTATAGGTACAATAGGAGAATTTAATAACACAGGAAATAATAATAAGCCATCTCAAAATTCCAGATTACATGTTGAAGCTGAATGTGAAGCAGACTCTGAAAATTTAAATAATTGTTGCCGGCCTGCAATCCCACAAAGGTCCCAGACATTAAACGGTATTTCATTTTATAAATTCGTAATAAACTTAGTGAAAAACCATAATATACCACCTTGGAGAATTGTTTTCTCAAATATGGCTTATCCTACCTTGGTTCAGCACATTATTCACGGTCCTAATGAGATACAAGGTATGTGGATACCTATCGGAGTAGCTCGTAGGATATGTTCAGGATTTTGCTATCCAATTAGATATTTTTGGGTACCTCTTTTTGGTAATGATTTTGTCACACTTTGTCAGGAAAGAATGACAATTTTCCTAATTACATGTAATCCATTTACTAAGAAAACCATGACAACAAAGAACAAGAGTCAAACAACTTCCGAGGAAGTTTCATCAAATCTGCAGAAGAATTCAATACAAACACAAAATTTAACCCATATTACTATATCATCTCGTTCTCCGTCACCTATAATCAGAGAAAAGAAAATCGTTACGGATAATCTATTACCAAGGAAGAGGGAAAATATCCCAAAGCACCAACCTGTATTGAAATCGTTTAAAAGTCATCCATCATGTGGTATTAAGCATAGTGAAGTTAAAATAAAAAGAAATGATATGGATACAACTATTAAAAAGGACTCATTGAAACCATATATTATTCAAAGTAGAAATGTGCAGTTCCATTCTATTACAAAAATTAAAATAAATAATGATCACTCAGTTAAATTGCCATCCATCCACAATTTAATAGACGATCTTTTGGACACTTCCAGTAATACTTATAATCTCATCGAAGATAATTCCAGACCATATGGTGGTAATCATAAGAAGCGTAACATAATAACGTCTAATTCTCCTCAGCCTACCGAAAAACGGTTATTATCGATGCAATACGAATATTTCAAGAACAACAAAACTCAAATTCCGACTGATTTGGGGAAAAATTGCTTCAATAATAATCCAACTTCTCCATTAAATATCAATCATTCTACAATATCAAGTGTCTCTAGTGGAAACTTTTCTCCTTTACAGTATTTGGATGTAACATCTTCCTTAAGATCAGAGAATAATTTAGGTTGTCACGATAGTAGTAGAAACTCCTTTGAAAGTGACTCCCAAACTCTCAGAAATCGCGGACTTCCCATATCTACTGGAAGTAGTATAAATTCACATATGTTCATAAATAACCAAGACATTCTCCCAAATATAACCATACCACATCGTCAACTTAATCACAATATTTTATTTTCTACACATCCTCCTCAAATTCATTCACAAGGACAAACGTCCAACAGACACGATCAAATAGGGTATATACATATGACCCAGACCCAACCACTAAAAGAACAACAGTTAACATTACCAACGTTTTTACAACCATCTTTCTCACAGGAGCATAATTCGAAGCTAGCAATAGACCAGCAAACATCAAATAAATTCGATGTGTCTTCAACAATGTAACATGGTCGAATATTAGAACGTCAGATGGCCTTACGCCAAACAATCGAACAGCAAAATTGTAATTTACAATTGACCCAATCGTATAATAACGAATTACTATTAAATACATATCAGAGATTAGAACAAAGTCATGATATAATAAAAAAAAGAAACCCAAAGTGACCACCTTATGCTGGATCCAATTAAGGTTTACTGGTATCAATACACATTCAGGAACCCTTTACCTATTCAATTCTGGAAATTATAACCAAAAGAGAGGGAGGTTTGAAAAATCTAGCCAATGATTAGTAATAAAACAACATTCAGGATCAATTATTCTAGTAAATATAAAAACAATTGTGTCTAAGTTTTCCAAATTATACAGAGTATTTAAAAATATTAATAAAAAAATAGGACGTACAATTTGTTAAAATGTAGCGGCAGCACTAAAAAGGCTAACATTAGCTTAACCTATCTGAAGGAGAAGGTAGCTAATATAAATAGAATTTAGAGTGTGCTGCACTACCGTATATATAATAACACATGATATATACTGCATAATGTAGTATTCGTTCCCCCTACATTGGGTTTATTGGAGCTACATTGTCCAACGTTACTATGCACAAAAGAGGAGCAGTTCAACAACAGTAACTCTGTTTAACACAATTTAAATACAATTTAAATACAATTGAAGTATATTTTTACTTTTAAATGCAGAAATATAGAGTAGATTATATCTTTAAAAAGATAATTAAAAAGATTATCACAAATTTGAGTAGAAGTAAAATTTAGATGAACATTTCTAATCACTATTTGCTAAAAATAAATTAACAGTAATAAAAACTCAAAAAATGCTTTCACTCGGAGTTGAACCGAGGATCTCCACATTACTAGTGTGGCGCCTTACCAACTTGGCCATAAAAGCTACTAATTTGTTTTTTTTTAAAAACCAGTAGCTAGAAATAAGGTCAGTATGTCGTATTACCCGGACTTTATTTTGAGTTTAATTGATATGGACAATAGGAGCTAATAATCAAAGTTGCACTTTATTATTAGATGAATAATAGTATAGGGGTTACTAATAAAATGTGGTGTTGTTTTTGTAATTATCCAAACTTGATAGAAATCATATGGGAGCACGATATCACATATATCCTATTAAGAACTAAATATAACGTAAGGAAATAATATTAGGAAATAAGAGAAACAGAATCTCAAATAAATAAACAACATACAAAGAAAGAAAATTCTGAACTTATATCCTAAGTTCGAATCCATTTGTTCTACAACTTATATTTTAATAAAAAAATCACTAACAATTAAAAAAAAAAAGTATTAGAAATATATTTTGTTTATTTTGACGCTAAACCTCATGGTATATCTACATTTATCTACCTGCCACTAAATATAGAGAATGAATCAAGACCTAACTTTACTATGCAAGCTTCAGCTTAGAATCAACAATTAACGAATCAAAATCTAACGCTATTATGCTAGTTTCAGCACACTAAGATGCCAGGTAATTCCTATCGAAAGAATAATATGTATCCTATTTCAATGTAGTTTATTTGGATGATACTATACTGATCTGTTCGTAGGTATCCAGTAGATATATTCAACATTGAATCAGATTAGAACAAGCGAGCTGCATTATCTAATAAATTCCTTATATAGCAGTAAATGATTATCTATATATTCCTATATATTACATTTTTGGGTATAAAATAATCTAACTGGTCATGTACCCAAATGTTAACTTCCATCTGTAAACTACTCTTCCTGCGAACCGTACCAGTGATTCATTTCCCATCAAAGTTCTTGATGTTTCATTTGCTATCTAAAAAACACTCTTCATACAAGGCGGCGGCGTTGAATGAATTACTGAAATATTTCAAAAATGATTTAGTGTTGATATAAAGAAACTCTTTCAATACTGTTTTGAATAAAAGAATGCTTATAAACATAGTTCCAATCCAAAGGGTTTTGTTGCTCAAAAACAAAGAAAACTATCAGCGATCCATAAGCGTAATGGAATTTATAGACTATCAAGACTTTAGCGTTGCAGACACCATTGCTTCTGAGTTACCTGCAAACGATGCGTTGCCAGAACCTATGCAACGGCTCAATCTTTCAACGTACATAGGAAATCAATCAACACCCCCAATGGATACTAATTTTAAGCTTCCCGATATAATAGCGTCAGATTCTAAATTTACAAATGTTACCTTATATGATAAGATGAGCCAATATGCTGCCATATCTATCAAGGCCTTGAACTCTAACGATAATGAAACTAAGACTTTACAAGAGTTAGATAATGATAATTTAGCAAAAATACCATCCACAAAGAATCATGATAGTAACAAAATTGCACGCGATCTGAATAATATGGTAAGTGGATCATCAATTGATCTTAAGAGTCTTGATACAAAAAATTTAGTTTTATCAAAAAAACTTTCAAAGATCTTAAACGATTATAGTTCTAGCAATTATAATCGTACTATAGAGTTGAAGAGAAACCTGAAATTCCTTGAAGAAAATAAAAATAATATATCGCTAGATAGAGAGAAATTAATCAGCCCTGAGTATACCGGTACTCTGAGTAGAAAGACACTAAGAAGTGATATCGAAAATGAGGTACTAAAAGAACATATTAAAGTCCTTGAAGAATTCAGGCCTATCATTAGGAGAATGAAAAGATTTTCGGGACCGTTGGAGAAAATCAGGGATGAAGCTACCTTCATACTTTCGGAAACTCAAGATCATTCTAAAGAGAAAGGCAAAAATACCAGACTACTGAATACAATTGATTCTCTTAGAAATGATATGGAATTTATTAGACTAAAAAAGCAATTATTCTTAGCCATAAAAGAAAAATTTACTTTGAATCAAGTTGAGGACGATATTATTATTAACGGGAAGATAAATAACGAATACTTTGATGTTTTGAATAAAGTAATCAAAATAAATGAACATGCCACATATCTTCTTGCGTTACCAAAGGACAATGCTGGTTCTGCATTGATCAACAAAGTAAATAAATACAATGAAATAATAAGTAAGAAATTTTTCAATTACCTTATGGATTTCATTTACAATTTTGAATCTAATGAACCAAGTGCGTTTGACAGGCAATATGAAAATATTTATGACACTAAGACTTTCCAAAGAGCGTTGGTTTATCTATCAAACGATTTAGAATATTTTCAAGAATTTGTTAGCAAAGTCACATCAGCCAGGTCAAAGAGTTTCCTGGATAAATTTTTATCTCAATTTGACATAAATAAGAAGAAAAACAGTGATATCAAACCCATTGTACTTTCTGCACATGACCCTATCCGTTATATTAGTGATGTTCTAGCATCTGTACATTCCCTTATTGCCAATGAAGCAGATTTTGTCAAATCCTTATTTAAATTCCAATATGAAGAATTTGAAAATACACCGAAATCGATTTTACAAGAAAACCAGGCAGAATTTTTAAAAGGCTTAGATGTTAAACTATTAAATGAAATTGTTCAATCCATATCAAATACATGTAGAATTAGAATTGAGCAAATCATTAGATTTGAAGAAAGTGATGCAGTTAATTTTGAGATTGTTCAATTACTGGAGCTATACCATCTAATGTTTGTCAAGAAAGGCATCGTTAAAGAGAATGAATTGATAAAAAATATTGATTCGTTGAAAAAGACCTCAAATAAGAAAATTAAAGTATGTTTTACAAAGTTCCTTACGGAAAATATTAAACCGATTCAATATGGTGAGAATTCAGATTTGTTGCAACCTGATTGGCTATCAGAATATCTCAACAAATTGGTTGAATTCTTCGAACTTTATGAAAGAAGGAAAGGTCCATCCTCCTTTGAATCTGATGGTGATGGCGAAACCAGTTCTGATGAAGAAAATACAACACTTGACCAGGAAATGTTGGTTACCATTGCAAAAGATCCCTTCTCAGTGACATTGGTAAAACAATTAAACGATGCATTCCCTCAAGCTAGGAAAAATGAGCATATTAAACTTTCTTTACTGACAGTAGAAATTAATTGTTTTGATTTGATAAAAACTAGACTACAACCGTTCAAAAATACGATCTTGAGACCACACAACGGTGAAGAATCAATCTTTGATCTTGTAAACACTAAATTAAAAGACTTAGTGTCTCAAATGAAAGAGGTGCAATCTAAATTTCTGTTCGAGAGTACAGGACTTGGAATGTACAACAATTTATTTAATATGATATTTCCAATCGATTCTATTCAAGATGAGTTAGATTATGATATGTATCTATCATTGAATGAGAATCCATTAATGAATTTAGATACAATTAATGAAAATGTTCACCACAAATTAAACGAATACTTACCTCAAGCTATGACAGATATTCAAGAGAAATTATTGTTTAAATTAACATCACCTTCTATTGCTGATGAAATTAGTGAAAATTGCTTTGAAAAACTATCTAAATTTTATGGTATCTTCCAGAGGATTCTAATCCATTTAAATCCGGATGATGAACAACGTGTTCTTGAAATTTTAAATTTTTCACCAATTGAATTCCATACTCTACTAGGTCTCGAATAAGAATACTAAATACTTATATAATTATATTGGCACATAAATATACTAAAACATATATGAATTGGTGAGAATAAATAAATATTTTTATTAATGAATATAACTAATTTTAACTAGATTAACTAACGTAAGAAGAATGAGCAGGGGCTTGACCTCTCCCATAACCGTTAGTTTCATAATAATCCATTGGGTAATAGGATTCATCAAACATAACATCTTTACCCATCAAAACACTAGCTTCATATGGGGTCAAAAGAGGTTTGTTGAAAGCATAGCCCCAGTCGATTGATAATCTAGGGCATGCAACTTGAATAAACGCGTCAATCTTATCGAATAATGCCAATTTTTGTGGGAAAATCTCACTTAAGATAATCTTCACTACGGAATAACCTTGTTCGACTAAAGTTTTCTCAAGTCTATCTACAGTACCTACATTACCTTGTCTACCAAGAGCACCTAGGATTAAACCAATCACTTTACCACGTCTAGCAGTCTCAATAGCTTCAGTTCTTACCTGAACCAATTGTTTTTGATCGTAACCTTCTCTAGTAAACTTTCTGTTGTAAGGATCATATTTAAATGCAGGAATATCCGGATTATGAATCATAGCAGACTCCAAATGGAATCTACCATCACCAATAAATATGATTGCATCGATTTGATTCTTATCAAGTCTCTCCGAGGTACACCCCAACACTTCACCCCTGGATAGAGGCTTTATCTGAGGCGGGATGATATACAGTAAGTGATCATTAGGTGGGTCATGTAATAACTTATCCTTTATACTATGTACTGTTGGATTAAATTGAATGGTACTAACAGTAGCAAGCTTACTACCCTTTGGGAAATTCTTTTGCAAGGTTTTAATGATATGTGTTTCGTCAATATTAATAGTAACAAAGACATACAATACTTTGATAGTTGTAATATCGATAGGAACCAGACACGAATGGGCGTAATGAACAATGAAGTCACACTCTAAGGCCCTTGCAGTGTAGTCATCAATACAACATGCACCGTATGAGACATCACCCATAACTACGGTCTCTACACCACAGAATTGTTCCAAAATATCACTAATCAGCAAGGAATAAATCAGTAACCCTTCAGGCATTTGCAATGCAACACGCTTAGAGTTATTCTTCTTTAAATTCCAAATGGTTTTATGCATTTCAAAGTTATAATTAGATGGCAACAAATTTATAGCCTCATTAAGTTCTTCATCGTTAAGGATCTCTTCTGGAATATGTGTAATCATACTTCTGGAACCATTTATCGTACTTCTAGCCTTTCTTACTAGTTCATTACCATCTTCAGAAGAGACGGTTTTGATACCTTTTCCATCACCGTTTCTTGAACCAACAAATCTTCTCCTTGGAACCTTCTTAGGCTCATTGTTTGTTTCCTCAGCAGACATCTTTTATTTCGAATAATTTTCCCGTTAAACTATCTTGTATGTCTATACTTTGAAATCTCAAATAATGATATTTATTATAAGAATTAAACCAAAACAAAGTTAATTTATAAGCAATTTTGAAAGTACTCAGAATGATATAGAATGGTAGGCTCTTCAAAATACTGAAAAATTATTTACTCTTATTTCTTGATTAATAATTCTTCAGTTTGTCCAAAAGCTGAAAAAAAATGCGATGAGTTCCTTTGTTCAAGCTTCGGCCGATTTTTTCATTCATCATGGTTCTCCATATCTGAAAGGTTTATTTCATATATTCATGGTACATTTTTTTCTCTTCTTTAAATCCGAATAAATACGTACAGAAAGAAAGATCTTCCCTCTTACTTGAAGTTTGGTGAATTTCTACCACTGTTATTAAAAGAATAAGAAAGGAAACTCAGACCATTCAGTGGTATTTTTGAAAGTGATTTACTAGTTAACGAGTACAATCGTTAATAAGAAGCTAGTACTATTGGAATAGTGTGTATCCAAAGTTTGTCTATTAAATACACACTAATTTCGGATTAAAATCTAAGGTCGTTGATTCAAGAATATATATATATATATATTAAAACCTCAGGGATTAAATTTAATACCATCACTTTTAGTGCAAATATTTCGAGTGTTTTTGTACTGTAACAAAGACGTTTCCATTTCACATAATGTTTCTGCGAAATATTCCCATAACGATAACAACTAGATCTCTCATAGGAAACGAAACAAAACGTTATTTTATGAAATGTTACCCTTACGCATCTAATACCTCTGGTTTTCAAGGAAATAACAAGAGTTCAAACATATTAGATAATCATCTCTCGACAACGATCACCTCCCCGAATGGGAAGAGAATAATAATGGAAAAAAAAGCCAAAAAAGAGGATATCTCGATATTTGAAGACCAAATTAAAAGAGTCAATGACCTTTCTATTAAATTTTCCGATCATAATGCTAAGATCACAGAACTTCCCCCAAATTTTGGATCCAATCAAGTGATTATTGTAGAGAAGGATCTAGAACGTGAACTTAAAGGAATAGTTAATTCATTTGATGCCTCGATCGAAGTGGCAATTGGATATGGTTCGGGAGTATTTGAACAAGTGGGATATACAAGTGACCAGCCTCAGGAGAAACCTCAAATCGATATTATTTTCGGTGTAGTCGATCCTGTGAAATTTCATACAACAAATTTGATTCAAAATCCTCATCATTATTCAAGTATGAAGTATTTAGGGAGTGGTAAGATATCATCATTTCAAGAACTTGGAGCAGGCATATATTTCAATCCATTTACTAATATTATGGGTCATCAAGTGAAATATGGTGTAGTCTCTATGAGTAGACTCTTAAGAGATCTTTCACAATGGGATACATTTTACCTCGCTGGCCGATTACAGAAACCTGTTAAATTTCTTAAGGATAATATGTCTATAAGATATTGGAATCAAATAAATTTAAGAAATGCTGCAACATTGGCCAAACATCTAACATTAAAGAAACAAAAACAAAAATTGAATCAATCAAGAATTGATGAATATCAATTCTTCAAAGAGATTTCTGGTTTAAGTTATTTAGGTGATATCCGATACACTTTAGGTGGTGAAAATCCTAATAAGATTACAAATATTGTGACTAAGAATCTAGAAAAATTCAGATATTATTATGGTCCAATCTGGGAAGATGTTGTTATCAATGGACATCATTCTCTACCTCAAGGTTTTACTTATGAGAACTCTGTCCATCTTTTGAGAAATAGAATAGCAGAATATAGTGTTATACAGACTACTAAGGGTATATTTACTGCAGGTGTTACTAAATCAATCAAATATGCGTGGAATAAGAAAATGAAAGCGTGGAAGCAACATTAATACTCATAAAAAAATGTTTTAATCAAGTAGTTGTTTTGAAAAATAAACAACAATGACTGATATGAAAAATATCCATATTCTCGTTACTGCAAATATATAACAAGAGTATAAATAAAATTAAATATGTACATACTAATATTCAAGAAATAATTATTATATTAATTAATATGATAAAAAAAAAACACAATGATATATTTGGCAAATGACATATGATATTATTGTATGAATTTGTATATTTATAAGATGCATAAAATTGGTTTAAAAATGTGTTGAAATGTAAGTAAAAAGCAAAAATTAAAAAAAGGAAGGGGGCATTAAAAAAAAAAAGTTAATCGTTTAAGAGTCTTTGGACAGAGTTAACTGTATGGTTATGTGTTGTATAACGTACGGGACTTGCGCATCTACTGCTACCACTCTCACTACAAGTCTTTTCGTCAACATCATCGTTATCTTGATTTTCCATTGATTTCGGAGGAGATATAATTGGCTTCGGTAGATTGTTCGGTGATATTGTAGAGTTTGTAATTGTATTTGAATTTATATTTGGGTTATATTTCCCATTAGCTAAAATATTTGCAATAATAGCTTTCCTCTTTTCATCATCTACCGTTACTTTTCTTTTAGAGTCTTCTATGACATTTAAATCAATGACACCAAATGCAGAACATCCTGATGCAGATTTAGCTCTTCTATGTTTCTTTTGAATCAATCCCAGTGAACTTTTAGATTGACCAAAAGGTTGACTCCCAGATTTCTCTAATATACGAATATTTGCAGGACGTGCAGATTCAGGTTTTGGTTTTTCCAACGATGGATCATTCCTTAAGTTATCAAAACTTAGAATTGAGGTCATCGTTTCTGGTATATTTTGAGAGTTTGCCATAGAAGTGGTAGAAGTATTATTAATATTATTATTATTATTATTTCTGACAAATTTATTCATTGATGGTAATGACATGTTTCTTGAATGTCTTGTAGTTCTATCTGTAGTAATATAATTATGGAATGTAGGTAACCTCTTAGTTAATGGCGATATTGCTTGGTTACTATAGGTCTCCCCATTCTCATTTTCATCTTCATCTTCATTACCTAGTTGAATACTTTCTTCTTCCTTTATAGTCATACTTCCAGAGGATCCGTTTTCTACAGCTAAAGAAGCAATAGCATTAGCACCGATTCTTGCCGGCGAATTCAATCGTCTATGTAAAATCTTCGGGGGAGCAGTCAAACGTTCTTGATTCGTCATAGGAAATTTATATTGCTGTGTTTTGTTGTTGGTATCATGACTACTACTATTACTAGTATTGGTATTTGGAGGGGTATTATTAATTTGTTGTCTCTGTGTAGTTGAAGGGGATAATAACGCCGAAACTTCAGCAACTGATATTCCAAGTCTTGAAGTCAGTTGTAATAATTCAATAGTCTTATTTGTATTCTCCAAACGATAATATTGTTGTTTAGTTCGTTCTTGTTCTATTTTTAATTCAATAGCCTTGGATAATGCACCTTGAGACTCTGGAGTATCATCAGCTACATCTTCACCAAATATCATACTTACCAACGATTTTGACCTTTTATGTCCATGGACATTCGTATCAGTACCACTACCCTCATTATTTGTGTTTTTATTACTGGTATTTTCTAAATTCATTCATTAAAAATAGGCTGTCCTCCTTTTATTTTATGTACTCACTTATTTGTTCGATTTAGCAAAAAGTCTATATATATATGGGATATAGATATATATGAATTTAGTTCTTTTAACTTTATTATATATACATAAAATAATAAATATTCTTAGTAATGAGTTCCTTTAAAGGGGCCAAGAATGAGAATGAGAATGATAAGAGGAGACGCTCGATTATACTAAATCTCTAGTCCAATTTTTCAATTCTATTTTTTTTCTGCTTACTTAAAATTTTCAAGAAATTGAACAGAAACCCAAAACCCTTTTTTCCATTCTCACAATATTATTTCAATAACTATTATGACTACCCCGAGAGATTGCAAAAAACAGCAATATAAGAAATCAGTTAAATTGACTATTTTCAAAAGGATTATCTGTTTGTTTGTTTATCTGTTTATCTGTTTCGCTGGTTATTGTTGCTGGTTGTGATTGTTTGCTTATTTAATTTCAAATTTCTTTATATTTATTACATAATCCATATATAATCCTTGTGAGCATTGAAAACCCCGCAGAAAAGACAAAAAAGGGAGCGCGGGGTTGGTCCCTTTTTTCTTCTTTAGTTCAATATCGTACTGAGTGATGTTGATGTTTTCTGCGCCTTTTCTCTGTCGGAGAAATTTATCATCCTAATTTTGCTCTAATGGGAATAAATCCGACGGAGATAATTAATTAATGTTCAAATTGAAATATATAATGTTATATCAAAACCACTGAATTGTTATTGTTGTAAATATATGCTAGGTATACCCAAGTTAGAAATATTGAATGATCAGCTAAATTAATATATATTTATATATACATAGTGTTGTCCCTTTTTCAAACAGTCTCTTCTTCAAAGATGGTCTCAATTGGTTTTTCCATAAAGGAAGCATGAGAGAACACAGACATACATGATGCACCAATCAACCATAGTAAAGTAGAGATTGGAGAAGCCAAAAATCCTAATGGTACAGAGATACATAATAGACCAGTGTATAGTTGTGTAGTGTTGAATGAACCAAACGGCGTCACAAGACCTTGGCCTGCCAATTTGTTGATCCCTAGGAAACCAGCAACGACAAAGACTAGGACGAATAGTAGTAGGAGGTTAGTCAATAGAGTGTAGATGGATAGACAACCGACTATTAGGGCATAGTTGGAGGAGTAATAACCTAAGTTATATGATACACGAGATTGTAAATCGGAGAAGTTTGCTGGTTTTGAAACATTCTTGATGTTGAAGAATTCTTGTGGTGGACGTAGTGAGGACAGTTTGTTTTGTAAGTTGTGTACTTGAGCCTTAATATTGTCCATGGACAAGTTTTCTAAAGACATTCTGGATAGTTGCTAAAATCATAAACATTATAGGAAAAAACAAAAGGTGGGAGAATTTCAACTGGAAATGGTATACATGTGTTATACGACACACACCCACAAAGATATCAGTCGAGATCACCGGTTTTTCTCATTATATATAATAGTTAGTAAAAAGTTAAAAGAAAACACGACTGAGGAAATATAAAATATGAGCTATGCAATGGTACTTACTGCTAGGTTGCCTAATTGATTCATGGTAGTCTTGGTGTGTAGTTGTTTTGTTTTTCTAATCAAGTCTTGAAAACAGTATATCTAAACTAAAACACTTCTCTTTGCAGGTCTTAAATAAGATCGAGAAATTAGGAATAAATCTATAATTTAGCTGTTGACATCTTTTATCTATTTTTGAAATTTTTTTTGTTTTTGTTTGTTTGTTTGTTGTCCTCTTCACATTTTTCAGCGTTGTCTTCGTCCCTTCCAACAGAGAGAACGCCTCAGAGGAGAGAGACAAGAGAATAGCGTCGCGACAGGAATGATTATATCAGCGAAGCCACGAAATTCTTCATTGAGCAATGCAACTACAACAATAGAAACAATCAAACAAGCCTCAGTGAGAGAAGAGAAGAAGAAGAGAGCGAGAAAGTCGAGATCATTCAATCTTCGAATTATATGATAAAGTATAATACTTATCATATTGGTATATATATATAAGTATATATATATATAGAAAACAACTAGGATATGTATATCTGTATTAATAAACATTCACAAGCCGAGATCTTGTTTGACTAAAGAACGACAGATTGGATGGTAAGTATCTTTGAATCTATCAAAAGTAGCTAACGCCAAATCACGATGCACTTGGTTCAATAGTCTGTAACCTGGACGTACAAACTTCATACGTCCCACAGTACCTAACCAATCAGCTAACTCGGAGTAATGCTCTTGTAAATGTGCTAATACTTCGAATTTGTAGATCTTGAAAACGACTTCTGCATTTTGAGAATCCATTATTCCTTTTTTATAAATTTGTAATAGGATTCTAGCAACATCTGGATAATCAGACCATTTGAATGAGGAAGTTTCAGTAACAGTGTTACCACCTGTAGTTAATGTCTCCAGGAATAACATTATTTGATTTGCGTTAAACTTAGAAATGTCATCGTTCTGGAACTCTTTCAACAATTGTTCATATGACATTTGTGCCTTAGCTGCAGAAACCCATTTCTTAGCCAAAATATAAACATTATCAGCTAAAGTGGTGTCGAATTTTTGTAAAGGTGGCATCCCTGGAGTAAATAACCATTTCTCCCAATCCACAGTCTCCAAGAGATCACGTTTATCATGATAGAATTCAAATAAAGTGTCAAGGAATTGAAAAGTATCTAAGGATTGCTTAGCAAACTTCGTGAAATAATGCTTAATGAATGGATCGAATTCTTGTGGCCCACCAACCAGATTCTCTAAATAAAATAAGAAATTAAAACCCTTTTCATATGGAACTGAAGAGAAAGCTTCATCGGGATCGGTACCATCATTCAAACATTGAACTAAAGTGGAAAATCTTGTTGGGTTAGTCATTGAATCAATGGAATTTTGTAAATCAGTTAAACCGATCAGTGCGCTGAAATGTCTTGTAGGTTCGCCATGTAATTTACCGACAATTCTACGTTCCAAATAGACAGTCCAACCTTCATTCAACCAGAAATGATTCCATGAACAATTTGTAACCAAATTACCGGACCATGAATGAGCTAGTTCATGAGCAATAACATCAATATTAGACTTATCATGTGCAATTAAAGTTGGTGTAGCAAACGTCATATTTGGTGATTCCATACCACCATAAGGATAAGAATCCACATTGATTAAAATATCATAAGTACCCCATTCATAAGGGAAAATGATAGATTCAGCAGCGGTAATGAATTTTTCAACATCACCATTGAATTCCCATTGAGCATCCTTTAAACGGAAGGGTTCTGTGTATACAGTGGACCGAGGTCCAATTGGGGCACTGACTAAATCACCAGAGGCAATACCAACAAGGTATGCTGGGATTGGGACAGTTTGTTCAAACTTGTACATAGTTCCTTCAACATCCGAAGAACTAATCCCAGAGAACACAACAGGTAATGGAGAAGTAATGTTAGCGGAGAATGGACTCTTAATAGAAGGTGTATCAAAAGAGGGGAACAAAGATCTAGCATGAATAGCTTCTAATTGGGAAAAAACATAAGGTTTTCCCGAAGTTTGTTTAGCAGTTAACCATTGCAAAGCAGTACATTTATCAGTGGTTTCAAAAGCTAGGGTCAATTGAAATTCTGTAGGCAATTCCTTCGATGGTTCAATGATCAATTTGGAACCTAATGGTTCCACACGATCTTCTAAATGGAATGATTTTGTATCGATACCATCGATTTGAATAGAAGATACAATCAAATGAGAAGTATCTAAATGAATCAATTGCTTATTTTGTTGTCTGTTTTGGTTACGATTCAATTGATACACAACATTACCAGATATTTTACTCTTTTCAAAATTAATATCCATATTCAAGGTAGTATGTTTAACGGTGAAGTCCTTATAATTAGAGAGAGTTGAATAATCAAACTCTGGACATTGAGCAGGTCTACGAGCCTCTAACACCGCTGGCAAAGTCATTTTTGTTCTTGTAGTAGTGGCAACAGAATATTTCTTTAAACTAGGAAATAATTTCTTCAAAGGGGAACGTTGCATAGCAACAGTAATTAAACCAACAAATATAAAAGGAGAGTAATTAATGATCGAATCCCAAGTAAGAGCCATTTCCTGGCGAAGTATGTCTTGATTAGAAAAAAAAAACAGTTCGAAAATTGTTTTTACCAAAAGAAAAGATCTGTACTTTTGACACATTTTCTTTGCCAACGTCTGACTCTCTCTCTCTCTCTCTCTCTCCCCTCCCCCAATCTCTGCCATATTATTCCATCCGTTTAGAACTGGAAACTTTCTGGGACACACAACGACTTGGGGGGGGGGGAAGAGGCGGGTGGGCCGTGTTTCGTGTAGCGTGATCGCAGTGTAGGGTTGCCGTTAAGGCTAAGAATTTAGACACATTATTATTATATAAATGTATTTAGACGTTGAAATGATAGAATTATGCCGAATATGATTGTCTAACAGGGCTATTTCGTTGTATTTCTTTAAGTAACGGTATATTTTACAACATATTATTGCAAATTTTAAGATCGGGTACGATGATGCACTATCAGCCATTGCCTTTTTTGAAGCCAGTATCTTCATCCTCTGAAATATTAACAGGTTCACACTGACTTGAGCTTCATTGTGTGATACGTGCTGTCTTTCTTGCATGAGGTTCTGTTCCAGGAAATATGTTTGCACAACACGGATCGTCAACGAAATCGATCCTCAAGAAAGATGAAAGAAGACATGTCTTATTTTTTAGGAGGGAACTCAAGCATGGAGTATGCTTCTCATCATTTCTCTAATTGTACAACTGTCGCTTGATAGTGTTGAGCACAATGTTTTAAGGGGGTCTAAAAGCATCCACATAACATCTTGTAAAATTCGGTTTTTATCTTCTCCTCTAATTTATATCATTGTAGCAACAGTAAAACAGAAGCAGAGCTCAAATATTCGATCTTGAATGGCCTAACTTGTACTAAACATATATCATATAAGTTTAAAATGAGTTTTAATAAGCGGTTCAATACACTATTCTAACCAACATAACAAGAAAGTATCCATCGTATGGACCTAGTCACAATACCATTAGTTCCCACTGGCCATTCTATTCTATTACCGAACAGAGAATAGACTGTAAAGTATCTTGCCAGAGGTCTAATCTCTATAGATAATTGTACGAGTTCCCGTATTAATAGGATCAATAACATTGCACCCGTGCACAGAATGACAAACCAAGCAACGATTCCTTGAGCAACAGGCCAGTTAGGATTACATGCAGCTGCCCGTTCTTTATTCTTCGGAAAAGGTATCAATTTCTGCCAATATTTTACATTACTCTTGTTCCTGTTCTTGTTCTTCTTGCCAGGATATTTATTGCTCGATAACTTCACACGACGCCGTATCCATACCAACGCACTACCATCATCACTATGCATTCTAATCTATACCATCCAATCACAGAAACATTACCATGTATCCCTTCGATCCATATACAGACACCCTGAGACTGTTCCACACGTTACGTATCCAATCTGTTAAATAGTTACATATTCCTTCTGTATGCAAAATGCATCTTAGATCGATTCTTCTTCCTCTTCTTCCTTTTTCTTCTACGCCGTGAAGGATTTCGGTACTGTTTGGAGCGCGCCTTGGCTGTTTACATAACGAGCCTGACGTTGAACAGCACGCTGCCACAGCGAGCTGTCTGATATACAACTACGGGGCAGTCAGGCTATTGGGGTGTTTGATTGTTACCAAGAAACTGTTGCAAGAATGTGTCGTCAAACTCTCGTTTTCAGTCTGTATCAGAATTTGGTTTGGTTTGATACTGGAAAATTCCCACAAGACAACAACTATGTCACTAGCTCAGCAACACCCACCAGACCCCTCTCTTTTCTATAATTTAACGGGGAACATTTATCTACTGCTGAATACACATGCCTTCATAATAAATGTATGCAAATATACCCAATTGTGAATGCGGTCACTCCCGCTTATTTTCTAAAAACACTGCAAAACATCACAGCACGCTCAGCAACAACGTCCTGATACTTCACAACTCGCCATCCATCTACCACAACGCAGCTACAGCTCCAAACCGTCGGTCCAATTCCATATAAATTCCATATAAATTCCATAAGTCTTGATTGATCAATTCGCATTTTGTGACACTCACCCACAGGGCACAGCGCAATGCACATCGCTCGCCACGACGGAGCGGAGGTGCACACCCACACACCGCACAGACAGCATTTCGGTTTCCCTGAATAACTTGAATTTTGGGCCTGTCGGCGCTGTTGGTACGGCGCTTTGTGAAGGGTGGAGCATACTATGCTGTGTTTGCTGGTTACTGCAAAGAGAGAGAGACAGAAAGAGGATAACTTTTCGATCAATCCAGACGGATGGACAGCTTGCCATTTGGTCCCTTTTTACCTAATACCATCATCACCATCATTCATTCTTTTATATAGCGTTATTACACATTCATGTGTGGGGAAGCGGGACACAATTACAGATACTTTAGACATATAAACATCTCAAACACTGCATTCACATTCATACATATAACAAATACACACACTCACTCACTCACTCACTCATCTACACAAGCACAAACAGTATCATGTCGCACCATAACACGATGACTTCAAACGTATCGGATATGATCTCACAACAACGGTCAAATTTACAACATTTGCAGAATTTGCAACAACATACGAGAAGTATGACCTCTACAGACTATGCTACTTATTATAATATGCAACAGCAACAGCAAGCTGCTGCTGCTGCTGCTGCTCAACAACAACAAGCTCAGGCACAACTAGCTGCGACTCAACAACAATTAAAAGTTCCTCCAACCAGTCCTAATCCACTACTTTCAATGACTTCGGGAGGTACCACCCAAAGCACAATATTACCACAAATGATAGCACAGCAACAGTTGCAACAACAAGCTATTCAACAACAACAGTTGCAACAAGGTAGAAACTCTCTCACTAATACATCTATTAAATCTAAAGCTAGAAACTCTATACAGGATCCGAGATCGCCTTTAGTGGTCTTAATTCCAACATCGGCCCAACCGACAGAAATACTGGCAGCAAGGTTTGCTGCATGGAGAAACATTATAAGATCGATTTTGACTTATTTAACAGAGACTGCCTCAATACAGGATGAAATCGTTAGACAACAATTAAGATTGTCTCATGCAATCCAATTCCCTTTTTTCTCTGTGGAAAATCAATCACAACCAAATTCAACAGAAGATAAAAATGTTCAAAAGTTTTTCTTGCCTTTAGGAAATGGATCTATTCAAGATTTACCAACAATTTTGAATCAATATCATGGAACATTAGCTTCAGCTGCTTCCAGAACCTCTAAAGAATTGACTAGTGAAGTGATCCCAAGATTAGAAGATTTAAGAAGAGATTTATTAGTAAAAATTAAAGAAATTAAATCATTACAATCTGATTTTAAAAATTCTTGTTCAAAAGAATTGCAAGAAACTAGAACGGATATGAAACAATTCATCGAATCCTTAAAGGAAACAAGATATAATGGTACACCAAAACAAGACCCATTTTTAACTAAAATCGTATTAGATAAACAAATTAAAAAACAATTAATTGAAGAAAATTTTCTTCATGAAGCTTTTGATAATTTACAAACTTCAGGTGCAGAACTAGAAAAAGTTGTAGTAATGGAAATTCAAAATGCTTTAACCATATATGCAAGATTATTAGGTCAAGAATCTCAACTGGTATTTGATATCTTAATTTCAAAATTAGATGTTGGATTTTTCAATAAAGATCCTCAATTTGAATGGGAAAATTTCATAGCAAGAGATGATAATTTCATTTCACCTAATTTACCAATGAGAAAATTAAAAGAAATCATTTATAAATATCAATATGATCCAATGACTTATGAAATTCATTCAGGTTACTTAGAGAGAAGATCAAAATTTTTAAAATCGTATTCTCGTGGATTTTATGTATTGACACCAAACTTCTTACATGAATTCAAGACTTCCGACAGAAAGAAAGATTTGGTACCAGTGATGTCATTAGCATTGAATGAATGTACTGTTGCAGAACATTCAAAGAAAGGTTCCTCTGAAAATAAATTAGTATTACATGCTAAGCAAAATGGTATCATACATAGAGGACATAATTGGGTCTTTAAGACAGATTCTTATGAATCAATGATGACATGGTTTGATAATTTAAAGATTTTCACAGGTTTTACCACTTCAACAGATAAATTGAAATATATTACTGAAAAATTCAATTTAGAAGCAGATGGGAAACCAAGAACAACAACAAATACAGCATCTCCTTCGATGAAATCTCCTAGTGCTACAGTAACATTGACTAAAAAGGGATCTATACAACAGGACACTTCTACTGAAACTAATAACAATACAACAGATGGTGGTGATAATAGTGATTTAGTTCATACTTCGACGAATCTAGACAATGACGAAATTGCTACTTTACCAAACTCTACCCCTCGTCTTGATAATGCAACAAATACTAATACTACCTCATCTATTCCCGATACAGACGATTCACAAATAAGAGATGGTTTACCTAATTTCTATATCGAGACAGTGCATCCCGGTAACAAATAAATTTAACATTCATTTGTGTTTGTTGCTTTTATTTACTTACCTTATGTAAAACTAAAACAAGAAAAAAAAATCTAAATAATAATAATATAAATATATATTCATCTTCCTATTTATTTTGCGTAAATATTGTGCTATCGATGGTTCGCTATGAACCATTTATATAATCAAAAGGAAAGGAGGCTAGATAGTTGTTTTAAATTAAAAAAACAATGCATTTATATTCTTAAATATATACATATATACACATATACTATACTATCAGTGTGTGTTCTTATTATTGACCTTAGATAAAACATGATCAATCCATTTCTCATCAAATCTACTATCAGAAAATTTAGTTAATGCAATTCTAATAGCAATATCTGATAATTTTTTCTTATCCTTATCTTTCAAATAACTAACTTCTTTGAAAGCATCACATAATGTCCCAAAACCTAATATGCTACTTGTCTCCTTATAGTCGGGATCACTGGGGTCAAGGAAGAAAAACCCAACATTATCTATCACAATATCAAATAATGGGCCTGCGCTACCATGAACAATTGGGATTAAACCACCAGCAATATATTCTACTACTGCAATACCAAAATGTTCATTCCACATTGCATTAATCCCATAAGTGGAACTCCATAACATTTTTTTAATGTCTTCATACGGAAGATCTGGCATAATTTCAAAACGTTCCTGTGGGATCTTTAATTTATCTAACGCTAATACTTTCAAATCTTTTATATATTGTCTATCTTCATCAGATCTTGTAGATCCAATAAATATTAATTTTGGAACATCATCATATTGGGCAGTCTTTAAATATTTAGCATATTCTTCAATAATCAATCTGTGCCTTTTCTCTGGTCTAAATTGAGCTAGGACTACAGCTTGATTTTTTCTTTTTGCAGGTAAATCTCCTTCCTTTTCATAATGTACCAATTTCTCAGTAGAACAAGGTGGGAAGATTACATGTGTCCTACATTGGGTCCAAATTCTTGAGATATGATCATTTGTCCAACTTGAATTTGTACATGCAATAGTAATAAAACTACCTACATGTTTATAATATTTCATGAATAACCTCCAATAAAACCCTTTAAGTATGACTCTAAAAGTCCTTTGTTGATGAGCGAGTTTGTTTAACATATCACTAGAGATAACAGGGAAATGGGTATAAGTGATAATAGGAATTCTTAATAGATGCCATACCCAAGGGTAGCCGAATGGGTAACCCATACTATCACACCAAATATCAGGTGGACATTTCAAAATAGCTTCTATACTTAATACAATCGAACCAAACGCTTGCCCTAATAAAGTGAAATGAGGCCATGTCTTACTATCTACCAATTTTCTATATTTCAAGAAGATGAAAGATATCCTTGATGCATCCAATTCATAATCAAATCTATTTCTTACACTTCCAAGAATTTGCTCACCAGTAGCATCACAGTCACCTGTATATATTACCACTACAATATTTGGATCGAATCTTAAAGTTGTCTCAACGGCCTTCCATAGAACTTTCTCACCACCTCCTCCAGCATTACAATATGGATGGAAGAATCCAAATAGAATTCTCCCAGATTTTTCGTCATGTTTCAGTGATTGAATAATATTTTCTTTCTCTTTTGTATCTTTCATCATAATATCTAGTAGACCTGCATCCTTTTCATTTGTAAAATTACGCACATCCTTAGCTCTTAGTAACAACTCTCTTCTCACAGAACCAACTTTCCACGAATGGAACATATCGCCCAAACTTCCACCTTTCTCAATAACTTTTAGTAACTTATCTCTGAAATGACGTGGTGGCTTCATTAGGGATCTATTCACAGATTGCATTCTCAAGTACACTAAGCAAAAGGTAACCATACATTGCGCAATGGCAATGCTCAATAAGTCTACCATTCCTGCTTAATTAATGCTTTATATTTTCTTTTTCAAGTGAACTAAGACCTTGACAACAACTTACTTATATCTAAAAGATTAGCTCGTTACATTCGTATTCTTATCATGTAGGGGTCAATTGCAGGACCCTTTTAGTTTCAGAACGTGTCAACTGGAAGACCTGTCCATCCATATTTTCCTTAATTTGGTAATCAAAATTTTTCACTTTTTAGCTGTCAGAGAAACGCAACGAACCGAAATTACGGAATTTAGAAATTTCAAGCCGACAGAGAACGCAAGAGCAAGGGGAATCAATCTGTCTCTATTCAGCAATTGAACAATCAAATAAATGACTAATTGATGGTTATAGAATTTTATTTAAAAGATATATTTGGAGAGTTGTTGTACATATTTCATTCCCTCTTTTTTTTAGAATGTGGTTATTAAGAGACAGTTTCACCATTAATACTATAACTACACTTTACAAACAACATATAAATATACATTTTCAAAAATTACAATCTGCCAAGATAAATCAATTTTATTCTTTTCTAAGGAAGAACAATGGGAAAATCTGATAAACAAGAATATGAATGTGAAACACCTCCAAGAGTGAAATCTATACCAGGAGCACTACGAGAGTCCTTAATGAGGTGTGGGGACAACTATTTCCAAAGAAGACCTGCAAGTGACTCACCTACAGGCAGCAGTGCCCAAACTCCGACAGGTGTAAATACTTCAACTCCGTCACCAATAAATAGTAATATATATATCAACACAGGAAGTGGAATAAATACAGTGGAAACCTCTCCAGTAATATCTGGGAATACCGTTGAATCGGGGACAGAATCTCCAGATAGACTACGACCACCTACAATGAAGAAAAAAAGGACTCCGACAACATTAGATATACCTGGTTTAACAAAATCTAAGAATTCCCCTAATGGTTTAATAGCACGTAATGATCATGGTTCAAAACTGGTAATTATTATGGTAGGTATTCCCGCTACGGGTAAATCATTCATCACAAAGAAGTTATCTAGATATTTGAATTATTCAATGTATCATTGTAAAGTCTTTAATGTTGGGAATACTAGAAGACGTTACACAAGAGAACATGGAATGGGTGAGCAGGATAGTAATTTTTTTGACCCATCTGATGAAAGAAGCATAAAATTGAGAGATCAATGGGCATTGGATACTTTAGATGAATTATTAGATTATTTATTGACAGGAAATGGATCAGTGGCCATATTTGATGCTACAAACACTACAAAGGAGAGAAGAAAAACTGTTTATAATCGTATTCGTCAACGTAACGATCAATTAAAAGTATTATTTTTGGAGTCGATATGTACTGACAGACAAATGATTGATAAGAATATTCAATTAAAATTGTTTGGTCCAGATTATAAAGGTAAAGATCCAGATGAATCCTTAACTGACTTCAAACAACGATTAGAGAATTATGACACCGTATATGAGCCAATGGATGACGTCGAAGGGTATCCTTATATCAAGATGATTAACGTCGGTACAAAACTTATTTCACATCGGATTAAAGGGTTTTTGGCGTCTTTAACTATGTACTATTTATTAAACTTCAACTTATCTGAAAGACAAATATGGATAACAAGAAGTGGTGAATGTGAAGATAATGTAGCTGGAAAGATCGGTGGAGACACATCATTAACTGCTCGTGGTGATAAATATGCCCATGCTCTAACTAAATTTATTGGAGAACAGCGAAAACTATTCGAAGAACATTTGAATTCAGAACATAAACCATCATCTGATAACATTCAAAATGAGGAGAACGTCGAAGAAGAAGAAGAAGAAAGATCTTTTTTTATTTGGACAAGTATGTTGCAAAGATCGATTGAGACAGGCCAATATTTTGATGAAAATGAATACCCAACAAAACAAATGAAAATGCTTGATGAGATAAATGGTGGTGATATTGATGGTCTAACATTTGAAAGATTTTCTACACAGTATCCTGAAATCTACGAGAATCGACAACATGATAAATTGTTGTATCGATATCCAGGTAGCGGAGGAGAATCTTACATGGATGTCAGCAATCGACTACGTAGTGTCATCACTGAGATGGAACGCTTAGAGGACGATATTTTGTTAATCACGCACCACGTTGTAGCACGAATCCTTCTAGGATATTTTATGAATTTAAGACTGGAAGTTGTCACTGATCTAGATATTCCATTACATTCAATCTACTGTCTGGAACCCAAACCACAAGGAATAAGTTGGACCCTCTACGAATATGACGAGATTAAAGATTCGTTCAACAAAGTCCCAAAATCAGAACTGAACATTTCAAGAGTTAAAGAGATAGGTTTAGTTCACAACGAACGTCATTATTCACTGGTCCCCACGGCACCTAATTACTCTATAGGCTCCAAGTCCTCAGTGGATTCATAGCCTGCTGTCGCCGCCCCCCTATATAAATCACTGCACCTCCAAATACAAATGTATATAACCTCATATATATTCCATCTAACTTAATTAAAAATACCTTTGTATTCTTCATTGGTGAACAGTGGTTTGGTATTATCTTCGTATCGGCAGGTATTGTCCCATTAATTTCCTATTTTCAGGGTAACACGCAATCTTGTTATTATGGACGTGTCCAAAAAAACAACAAAAATTATTGTTGGAATTGAGGAAGGAATCGTAGAGTGGGAAAAATAATAACAAACAAAGAGAAGAATGGGAACTTGGGAAGTGAAGAAAACTTGATGGGAAGCACATTATAATTGGAATTTGTCCTTCAATTGATATTTTTGATTAAGTACAGAAAGAAATCAAAAGATTGATTTAAGTGGAAAGAATCCTTTTGTTGCTTTATTTTCATTGTAAAATAACACGCTAAAATATTTTTTTTTCTTTCTCTCTCAATTCAGTTTTATAGGGATTTAGGAAGAAGAGCCATACACTGAATTCCATATTTACTTAGAACCAATTAAGATGTCACACAAACATCAAAGACGTGTGTATCCAGAGCCGCAATACGAGGCACCACTTGGCCAGCCTTCCGCTGGTATGCCAGGGATGGGAATGCCAGATCAGATGTTCAACGCTGGGGTTCAACAAACTCAACAATTCAACCCACAAATGGGACAACCACAGCAACAGCAATTTAATCAGCAACTTGACCAGACTACTAATGCTATGGGAAATATGAACATGAATAGCAATACCCCAATTGGTATGGTTGATCCAAATGCAGTGTACCAACAACAGCAACAACAGCAACAACAACAGCAAAATTATCAACAACAGGACTATCAACAACAACAACAGGGATACGGACAACAACAGCAAGGTTACGGACAACAACAGCAAGGTTACGGACAACAGCAAGGTTACGGGCAGCAACAAGAGCCTATTAACCCTGACAAAGCTCCAAGAGAACATAACCAGTTATACCCAACTGACTTATTATCTGACCTTCCACCTCCAATCTCAGAACTATCATTGCCTCCACCTCCTTTACAAATTCCACCTCAGAAGATGTTAGTTTCATCTGAAGAGGCATTTGCTTCCTCAGATTTCATCAGATGTACTTTGAATGCTGTACCAAAAACAAACTCTCTATTGAAGAAAACTAAACTACCTCTCGGTTTGGTAATTAGACCTTACCAACATCTACATGATGATAACAATCCTCCACCTTTAGATGATAGTATGCTAGTCGTCAGATGTCGTCGTTGTCGTATCTATATCAATCCATTCGTGACCTTCTTTCCAGGTGGAAATAAATGGAGATGTAACTTCTGTAGACTATCAAATGAGGTTCCAGCTAAAATAGATCTTGACAATTTACAACAACAAATGAACCGTTACGATAGGGCTGCCTTGAGATGTGGTGTTATGGATTATATTGCACCAAAGGAATATGCCATAAGACAACCAGCCCCAACAACCTATGTCTTCATATTAGACGTCTCCCAATCAGCTCAAAAGGAAGGTCTATTATCTACCACTGTTAGAACTATGTTAGACAGTTTAGATGAAATACCAAACCATGATGGAAGAACTAGAATTTCCATTATGTGTGTCGATCATGCTCTACACTTTTTCGCTATTCCAACTGATAATTCAGCTGAAAATATCCAAATGTTGGATGTATGTGACATTGATGAACCATTCAACCCAAGACCAAACAATTTAATGTCATCTTTGACACAATCTAGACAAAACATTGAAAAATTATTGAGCCAAATTCCACAAATATTCGAAGGTAACATTATAAGCAAGTTTGCATTAGGTCCTGCCTTGAAATCTGCTTACGAGTTAATGCGTTCTACCGGTGGTAAGGTTATTGTCGTGTCAGCTACATTACCAAACCATGGTATTGGTAGTTTAAAACCAAGAGTCGAAAAGGGTGTTTCAAATACTCCAAAGGAAACCTCTCAATTGTTGTCATGTCAAGATGCTTTTTACAAAAGTTTCACTATTGATTGTAACAAAATGCAAATTGGTATTGATTTATTCTTAGCATCATCAGGTTACGTCGATTTTGCTTCTTTATCCAATTTGGCTCGTTACACTGGTGGTCAAACTCATATGTATCCTGGTTTCAATGCCGCTGTTATGGCTGATGTCACTAAGTTTTCAACTGAATTTTCGAGACACCTATCAATGGATACTTCTACTGAAGCGGTCATAAGAGCTCGTGGTTCCATGGGTATTAGAATGCAATCGTTCTACGGTCATTTCTTCAACAGATCATCTGATCTATTGGCATTGGCAACGGTACCAAGAGATCAATCTTACGTATTTGAAATGGTTATGGATGATGCGTTAGTTATGCCATACTGTTATGTGCAAGTTGCTGCCCTATTGACTTTGAATAATTCTGAACGTAGAATTAGAGTAATCACTATTGCTCTTCCAACAACTGAAAATATTAGGGAAGTATATGCATCTGCAGATCAATTAGCTATGACGAATTTCTACACCCAAAAGGCAGTCTCAAAGGCCATGAACAACAGTGTAGAAGAAGGTAGAGAATTGATCAACAAAGCAGTCTTGGATATTCTAAATGCATACAAAAAGGAAACTATTAGTTCGAATACCCCAGGTGGTATTCCATTACAATTATGTACCAACTTAAGAATGTTCCCATTGCTGATGAATTCTTTGAAAAAACATCAAGCTTTAATGCCATCTGTTCTTCCTAGTGATCACAGAGCTAACGCATTAAATTATTTGGAATCTACTCCATTGAAGTATTTGATTAAGGCTATCTATCCAACTATTTACGCTTTACATGAAATGCCAGATGATGCTGGTCTACCTGGCGAAGATGGTTCTATTATTCTTCCGGATCCTATGAATGACAGTATTGCCTTGTTTCAACCATATGGTCTTTACTTGATAGATAATGGTACCGAGTTATTCTTATGGATTGGTGGAGATGCTATTCCTGACCTGGTCAGTGATGTATTTGGTCAACAGTCAGTATTCGATATTCCAGTAGGTAAGAGTGAATTACCAACCGTAGAAGGTTCTGAATTTAACGAAAAAATAAGAAATATTATCAACAAAATAAGACAAAATGATGATGTTATTACTTACCAAGTTCTATACATCATGTATGGTCCATGTGCTAATGAAGTACAAAATGCCAACACTAACAGTCTAAGATCTTTAAGAATGTGGGCTCTAAGTAATTTGGTAGAAGACAAGAGTCAAATCGGTGAAGGTTACCGTGAGTTTTTACAAAACTTGAAATCTAAGCTAAGCAAATAGGTTGACCTTAAATATTGCAAGTCGTTCTATTTGATCGTTTGGACAATTGTCCTATTCTTTTGCCTCTTTACTTCTCCTTCTTCTTCCTCTTCCCCATCTCTTTCAACCTCAAAGATCTTCAATTATAGGTGGAGGGAGGACAATATGTATATTATTGAAGAATATATCATCACACATACATTTCTATATATATGCATAATAGCGTATATTTAAATAACTTTCTATTTTAATTATAAATCAATTACAAATTATGTATTTGGGACTATGTTGAAGTATGTCTCGGTTTGTTCTTGTTTTATCTTATATATAATTTTTAGTAGGCATAAGGACGGCTCTATACCATCCCGAAAATTTTCTTAAAAAATTGCAATCGATGATGTTAATATATAAGGAATAGATTTTAAAGTAATAGGAATTTTTGTATAATTAATTAATGCATTGTCTATGTGAAAGGTAGGATATAGCTATTGAGTCATGGAACAAAAAATGTACGTATACTATATTATATCAATAACTTTAAAGGTTTTTTTTTACATGAGGAAGTACTAACATGTCGAATTATTTAGAGTATCAAGAGCCGAGCTATTTCAAGATGGTAATGTTTCACCAAGAAGGGAAGTAGTGGACGACTTAATAGTGCCAGAATTCGAGTATGTTGAAGTGAACAATGTGGAAGATTCTTCAAACAATGATGGATCTTACCCTGGAGCAGAACAGGACCAAACTGCAGATGACAGATTTGAATTCTTCCCATTATTTACAACAGAGGGGTTGACAAAGGTTGATCTTAACGAACATGTTGCTGATTTAGAACCAGTAATTCAAGAAAGACCCAGAAGTTATTACTATACGTCTTATGATGATATAGAGAAAAATCGTTTTGAAGAAGCAGGTATAACCTACGACCAGCTACTTGAGATGAGCCGAACGCCTTACAATAGATACAAAGAGCATGTCCTAGATATAAATAAGCATAATTCTACAATAGAAAAACAACATTTAAAGGAAAAGAAAGCAAAAAAGAGAAAACCTGGTAAGAATCAAAGACTGGCCAGGAATCAAGCAAAATTAAATATCGAAAAACGAGAAGAACTAAGAAAACAATTAAAGAAGAAATTCCGTAAGAGGGGTGGTAAAAAGAATAAAAAGAAGGAGAAACTAAATCCTTTATTGCATGCTGGTGCCACATCTACCGAAATTATTAAGGTATGAAATTCTATTTATATGGAGTAAATTATAAATATATAGCATTATTTGACGTATAGTTGATTTTTTATATTGTGTCATTAATTTATAGAGTTGATATTCACCCTCAAATTTCTAAAGATAAAATAGCGATAGATTTTAGCATCATATCGGAATGTTTTTGGTAATCTTTTCTATCACTTGAGTTTGGCATTGAATTGTTAATTGAATCTATCAGTACTTGTCTATTTTTTTGTAAAGCTTTCCCCACAGGACCACCTCTCTTGAAAGATATGTCTATCTCTCTTTTAAAACTAGAGGCTATTCTTGACCAGAATAAGTCTCGTATAGTCATACCTTGAAATTTTTCTTGAGAAGAATATTCTGCAAGCAAATTGGAGTTGGTTTTCACATTTACATCACCCAGTATCTTCTCTAATGTGTACATTGAATGGCTCTTTGTGACAACTTCATCAAATATTTCTGGGAATGACTTTACTGAATTAATTGTTTTGGTCAGCACTTGAGAATTTGTACTTACGTGAGAGAGGACTATTTTGTTAATGGAGTTGAAAAACTCTGGAGGTGATAATATAAATAAATTTTTTGCTAAACCTTTAATAGTATCTTTATTGTTTTGAATTTTAAATGTGTTTAAACATTCTTTCGTTAATGTGAGAGCAAGGTAGTCTAACAATTTTCTTCGGTAGTCCTTTCCAACTTGTATTTCCAATGTTTTAATAACTTGTAATGATTTAAGATTGACATTTTGTTGGACGGCCAGTTGTAATTGAGAATATAATACCGTGAGTTGTGATGCCCTTTCAATAGATAGTTTTTGTTCTTCATCCATTATTTCTTGAATTCTTGTGGCCAAATGGATGTATATCAAGGAATCTCTCAATATATTTGAAGTTTGATGAATTTTATTCAGAATTGTTTGTAATTTTTGAGCTCTCGTGTATGGTATTAAGACATCATCTTGTAAACGTTGATATGAAATATCTAGGTATTGTAAACTTGATTTCAGTCCGCTATGGATAGTATCATCGATTGATTTTTCTTTATATATCTGATTCACCATAATTGTTGGATTCTTGTTAATAAGTGTGTCGACACGAGATTCAATTTCTTTAAGATCAAAATTGATCTTTTTAACAGGTGTATCTACATCTAAAGTAGTACTTTCAGCACCATTGTTAGTGGATTTAAGCAAGTCATTTGCAAATCTAACCTCATTAAAATCGTTGGTTAAGAATTCCTCAAAATCGTCAATATTAACAGACATAGAGTTGGAATTTTGATAGGGGAAAGGTGAGAGTACAATAGGTAATGGATAATGATGGATAATTAAAATAAGATTGAAATTCACAATTAATATTCAGATAGATATGTTTTACATATACTTGTAATTAAGATGTTTTTGTCTTTAAATTAAAAAAGTTTTGAGCTGTCAGTGAATATGTTTACGCTGTTCAAATTAGTGGGCACGGCGAGACAATCTCGATCAAATTTTGGCAATAATAAAGAGTGAACTATCGAATCAACAAATAAATCTAGCTAAATAGACAAAGATTATGAGGAGATTGGTTCTCTTCATTAGACTGATCGATCATATATGGGCTTGTGTGTGCCTTATTAATACATTCAATGATATGGAACTATGTATATAAATATATAATATGAGTATGGGATGACTAAAATTTTCTTGAAAGTTCTTAATTAACAGATAATTAATATAAAGGTAATCATTCCCACCAAGTGACTAAACCCATACCATCTGTCTGACAACTACCTAAGATAGCATAAGGTGGATGTTTTTCCACAGTTGTCTCTGGTATCGAAGAGTCTTCCTTCCCCTCGAGTAATGCTTGTTGTCTCTTCATTTCGGCTTCTTCTTCGGCTTCTTTCTCCTTAGGTGATTTTGGTTTTACCTCTACGAATATTTCTTGTTCAACTCTGAATCGAATCATTTCATTTACATCAAAATATAATTTAGTTTCTTCATCCATTGGCCAAATCCAAGCTGAATCATCGGGTAGAAAACGACACCCTTCAAAGAGCATCTTTTGAGGAATAAATATGTCATCGAATAAGCCTAACATTGAGACCTTGATCCCTTCCGCTGTACATTTTGTAATCCAACCAGTCAGTATTTCGCCTACAAATGGTTTAAATACCATAGCACGGAATGTGACATTGATATATGCAGAACCATCGCCAGGTTTCAATTGACCTTCATCAACTTCTAATATATCATATATCGTTACGCATAAACCTATGTGGGGTATAATCTTATTTGAATAGTTTTTGTTTAACTGGTGAGTAATTGCAGAAATTGTATCACGTTTAAACTCATCAGGAGGAATCCTTATTAGATCAGAAATTTTAGAAAGAATAAACATTTGGAATAATTCATATAATGCTCGCGTTATAAGATTGTCTTGACCTTGCTATGTCAGTATCTGCGTATACACTAACACTGTTACAATGATGTAATTATCTCTTCCTTTGTTAGTCTTATCACCACCCTACTTTTATTGTTATTGTTGATGTCTTTAAAAGTTTGAATAGAACAGTAGATTTGTTAAATACGCCGTGTTTCGTGACTGAAAATTTTTTGAAAATTCAATGCGATGAGCATCACTAAAAACATCTTACTTCTACGTATTTCATTTTATTCAGTCATAATATCAACCGTAATAATAAGAGTTTGAGACTTTTATTGGGATTGGTATATAATAAAAAGACTCAGTAATAGTAAGATCACTTTAAAAAGGAGACAAGTAACGTTCACCAAAGAAATGTCTAAGAAATTTACAAAACAAAATTCTCAAAAATATGCCGTCGTGCATAGACCTCACGATGACCCTCATTACTATGATGAAGGCGCTTCAGCACATCTATTCGTTCCAATTAAGAACCCTAATGCTAGAGTCAAAGTAGCTAAAGGATTTGAAGAGAAAGAAGAAGAGATTCCTAATCTAACCACCGATGATCATTTTGTTCCTGAAAATGAAAAGGGATCTGGTGATGCTTCTGCATATGGTATTAAATATGATGATTCGAAATATGATTACATGCAACATCTTAAACCGATAGGTCAGAACCCAGATTCTGTTTTCATTCCATCTAAAAAGACCACTGAACGTGGCGGTTCCAGAAAGAAGAACATTGAAGATATGTTTGTGGAACCGGAGTACAAAGATGTTGAGAATAAGCCTACCCAAAGAGTATTTCAAGGTGGTGTAGGTAAGCCCGAATATTTGGCTCATCAACAAAATGTAACAGACGAAATTTCAGGTTTCAGACCAGAAATGAATCCCGCCTTGAGAGAAGTCTTAGAGGCTCTTGAAGATGAAGCTTATGTCGTCAATGAAGATATCGTTGTTGAACCAAAACAAAAGAAGAAGATAGAAGCTACTAAAACTAAAGAAGTTCAAGAAGAAGTCGCGGGCGATGATGAAGATGATATATTTGCTGAATTATTAGCAGGTGGTGAAGTTGAAGGTGATGATGATTTCGAGGACCAATTTGACGAATGGGATGGTGCCGAATTAGAAGACTATGAAGATGAGCATTATATGAAGGAAATGGAGCAATTTGATAATGTAGAAAATCTAGAAGATTTGCAGGATATTGATTACCAGGCTGATGTTCGAAGGTTCCAAAGAGAAAAGAAGAATGATTGGGATAGTGCCGATGAATCGGATAATGAATTCCTTGATGATAATTCTGATATTGGTAATATGTCAGGTTTAAATAACGAAGAGGAAGAAGAAGAAAACGATGCATTAGGTGATTTGCCAGCTTTTAAATCAAAACCAGTTAAAGGTAGCAAAAAAAGAAGAAGTCGTCAAAAGAAAGGTGCAATGTCTGATATATCGGGGTTCTCGATGAGTTCGAGTGCAATTGCTCGTACAGAAACCATGACAGTGTTAGATGATCAGTATGATAGTATAATTAATGGATATGATAATTATGAAGAAAACCAAGCAGAGGATGAAGAGAATACATACCAACCATTTGATATGTCGAAGGAACGTTCTGATTTCGAGTCATTGGTAGATGATTTCTTAGATAATTACGAATTAGAATCTGGTGGACGTAAATTAGTAAAGAAAAATCAAGAAGTACAAAAATATAAAGATGCTGCTGATGCTGTAAGTAAAGGTAAATTATCACAAAGAAGAAACCGTGAGCGTGAATCAAAAGAAGTTAAAAACGTTACAAACTCTTTAAGTAGTTTACGTTTTTAACCGTATAGTTTAAAAACCAGCATGCACTATCTCGTACACACGCATATATAAATATATAGACTTGATATTATTATAATAGGAATAAGAATAATTGCATATAAATTTCCCAAAGATATGGATATTATGCAATTGCAATATCTGATGTAGATATAGATATAGATATATAGGTATGTTTTGTTGTTTCAATTCAGAACTTTCAGCTCGCTGAAGAAGTTTCGCCTTCAAAATTTCAGCGAAAATGGAAAATTAGTTCTAGTAAACCAACAAGGGGTACCCTTTGAAAGTTTAAAATATATATAAATGTATAAAAGGAGAAACCTTATAACAGCCACGTCTGAAAGAAAGAATTTGTTTTTTATTTTATTTTACATATAAGGAAGTAGTTACACAAATCAAACATCGAAGTAAATTTAAAAAGGAATATACATAATGGCTGCTGCAAAAACACAAGATCTACAGAAGAGAATTGAGGCTTTAGAAACATTGGTTAAGAAACAAAATGTTTTAATTGGTAAGACAGGGAAGAGCATGCTTGAGATGCAAATCGACAAACAAAGATCTGATCTAACCAACTTCTCAAGTAAAAAGAAAGGTAGTTTGGACACTGGAGATGTAGCTACCAATGAAGATTTGGTACAACTAGTTGCTGAACTGCAAGGGGAGTTGAATAATATCGAAGAAAGATCTATTAGAAGGATGGCAAATTCTGGAAAAACTAAGGCAACTGATAGTATTGCGCCACTACTGAATGCAGATGGGGATGTACCAACCGTAAAAGATTCTTGGTTCCCTAGAACTGTGGCTGAATTTGAAAAATTATCCGATATTGAACTGTTTAGATTAGCTAAGTTTTACGAAAGAGTTCCATTAAGTGGTAAGGAACATGAAAAATATGAACAATACTTGGAAGGTAAACTAGAAACAATGAAAATTACAGATACTAACGATGAGGATTTAGCTACTCAAATCAAGAATTATTCGCCAGATCAAATTGATGATATTTTCAACGAGGTTGCTAGATATTTAGGATTACCAACGAGAAGAGGGGTGTATGAATGGTGAGATATTAATGCTACATATTACTTTTTATATAATGTTTTTTGTTCGTCAATAGAATATATGAATGTATTCTGGTGCTTCTATTTTACCTACTAAAATAATGTTTAATTAAAAGAAATAATTTAGTGATTTATTATTAATGTGTTGTAATATGAGTTACTCACTGTAAACACGTTAATCTAATCTTCTACAACGGAAAACGAATTTTTGTTATTTGGGAGAAGTAGTTTAAAAGGCAACTCATTTTATATAAGATTTTTTTTTTTTGAAAATATAAAATTTGAACCTAAATAATAAAATATCGCTGATTTATTTAATTAAAAAATTGTCATCTATTCAATCGAGGCTAACTAATATTGTTATATATTGAAATATAATAAAAATAAATAAACATTTAATCTTTAATAGTTAAAAAGCTTTAATTTATAGTTGATGAAAAGGTTACAGTTGATCTTAATCAACAACAGCCTGTCTCAGTGGTACATGACTTACCACAGTTTGGACATTTTCCATCGAGACAACTAGAGGAACAATCAGCGCAAATACATGAGGATTTATTGCCACAGCACTTACCACCGTTGGAACACTTGCCGTCAGTGCAACACTTGGAGCAGTCGTCGCAGGTACACTTGGAAGATACACAGCACTTACCACCGTTGGAGCACTTGCCGTC